CCTCCAATCACTTAACCTCTACTCATTAGAGTATAGACGTCTTAGAGGTGACCTAATGGCTTACAATAACCTTAACACTTCTGGACATCCCCTAAAACACCTACTTAAGCTTAGTCCCAGAAACTAGAGGCACAACATAGCAGAACGGACTGTAGACTCAACTTCTCCTCCTTAAGAGTTGTCAAATGCTGGAATCCACTGCCCGCCGAGCTAGTCCTAGCGACTTCCCAGGAGTCCTTTAAGAGGCAAGTGGATCTATTCTTAAGGATTGAGGGTAGTATCATACTATGATTTACCCATTTCTCTTTCCTCCTTTATTGTTAACATACCTAGGTTCCTGCCTGGAGGTTTTGGTGACCCTCTGAGACTAGACACGGAAGCCTGTTAAGCGAAAGCTCATTCCATTCCATCCACAACCATTTGAACACATGAACTAGGTGCTGAGAGGCTCGCTTATCACAAGTTTCTTGCAACGATTAAGTAGATAAAACAAAGTAGCATTAGATTCAAAAATTTATTCGGGAACTTTCATTAAGAATCGAATATCAAACAAAGGTTTAAATCAAGTTCCCGTTTAAAAGTTGTATTGGTAATGTTAAGCTGCAGTTTTTGTTGTTTTTTTCCAAACGAAAGAGTAAAAGTCAAAAAATACTGGAAGTGGTTGTGAGACTAAAATGGAAGTCCAGAATCCTTTTTATAATCTGCTATTCGTTGGGTCTCCCGTAATCAGTTCCATAGGGCCATAGTTCCAAGGGGGAAACAGTTTTTAGGGTCTGTGAAGGCTCACTCCTGTTGCATTCTAAATGAAAAAAATAATGTTGAATTTAGTCAGAAATGTGAAATAGATAAATAAACAAATTACATGTTTTTTAGCAAAGAATTTATGCAGTTGTGATTTACCTTGAGTTCATGAATATTAGATAAGGTCAGCTACTATTACTTGCGCAAAGCATAACATGGGCTTAATACCGTATTGCAATGCTGTTGTTATTTTGCTCCCATTTAAGTATTCCCATGCATCTGTGTCTAGTTTAACAGGAAAACATACAAGCAGAGTAAGTATCTGATAAACTAAAAGTCCCAGTTGTCAAAAAGATTCTTAACGTTTGTCCACAGCCAGCTGCATTTAATTGAGACACAGAACACTCATCTTCCAAGACTGTATACTGCTGTTTTGCGGGCAACTAAAAGCCCAGACACTTAGCTATCTTGCTACCGATAGTATTGCTGGGGAAATTGTTTAATGACAGTGATCATGAAATATGGTCAGTGATAGATGTACAGTTTAGAAATAAACACCAAACATACTTATCGCTATCTTATAATGTATGACAGCAACAGCACCAAAGGCACGTCTTTCTTCCTATTTTTAATCAGACTGATCTGAATACGTATACACATTAGAAACAGGCAACTCTACTTACTAAACTGATCTGTTTCGTTACAGGCTTCAAGCACTATACTTAAGTATATCATAATTCTTTCAACTAAACTAAATTATACGACAACCAAGAACACTAAACTAAGCAAGTGTCATAGTTATTGTTTCACTTGCAAAGACATGTCCCTCAAAGTAGTTAAATGGACATAATTAAGCCGATAAAACCAAAACACGAAATATAGGCCAGTTGAACTTACCTAAGAAAAAAAAGAAGGATAGATATAAACTGCTTTCATACTGAAGACAACAGGGAGTTGTTCATAGAAACACAGTTTACAGTACAACAAACTTTTCTTCAGTAAAATCATGCACTGACAGTCTATCTGGAAACAATCAACTATGTGAATTAACTTACTATGACTTGAGATATCATCCCAGCGTGCAATGGACGTACAGTGTAACGCAGTCAGACGTGGCGAATAAAAATTAAAAACAGAGCAGAATTAACTACATAATTTAGTTATTTAATTAAAAATACATTATGAAATGGCAAAATCTGTGGTTACTTGAACGCACAAATGACAGTGTGCGATACATTAAGTTTACATGGTTGCGTTGCGGATAAGATCACCCCAATCCAACCAACCCACGGCAATTGAAATACGGAATAACCGCCTCTGGTCAGGCCGTTCAAGGTCGTTGAAACGAAAGGGCGGGCGCATTCGAAGGGACCTAACGTTTAAACCGGGCACACTATGCGTGTTAGTTTACGGGTTTTCGCGCACATGTAACATATTGTCGTGGATTTTATGTTTCGTTATTTATCAGCTATTAACAGCCTTTTTTCCATCATACGTGACTTCTCGTAATCTTTGTGATTGGAAGATAGTATTTATTTCAATTTATAAGCAGTTTGACGTATTTTGTGCTCACCACCTAAGTAAACATGCAGTTGGCGTAATATGGTTATTTTTTAATAATACAAGGTCAAACAAGTCAAATCACCATTTTTCTAGTGAAAAATAGAAAACAGATTGACTTTTCATGAAAATAAGCCGTGAAAAGCATTATATATGGTTCACCTCCTTGATTATGGTGACAGCAAACATAGATGTTCGCAGTCGTTTATAAGATGTTATCAGAAAGAAGTAAGCATTAAACTAACTATGGATATTATATAAATTGTTTGTATTTAGCCATAAAAGGTTATTTGCACTAAAGGTAGCATTGTTTGGTATTGAAGTGACATATTATTGTGTAACGTATTAGAGAAAAATTATGTGAGTAAGAATTGATGTTGATAGTCTTTTTTACCGGCTTTCTGAACGTATACAGGAACAGTGTATAACACCACATTAAATAGGCACAAAATCTTCATAAGTGAAACGATGGCTGTCTCTTCTGAGCATGGTGACAAAACCATGTCGTACCTAATATTGATTCATGATGTGTCTGTTATAGCGTTGACGAATAATTTTCTGTAAACGAAATGCACAGTCTCAGACGAAAATGTGAACAAACTTATGATGCATATTGTCGAGTAATATCTAAATGGTACTTACCAATTTTTCTTGCTAATACCAGATGTATGTACGAAATAATACAAGGGTTAGACACTGAATAAATTTCCAGTGCTTGTTACGACACAGACTTGAATAAAAAACAACTATTCATGAGTTAATTAATGAATTCCTACTGTATTACAGACTGACTCGTCCGAAGTAATTCATGCAGACAACGGGACGAAAAGTGAATGAGCAATGGAAGCAGAATCACAAGTTCCTTGTATTCATATCTCGTTTATGCCAATTTTTAAATAACATTGATTTGTGTGTTGTAAAGATTACCTTTTAATTATTATTAAAGGAAATAGAAATCTCTAATGATTAGCGCTGTCTGCAAATAAGAGACTTATAGGTACATTCTGTAACCTGCTATTTGATGTACTTATTGAATGTGATACTTATAACTGGGTCTAATTCTTTATTTCACAACTGATTTGTTTTTCAGAATTGTATGAATCCAATAAAGTCGTCAAAGGTTTGTGATGTTTACGCCGGTCTACAACTTACAGAATTTGTTAAAAAACGGTTTACATGTTCACGTTAACTGTGTTCCGTATTGCCTAGTAACATTTTTATTCAACTAATGAATTAGTGAAATATAAATATAGCAAATACACTTATTGTCTTACTTTATAAACCGTGTCCGTCTTTATTAATAGTCGATATGACGCTAGAACAAATATAGATATAGAATAATATGAACTCCTTATAATCCATGGAGTGAACAAGTAATAAGATGGATTATGTATTAATTCATTTCACTTTTAAAATTTAGTTGCCGATTTATTCCAGCACCCTGTCACTTACATCTGCTCACTTAATCCTCTGTAATTATGTGACCTCTTCAAATTGTAATAAGTTATTACGTGACCCAAGTTTTCAGTTCTTAAATCCACGGATCACTTATAGGCCATAAGATTTTCACACCACTTATCTGTCTGTGAACTCCAGTCAACTATTACACCACCCATTCTTAATGTGTTATTGACTGTAAAAACAAATGACCTTTGACCTTAAACTGCATATATATATATATATCTAGTCATTATTGATAACCCACGTCATTTCAATTATTCATATTAAGGTATGTCAACTGTTTCCCACATCACTGTTAAATCCTAATGCATATTTAGTTATAACGAATGCATACCACTGTTAATCAACATTATCCTGGTTTCATTTTAATTCATAAGCGGAACTAGTCACATGGAATTAAAATCTTAGCTACTGATACGATTTTAATTATAAACGTAATCCGACGAAGGTGAATATGATATGTGGGTGCCTAATCTGCAAGATTGTACGTGGATGTAGGGTTTCTGAATCATTCTTAATTATTACAAACAGTTACACATGAACGTCATTGCTATTTATTCCCATGAAACTAGGAATAAGATGAAAATAAAAATTATGACAGTTTATTGAATAATCATTGATGCTAAAGCAGAAAATCAAGTTTACAAGTTGGTATTAAGAATTCTTAAGTAATAATTGTCCACCTTCTTCTCAACTTCCGTTGCAAAACGTTCACCATACTTCTCAATGATGCGTTGCTTATGGATTCTTTGACTTCGTTGAATACTTATATACACTTCACTCCGTCGTGTTAATCCAGTTAATGTATAATTTTGGAAGTTCTGGGTATTATGTAACTTCCATCTGCTACAATACCTAAGAAGTTGATGAGCTATGCAGTTAGTATTTCATAATTGACATAGCTTACCTGTAAGATTTCGTCTTTTAACGTATGCAAGTAGCATGTGACGGCAGGGATATCGGCACATCATAAACGTGCTACAATTGCATTGACAAATGCTTATATCAACTTCATAATGTTGTCCGCGATCAACCATAAACAACCAATCACCGCTTTCATATTCCACGTAGACAAAACGCATTTGCTTAAGTTCGTATAACAATTTAGATATTAGTTACAGATCTTACGATTTTTGCCTCACTTTCAAACCTTCCGATTTCCTCTTATGACCAAACGTACAATTAAACGATACAAACAGGTATTTGAACCTGACATCCTTCAGCAATCTGCTCTCTGTGTGGATGTAACGAGTATATGTAGTCTGAGAAGCGATAAAACTATAATTCCATACCTTTTGGAACTCTTTTAAGGCGCTTTCAAAATCATCCCACAAGACGAAACGCTTGTTCAGTATCATACTTCGAAAGGCATCGGTTAGGTCGACTGAAATGTCACTTGAGCATGAAGCACTAAAAACAGAAATGACTAATTATTAAAAGGTTATTCCTTGCGACAATAATAACCCAAGAAAATACTACAAATACTTAGGATTTACCTGTGACTTGACATTTCGTTGAGCTTTACTACAGTTGTTGGGATCAAAGATCAAATTACAAAGCAACAACAGAGCCAACGTGTACACTACAAAACAGAGAACGCTAAATTAATGGTTTTGGTATTTATTTCGTGCTTTTTTATGTAGCATAACATGACTTATATATGAAAAAACTTGGTACTCATGCAATCCAACCAACCCACGGCAATTGAAATACGGAATGACCGCCTCTAGTCAAGCCGTTCAAGGTCGTTGAAACGAAAGGGCGAGCACATTTCAAAAGGACCTAACGTTTAAACCTTGCCTTAAACCGTGCATACATTGTATGTTTCCCTATCTCACGTGTTTTGCCCTTATAATTATCTCTTATCCACCCAATACATCTAACAAAACATGTAGTCTTGATGAAACAGGTAATATACCTACGCTTAGTCTCTAATATAGTTACATCATATCTCATGAAAGGGGTGAATATTGGACCTTGATATGGATCCAGACAAGGATATGTTTTGGGTTTGTTAAGTCGATGTGAAAAGATGGAGATATTGATTATAGACCACGTGTATTTAGCGATTAAACCACTTGGCTTTCAACCAATGAGTTGTACATTCGAACCCCACTCTACCTTGACAGTTTCGGCAACCGAGTGGTGTTATTAGAGTCCTTACAGTGTGTCTGGATGCTAAACGTATAGATATTTACTTAACATTTTCACGGTATTCTGAACTGGTTGGATGACTTCTAACATTATTGTATTCTCCGTACCTATTTGCTACTAATAATATCTTAAGAATTATGACCAACTATTGCGTTAATACCCTCATTTTTAATCTTCAGTCAATTCGTAGGGTTGGCAGTTTCCATGCAGAATAAATATTACAGTGTATTGTCACTTCGTTTCGTTGGTTCTGAACAGTATAAATAAACTAGATTGTATTGATAAAACTGGGTATTTGTAAACCTGGAAGGTTCGCGGAGATTCAGAAAGTTATTGTACTTCTTAGTTATAAGGTTCTGAGTCTATGTTAATCCTTGCTGCTTTTCTTCCAGTGTAGATCTAGCTTCCCTTTGGAAGTGTCCACTGATGAGGCTTGTTCGAGTAGGGTGTGTCAGCCATTGACTACTCGGTAAAAATTAATTCCACTCCGAGTTTATTTGATCGTGGTTTTTAAACCTTATGGCGACTTTGGAGACAATTTGTTCTAGTGAGGTCAAAACGTGGCATCAGTGCTTGAAGTCACTAACTTGTAGTCTGAGCCATGTTGGCAGATGCAGACTACTTGGTTGGGGTCCGTGTGATTATCGTAACCAATGGTTGGAGACTCTGTGTGACATAGCTCAGAATCGATCACAATGGTGTAAGTGTATACACTCTATATCTTCCCTTAAATCATGAGATTAAAATCGCTTCATACCTTTCTACCGACAAATTCTTTCTTCCTGTACTATGTCCTTATATGCAATCTTTCTTTTATATATTACCACCACTGAATTAACTATTTCTGTGAATCCGGTGTTCATCTTGTTGTGCTAATGAGGTATGGCAACTTGGAGCGATGCATATATGTGCTTAGTCCTACGTTGTAGCTGACTGAGTGAGTGAGTGAGGTCAAAAAGGTAGGACATATTAACATCCAGATAAATATGTAAGACACAATACCGAAATAAGGTCAACTCGCTGTCTACAATAAGGGGAAAAAGTTTAGACGTATTAAGTGCTCATCGTTGGAGAGTTTAGAAAAACCCGTTAGTAACGTATTTAGTTCCTACGTGCTAAAAACTGGAGTGCGGTAACATCCCTAATAAGACATGAAAAAGTTGCTTAGGTGTAAAATTCGGAGTAAGGTTTCAAATAAGCAGGTATAAAATCGGAAACATCTTAGCCAATTTTTAGGTAACTTGACTAATGTACTATTTAGACTGACAGTTCGATAGACACCATACGTCTCCTTTCGCATTTAAATATAAGGGTGACGATGGCATCATTTCAATCCCTATGTGAAACAGTGTTGTGAGTGATTCTTAAATGGTGTCTGCAAGGAATGACAGCAGTCGTAGTCATAACTCATCAGGCCTCGGCAACGTACCACGTTTAAGGTGGACAAATAATTGAAGAACAGCTCTCTTAGTAGTAAACATTGGTCTTGTGGCTGGTACCGTAGCAGTGTGGTTGTGGAAAGTATTGATAAAAACATTTTCAGAACAGACCTCGTCAAAACAATTTGATAAACTTCCATCTGTCATATCTGATTCAGGTAGTATAGATGTATTATCGTGCAACATTAATAAGGGAAATCCGTCACTGCGTTCTATTCTTTGCTTAATGCGTGAAAAGAAATCGTTTTGAGACAGTGCGTCTATCGTATGCTAACTCTCCTTCATACGTACTGCAAGATCTAGCTTTAGCCTTTTTCTACATATATTCATGACTTCTCGGTACTCACACGTAAATGATTCGCGACTTGTTGACATGGCTCAGAATCGATCACAATGTCGTCGGTGTATACACTCCCTGTCTTCCCTTAAACTAAGAGATTAAAATCACTTCATATCTTTCTTTCTACTAACTAACTCTTTCTTCCTATACTATATCCTTATATGCAATCTTTCTCCTATATATTACCACCTTTGACCTAACCACTCCTATGATTCCGGTGTTCATCTTGCTGTGCTAATGAGGTATAGCAACCTGAACCGATGCACATATGTGCCTGGTCCTACGTTGTAGCTGACTGACTGACTGACTGTTAGGAAAAACTTCTAAAAATATCCCCTGAACCATAGCAGCTTTTGACTTTTTCAGTCGATTCACGGAGGGCAATGTAATTGCTTACGTGTTGACCATGAGATGAACGGTATTATTACGTTCTCGAATGTGGTCTTAAACTTGATTAGATTTGGCTGTCATATATGTATATACATAGTTAATGTTTAATGTGTGTAAACTCCGCGGATCATTTTCTTCCATTAGAAAACATTTAGGAAAGCCAATCACGAAGCTACTCATCAGTTAGAACACGTTTATTGGATTTTTCGTATTTTTGTATGGTTCGCTAATTTGTTAATGACAATTTAGAGTCTGATACTAATCTATACGTCTGTTCAAATCACTACACCCCACATCAAAACCGAGTGAAAAAAATCGACGAAACAGAAAACAAAAGAAGTAATACTGACAGCATGCAACAATCGAATCACACTTGACGGAGTAGATTTGGAATATGTAAAAACGTTTATATATCTGGGCAGCATCATTGATGAACACGGTGGATCTGATGCAGATGTGAATGCGTCGATCGGCAAAGCAAGAGCAGCATATTTACAACTAGAGAATATCTGGAACTCGAAACAACTGTCAACCAACACCAAGGTCAGAATTTTCAATACAAATGTCGAAACAGTTCTACTGTATAGAGTGGAAACTTGGAGAACTACGAAAGCCATCATCCACAAGATACAAGTGTTTATTAACAGCTGTCTACGCAAAATACTTCGGATCCGTTGGCCAGACACTATCAGCAACAACCTACTGTGGGAGAGAACAAACAAGATCCCAGCGGAGGAAAAAAATAGGAAGAAGCGCTGGAAGTGGATAGGACACACATTGAGGAAAGCACCCAACTGCGTCACAAGGCAATCCTCACATGGAATTCTCAAGGCCAAAGGAAAAAAGGAAGGCCAAAGAACACATCACGTCGAGAAATGGAGACAAACATGAGAAAAATGAACAAAAATTGGATAGAACTGGGGGGAAGGCTCAAGACAGAGTGGGTTGTAGAATGTTGGTCGGCGGCCTATGCTCCATTGTGAGTAACAGGCGTAAGTAAGTAACTGACTGGAAATAGAAATAAGAATATAAACTTGCAGTACAAACGGTAGAAATAAAGTCTAGGAGTGAGGAATGACACGACTCAAATTTAGGACGGAAGTGGAGAAAGAATGTAATTGCACCACTGTGATAGATGTAGCATGTCTCCAACTATAAATTTTGGGTACTGTACAAGCTTCAGTCGGAAAGTTTAGACCTATTTACCTGGTTTAGGCCAGCAACTAACTTTGTAACAAATAGTGTATCTTGACCCACCCTCCTCTTCTAACATTATCCCCAGTCTATCCGTATGTCCATCGTCATTTTGAGTTCGAGTTGAAGGTAACTGATCACACAAAACATAATATGCCTTTTATTTTAAAATCTAGTGACCTATTCCCAACCTCATTATTGGTCATTTAATATTTCAATCAAACATATTCAATTCGAGTTCGTTACTCTCTATAGCTTTTCATTAACATTACCTTATAATATTCAAAGTATTCAACAGTATACGTGTGTTTTAAATGTTTGAATTTATTTTTTAATTGTTTTATTTTATTTCAAGCTTAGATTGTTGGAAATTTAACTGTGAACTTTTCTGTTAATACTGTCTTATCTATCTTGCTTGCATTAGATTGTTCATCCTATCATGTCCAGTAATAGGAATGTTGATGATGAATGGGAAACAGAGCCAGATTTTGTGGTAGTTTTTCTATTTCTCTTCAAAATGAACGAAAAAAATCAAATAATTATGTTCCTGTGTATAGAACGATGTAACAGAGAAAGAACAAAGATGGGGCTCCAAAACTGTTATTGGTTCTGGCCATCAAGCTTCCATAGAGTAAGTAATGTAATTTTAAAAAAAAGTTATTAATTGCAATAAACTCATTACAACTCAATAGATAAGTACAGGTTTGTATATTCAACTCTTAACAATACTTATTGTGTTTGAGAACTAGTTAAAATGAATTGTGATGTAAAGAAAATTTGTAGCTTAAGTGAATACTTTTAATTGTGTGCTCCATAATTTATACGATTTTTAATTATAAACCTTTCAGATGTCCCATGTCATTTAATTGTCGGTTAATTAATCGTTTCTTTTGGGAATAAGGGAATAAAAGATATGAGTGTTTTTGTTTTCTATTTGTCATTAGTTAATTAATCTTTATACAAGTCAGTATACGGGTCAGTATTGACTCAGTAGTGATGTTCGATTTTCAACCAGTAGGTGTGCAGTTTACAGTCCAACCACACCTACTTCGGTTTGAGCAGTCGGGTAGCATTGATAACTTCCATATATAGTGTGGCTTGTAACCAAGTAAAGGCTTCTGTACCTGGTAAAATCAATCCTACTGGTCAGCGCTGTCATTGGTCCAAGTGGCTTGATATAGGAGTATATCATGTTTGATTGTAGATGATAGGAGGAGTTCAATGAGACCTACCGCAGAAGATAAGTTGTTCTCTAAGTATTCCAGTAGTAAAAATCTCCGATTATGATGCTGGTTACTGTGAACTGGAGTCCCTCGAGAAAAACAATTCCCTTAAGTTTGTGGATACACTAAAATAGGGATTCCTGTCAATTACCTACAGCTATCTAACGCGATTAACATTTACATGTATAGAATATCGGGCTGGTCTAATAATCTAAGTTAGTGTTACGCTCACAGTTAATCTACTGTGCTTTGTTAATATGATTTGATAATACGGGTAACGTATACTACTGTTTTTGACTTCCTTTAAGCGTAGATAAAAATAAATTCCAATTTTCTTTCCAAATCTTCCTCTAATTCAAAGGTCAAATGTGGATCAGATTTCATAGAAGCACCGAAGAAAGTTGACTAAGCAGTTAAGTACTACATATTTATAATGCCCTATAGAGAGGAGTAAGGCAAAGTTATTATATTATAAGAGAAACTGACAAATAAATGGAGTGACTCTGATCACAGCGAATAAAATGAATGACTCAGCGTAGACAATTATGGGGTGTACAACTCGAATAGAGAAATAGACAAGGTTAATACTGTTATGACTTTTGACTCCTGTCAATTATCACATGATGAAATCACCAATTAGAACACTGATTTATATGACCTTGTTTTTGTGCTAAACCAATGACACGTCAACCAGCACTAGCAACCTTGAGTCAACTCGGAATCCTTATTGGTCCTCAATAAAGAAAATCCTCGCCTAACCCCGCTCGCCGAGTCCGGAACACAAATATCATCCTTCGCCACATGAATCGTACTCCTCAGACATACGCGGTTTATGCATAAACAGACCAGACCACATCACATCTAAAATAATAGTCATACGAGATCAAGCCGAAAGTAACTATGAGTGTGAGAGACTATAACTAATACATTGGGAATAACTTAGGAATAGTAGATCGTGTAGTGGTAGTCAATAGGTCAAATGAAAGCTTATGATAAAAGAAATATATATATACACTTACTAAGACTTTCGAAATTCAATTGCAAATGTTACAACAAAATCTATCTCAAACTCATGTTACTATTACTCCTCTCTCTTTCCTTCAATCAAAAGTATGATGGCGTTAAAAGAAGAAGTGAAACAAGCAGATCGTTTGGCAAAATTAAAAATTGCACCGAAACCAGCTTATGGATATGGTGGCCAATTCGGAATTGAAAAAGATCGAATGGATAAGGTTTTTAGTTTTGGTTAATTTTCTTTTTTTTGCTTTTTTATACGAAGGTTTATCACTTTCTGTATTAAGAGAATGATCTATTTATTTTTGTATTGGTTGTTTGAATCTTCCCAAAGATGTTTAGAAATGAAATTGATCAGTCTCTCTTATTGGCATATGTGCATTCTGTGCGGATTGTCTCGACATTGCCTTACGTCACGAGCATGATAAACAGAGATGGATGGTGCCTAGTAGTGGAATCCAGGACGCTCGTTTCATCCTATTTTGGACTTGCGTACCCTGGATTCTACTGCTAACCCTCATCCATCTCTGCTCAGAATGATTTATTATCTTCATTTTTAACATGACACTGTACCAGTTGAATTTTTTTAGTGTGAAATAATGAGTTGTGTCACTCAGTAAGGGGGAAATACAGCGGTGGGGAGTTGTGCCTATGAAAAGGATCAGATTACAATTAAACAGTGTTACTTGTTTTGTAACTTATTTACATATGATATGAAACCATTTATGAATGTATATTAATAATGCAACAGAGTAACTTGGGAAAATATACACTTCAATGGTTTGCAAACCTTTACTGATCGTGGCAGTTGCAACATATGTTATTTATGTAAGTTGGTGGTTGGTAGTAATAAACAGAAAACCCTGGACCTAGGTTTCATGCTAGTCGACATTCGTCAACAAGACTTACCTGCAATCTTGAGAGAATCTATTTTTTTTGGTGGTTTTGATTCAGTATCACTCAGCTTTACAATCAAAGAGGTTACTGCTGAGCTATCCGGGCTGCAACTGACCTCCTGTAGCACTGAGATATATTTACAATTGATTGACCACTGAGTAGTGACCAGTGTCATTTATGTCAGATCCTTCTTAATGCAGACCTATTTTTTTCGAGCAGGACGTCAATCGCTGCCTAGATACCTCAGTGGTAACCTCTTTGACTGTGAAGCTGGTTGACACGCAATCGAATCCACCAGGGATCATCGTTTCCCTCAAGATTATAGGTAAACTTTGCTGACGAATGCCAATTAGTATGAAACCTAGATGTAGGGTGTTATATCCTAGCGAGGATTACATTACGAGTAACTCCTGAGACCTATTAATGAACTAATATTATCTCTATATTCTTAGGGTATAACTAATCAGTATTTAGATTATGTATATCTATATTCTCCTTGTTATAAGCTTCATTTTGACCTATAGATTATTATTGTACGATTTACTGTTCTTAAGTTATACTCAGTTTATTAATTACTGTCTCCCACGTTCACAGCCACGTTTTGGCTTTATTGTGTATGAATGTTATTTCTGATTTTATGGTGCGTTTCGGTCTGTTTGGTTGATATATAAACCCAGTATATCTGAAATAAATGATTCGATTCGCATAGTGGAGGCTGTTGTTGGCATTCTGAACTCAGCTGGACGGGCCAGGCGAGCAACGGACCAATATGACTCTAGGCTGATCAGACCGGTCGGACTTCATTGGTTTAGTACAGTATAAGAGCGAATAAGTCGTATTTTGATTGGTGAATAGATTACGTGATAACTAGCGGACCATAAAGTCACAACATAGGGTTCGTTGTCGAGTACTTCCAATTACTACCTGACATTTCAACATAGTTCACGCAATATTGAGTCACTTAGACTAGTGGGCACATTGCAACTTGGTCGATAGAATTTGATCTGCACTAAGGAAGACATGGCACACATGATATTGGTCACTAGTCAGTAATCAATCAATTGTAAATGTGTTATATATGCCTAGCAATTACCTACCTCGACGGGCGATGTTAACTGGTATAGGAAGAGAAGAAGAAAGGGTAGTTAAATCAAAATGTGGAATCATTTCACGAAATCCTTAACTGTTGGTTTGAATCATATTTCTAGATAGAGACTAACTGTTTGTAGTTCAAGTAATAGCTCATATTTATTAGTTAGAGATATTGATTGATATGTAACTGTTATGGCTTTAAGTTGCGGTCGATTTTTACCCTGTGCTAATTGTTGTGTCCTTGACTGGAAAATTAGAGAGCAGCGTATTTATCGATCGACTACAGCGACACGTAAACACGAACGGACGGCCTAGAGTCCCGATTGGTCTCGCTTCCCTGTCTAGCCCAGTCAGTTGAGTCCAGAAGACAAGCCACAGCCTCGGAGATATGAATCATTATATTTCAAACATACTTTGTTTACATACTAACCAAGCATACCACATCGTACCATAAAAATAGAAAACAACATTTTGTACAATATTGAACAAGTGAACAGATATCGACCAATAGGAAATGTCCATTTAAAGCCCAAGGACACCACTGGACTTAACATGATAATTATTGGTCTATTCCTCCGCATCCACAACAGTTACTCAGGATCCGGTCACCGTCACACAACAGATACATTGACTCTTTGTCTTTCCCGTTATATTTTGATTTTAAAAAGTAGCTTACACTTTTCATTTCACGAATTCATTCTTTTCATATTGTATTATCTATACCTGATCATTTATAATTACCACAGTTACTGTTACATTAACTTCTACCACTCTAGTATTTGTTTGGGTAAATTCATCGCGCTATGTTAATATGTTATGTCAACTTGAACTGATACACATGTATATGCCAGGTTCTACATTTTTTAATGATTGACTGGCTGGTTGAATATATACTAATCATTTCTGTGTAAACCGTTTTTGTTATTGTGTGTTTTAGTCAGCAGTAGATTGGAATCATATTGAAGTGACTGAAAAGCATACATCACAAAAAGATTATGCAAAGGGATTTGGTGGTAAATATGGTGTTGAACGAGATCGTCAAGATAAAGTAAGTTTTTAAATATGATTATTTGTAAAATAAGTTGGAGTTATCCCATTGATGATATATTAAGTCTTTGTTAGCATGTGTATGGAGTCCGGAGTAGATGGATTATAACTTGTAGTCGAATTAAAAACACGTGTTTCACTATATTTGGGACTCGTCAGCTAGATGTAACTGTATTCTAGTCTTAGTGTTTACATTTGGACTCGCTAGACAAGTTAATGGAGTTCCAATGTAAACATCAATACTAAGATGCAGGTACATCTAGCTGACAAGCCCTAAACAGGACGAAATGGGTGTCATAGATTTCATTGAAAAACATAATCCATTTATTCTATTTTTCAAAAATGAAGAATATTTGTGCGAACAACTGTTTTGAATAACTTCATCATCATACTCTACAATTATAAGTCCATAATTTTCGTGATATTTTACCAAGACCAAAATAAGGCATACATTAATGAATTTTACAATGTTATATGTTAAAAATGCTGAACGTTTTCACCTGTTACGATATGAATACTTCAAAATCGTGTTATTTGTAAATTAGAAAGGTCATTTAATAAATATCAGAATGGGACTCTTCAGCAGTGCGCATCCACACTCCCTTACAGCTGAGGAGTCCCGTACTAGGACGAAACGGCCGTCCAGTGCTTCCAGGTTTTCAGTGGTGGTCTGACATTGATCAGTTCACAATCTCGATTAAAAAACTCAACAATCTCTACAATACTATGCTGATAAATATCAGAATGATTTGTAGTAGTGTCAAGTTATTATCAATACCATAGTAATATAATGAAAAATCGTATGAATAAAATGCATAATAGGAGAATTTCGTCTTGTTGATCGAGGTAATAATAATATCGTTGTGTGAATATAATAGTTAATAAGAGGGGTGTTATCAAAATATATATGATAAAAAAGAATTCATACTAATTGGGAAAGATGAATGTGAAGATTAAGAAAGATGTAACCTAGAAAAAAAATAGGAGGGGGGATAAAAGGTTTATAATATTCAGTTTAGGTGTCTGGTGATCCAGTCGTAAGCCGAGTTATACATATAAGCTGGATATACCTCTTCTGGATACATAAGTTGGTCTTTCTGGAGTTGATCCAGATGGCTTCAGCTATATAGAGTAGCTGTAATCCAGCTCTTTTAGTTAGATTCTTTGGGACTTGATCTAAAACAAAGAAAGCTTCATCTATTTTAATATGATGTTCACTATCTACCAAGTGAGATAGAATGGTACTGTTAACCGATTTAGTGACTTTTTGTCAACCATGCTGTTGCAGGTTGACGAAAACACAAGGATAAAGCCTTCTGAGTAAGGCCTATCTAACTAGGTCCACAGGAGCAGTTGAATTAGTATATGCATATGGTGGAGCCCATCATCGGTAACCTATCGTTGATTTGTTGTGTAAGTGCGGGTTTAGTTAAAAAATGTATATGTAACGTGGCTGCATGAAACGTCCTTTCAACAGGTCTTTTGAGCTGACGTGTTAAAATGTCTCCTTTAAAATCCAGTTTCAGACAGGTTTTTTTTTACTGACCGAGTCACAGTTTCTTTTTTTGATACCTTCTAATAGGAATTTTCTGACGAAATTATCTGGATAACCGTTATTTCTTAGTGTGTACGTTAGTATATCTATTTTGCTGTCTACTCTATCTTCAGAACCTAATAGCCTGATTCTGTGGCTGAGGCATTTAACCAAATTTATTTTGTATTGAAGAATTGTAAAGTTATGGAAACGGGTATACTGACCCGTCTATATGTTCCTTCTAAACACATTTCTTCTTATGAAACCATCTATTATCTTCGCTGGTCAGTGACCCTTCTTATCTAGGACTAAGCCAAGGTACTTGATCGGATACATGAAGGACAGAAACTTTTCTTCAAATAGTCAGGAACCATACTCCTTCAGTTGGTTAAGAACTTGATGTACACATATTTGTTTATTTTATCATGTTGAGCGATTACCCAATCACATCTGTCTTGGTTTGTAATAACGTATTTATATCTCCATTTACTTTATTCTGTTTTAATTAACCAATAAATCGCAAGTCATCTGTTGGTTGGGATCATAAAGAAGCCGTAGAAAAGCATTCATCACAAAAAGATTATTCAGTTGGATTCGGCGGAAAATTTGGTGTACAAACTGATCGACAAGACAAGGTAAATAAAAATAAGATGTAGATAGTTTATTTATTGTGTGTGTGTGTGTTTCCTTCCCCTTCAATTGTTTAATGTTTTTGATTTGTCAAGTTGAAATCATGAGTCAATTAAAGCTAGGCCACCATGGAAAACCTGGAAGCAATGAACGACCGTTTCGTTCTGGTATGGGACTCCTCAGCAGGGCGCATCCACGACTCCGCACCTCGCGGGATTCGGACCCAGGACCTACTGGTTTCGCGCGCGAGCACTTAACCATTAGACCATTGAGCCGGTATACAACGGTGTTAATGTCTAACTTCAACCAATCCACGAACTGTGTTTAAAGTTTATGGAAGCATACGGTAATAGACTGGCCTGAGTCAACACCTGAACTAAGGATAGGGAGTGAAGTAGTCGAACGCGTCGAAAACTTAACTAATCTTGGAAGTCTGATCAATCCTATTGGGTCGGCGTCTGACGAAATCTCTGCATGGATTCAGAAAGCTCGTTTGGCTTTCGCCAACTTACTTCACCTATGGCGAAGGCGAGATATCCGTCTATTAATTAAGGGACGAACATACTACTCAGCAGTTCGTTCTGTTCTACTTTACGGCTGAGAACCGTGGCCATTAAGGGTAGAGGATACTCGTAAGTTACTAGTATTTGATGACAGATATCTTAGAAATATTGCTCGCACCTGCTAGGATCACCGGGTAAGTAGTAATAGTGAGGTTAGATGCAGGTTATTATGGAATGATGGTAAATCAGTTGATGAGGTTGTGAATCTTCATCGACTGAGATGGTTGGGTTACGTATTACGCATACCCAACCACCGATTATCACGACGCGCAATGCTCACTATTGTTGGAGATCGATGGAAGAAATGTAAGTGCGGTCAAACCAAAACGTGGCATCAGTTCATAAAGTCACTAACGTTTGGTCTGAGTCATGATGGTAGATGGAGACTAATTGGTTGGCGTCCGTGCGACTATCGTAACCAATGGTTGGAGACTCTGAGTGACATGCTTCAGAATCAATCACATTGGCTTAGGTGTATACACTCTTTGTTTTCCCTTAAACCTTGAGATTAATGTTACTTTATACCTTTCTTTCTACGAACTAATTCTTTCTCCCTGTATTATATCCTTATATGCAATCTTTTTATATACATTACTACCATTGAAGTAACTGCTTCTATGAATTCGGTGTTCATCTTGTTGTTTTAATGATGTATGGCAACTTGGACTGATGCATATATGTGCCTGGTCCTACGTTTTAGATGACTGACTGATGGTGATATACATAAAAACTGTAGTAGGGATGTGAATCACTTAATATTGAAAGCAGTTGGTCTGATTAATGTAACATTTTTGTTTTGGTAAGGGTTTATAATTTCACGTTGTTGAGATCAGTCCCTCTTGTCAGATGTGTGGATCTTGAGCGATTTACTTCAATTATAGCCTTTATTTACAAGTTATAGTATTTTTTTATATTTGGCTAACAGTAGAACCTAGGACAGCTGTTTCATCGTATTTGAGACTTATCAGTTATATATATCTTTCCAGTGTTACTATTCACATAATGATATTATCCAGTTTCATAGTCTAAAATGTTAGTTACCATAGTTATTGTTCAGTGCTCCCTTCATTGATGTTCTTCCAATTAGCAATAATTCTCTTTTTTATAGTACTGTTGTAAAGCTTTTGTCTGTCTGCCTGTCTGTTTATTTTTTAATGTAGTCAGCCTTGGGTTGGGATCATCATGAACAATCCAGTCATCATCCATCACAAGTGGACTATTCCAAAGGATTTGGTGGTAAATTTGGTCTACAGACAGATCGAGTTGATTCATCATCAGTTGGTTGGAATGATGTTAATCAAACAGAATCGCATCCATCACAAATGAAAGGTACATGTGTGTCTGTGTGATATAAGTTAGATTTGTTTACTTCTTGTGTTGATCCTCTTATCTTTATTGACAGAATATGCAATGGTGTGTCCACATTTTCATGTTAGATGTCTTCAAAGCATTGCTGTGGTTTTGAATAGAACGACCGGATGGGTAATGCTAAAGCTTAGATGCATGATACTAGACAGAGATGATAATTCACTTAATAAAACCATAAGTCTTCATTGGCCGAAGTGGTTGGGACATATGTTACATATACCGAACAACTGCCTATTTCGACGCATGATGTTAGCTCTTGTAGGAGTAAGCTGGAAGAAAGGTGTGTAAGGGTGACCGAACCAAGACTTGAAATCAGTTCATGTAATCATTAATCGGTGGTGTAAGCCTTGTTTGTAAATAGAAATCAATGAGTTGTGGTCTATGCGTTTATCGTGATCTTGAGTTATATTCCAGCTTAAAATCAACTACAGTAGTTCAGAAACAAATTCATCTTTCATTTTCATTCTAGATGTTCAGTCCCAGTTTTCCTTTATCTGTATCTTCTCATTCTTCCTCTTCGAACTATATTCTTTATGCCTAGTTAATTTTACTCACTGCCATTTTTATCTTGATCTCTTTTACCAATCCTCTCGTTCGTCTCATCTTGTATATCTGTACAACTATATAGTACAGTATAAGAACTTGAGTTGACCCATTTGTGTAACAGATTTTTATGTTTATTCTATTTGATTAACTGATTAAATGTGTAGTCACAGTACAGGGGATGTGTAAAAGATATAACAACTTGAATTTCGTGTAATTCATCTCTGTTAATCATTTATAATGTTAAGTAAATTTGATAGTTGAGACGTTAATGAGTGACTTCTAGTCTAAATATCATGCAGCATTGCATACAACTTGACCAACATTTCAATAAGCGTTCGCGCCCTAAACCGAAGTTCCTGGATCCGAATTTTGCGTGAAGGATCGATCGTGGATGTGCACTAATGAGGAGTCCCATTCTAGTACAAAACGGCCGTCCAGTGCCTCCCAGTTTTGAATGGTGGTCTAGCTTAGATCAACTCATGAATTTCCTTTTTAACTGTAACTATTTATCTTATTTCATCCCTCCCTCCTTACCCACAACATTAATAATCAACTTCATTTTAGCGCCTATTTTCAAACCAGACGGTAGTTTAAGTAATATACGTGCACGATTTGAACAGGGAATTAATCCGAATAATGTAAAGGATTCATCTGGTTTAACTGTCGCTCAACAACGCGTTCTTGAAGAACAAACTCGATGGAATGCTGAACGTAAACAACAACAGCAACAACGCGAACAACAGGAAGATGAAGAACAATCCAGAGGAAAGTCAGGATCATCTGATACAGTTAAATCGGTAAATGGGGATGTTTATTTCAGTTTTTACTATTGATTTCATTAAGTTGAGTCCCTTCTTATTTTTTTAAAGATAAGTACTGACTTTTTGGGTACAATCTATTATATATGTATGTATACATATATTAACTCAGGTGCAGGACATCACTCTTACTTGAAATATTTACGATTGAAGTGTTAAACAGATCACAGTTGATTGCCTGTGTTTTGTTAATAAACTGATAATTATCATGTGTTCATTAGTGACTAGCTTCAAGAGGTAATTCTCGGAGTTCTAGTGAGAAACCATGACCAATGGAGTTCAATCCGTGTCAGGTATAAAACAATTATCCACTGAAGACAACAGAGGGTAGTCGCACAATATTGTAGATTGGTTGAAGTTAAACATTAACACTATTGGATGTCACTCTCAGTGGTTTAAAGAGGTTAAGCATTCGCGCACAAGACCGTAGGTCCCAAGTTTGATTCCTGCGTGTTAAATCATCGATACGCACTTCTGAGGAGTCTCATATTAGTACGAAATACCTATCCAGTGATTCCAGGTTTTTCATTGTGATCTATCTTTAATCAACACATTTTATCCATAAGTTTATATTAAACATAATTTTCAGTATTGTACTCTTTTCAAAACAAAATATGTGTAATATTTATGTCTTTTTTTCTTTCACTTTCATTTTTGTTTGTTTGTTTCTCCAGGTAACAAATAATTCTGTTTTTACTGATACTATTAAACCAACTAACAATAATACCATTCATGATCATAATTGGAATAAACAAGTTGACTCTGAAAATAACATGAAATCATTACATTCACAGGAATTTACAACTTTTGTTGAATCTAATCAATTTAATAATGATAAATATAATCAGTTAGAAGATAAAAATGAACCAAGAACTTCCAGTGAAAGTCATGTAAGTGTTTGTTTTTACTTTCTTCTTAAAGTTTATTTCAATGGTTGAGATCATGAGTTAATTGAAGCTAGACCACTATGAAAAACCTGGTAGCACTGGATGGCCATTTCGTCCTATTGTGGGACTCCTCCATGGCAGTGTGCATCTACGATCCCGTCCGGCGTGATTCGAACCAAGGACCTATCGGTTTCACGTGCGAGCGCTTAACCACTAGATCACTGAGCCGACCGGAACCCAACGGTGTTAATGTCTAACTTCAATTGACTTATGATCTCAACCATTGAAATTACTATAATATCCACAAAAAACCCTTCTGATATTAAAGTTTATTCTCATATGATAACTAATTTTCTGTTAGTCATGTTGAAGGATTGGTATTTATAGCAAATAATTTAACCTATCAATAGAATACAAGTTAATATATAAATATGTTAGATAGGTTGGAAGTAGTCGAGAGGAAACTATCGACTTAAGTTTCATGTTAGCTATTATTCATCAATAACGTGAATGTACAGTCTTGTGAACCAGCTGCTAATTCTTTATGGGACTTGAAGCCGAGTTGATCAGATCCCATGTTCTTAGATGTCTCTATTGAACTGTTCTAATCGTTACTGACCTCTTATAAGACTGAGATATTTGTATTATTTGATCAATGAGTATAGATCAATATCATGTTTTTTCTAGTCTTTTATTACTTACTTACATACTTACGCCTGTTACTCACAATGGAGCATAGGCCACCGACCATCATTCTCCAACCCATTCTGTCCTGGGCCTTCCTTTCTAGTTCTATCCAATGTTTGTTCATTCTCATGTCTGTCTCCATTTCTCGACCTAATGCGTTCTTTGGTCTTCCTCTTTTCCTTTAGCCTTGAGGATTCCATGTGAGGATTGCCTTGTGACGCAACTGGGTGCTTTTCTCAATGTGTGTCCTATCCACTTCCAGTGCTTCATTCTGATTTCTTCCTCCGCTGGGATCTTGTTTGTTCTCTCCCACAGTAGGTTGTTGCTGATAGTGTCAGGTCAACGGATCCGAAGTATTTTGCGTAGACAACTGTTAATAAACACCTGTATCTTCCGGGTGATATCTTTCGTAGTTCTCCAGGTTTCCGCGCCATACAGTAGAACTGTCTTTTATAGTACTTATCAAATTATTTACAATGCAGTCACTAGTCTAACTTATTTGATATCATGTGCGCTAAAGGATTAGATAAAGAAAAGATATTAGCCACTGCTTAATGGTCAATTCCTGTTCATATACATGTATAATGAATCCTACGGAGGAGGAAGTCAGTACCAACCTTAAATAAATTGATAGTAAATGTCCTTGACTGTGATCATGAGGTGTGTGGTACAGGTTAAATATTGCATGTATGTATGTGTGTGAAGGAATATCTATTCAGTTAATAGCTCGGATATACCTTGTTGGTCAATGCCAACTAGTATGTAACTTGAGTCTAGAACATGGTGTCAACTGTCTTTAATCATCGAACACATGTTAACAGTGCATACACTAGACTGTTCAACCATACTTTCACGTAGAATAGCAGCTCAAAAGTCATATCATACAGTATTAGGTAAATAATCAATATCATTCTTAGAGGTAAGTAATACTGCTAATAGTATTAGTAGCAAATGAGAACAAATGCAACATTTACAAAATAAATTGAGCCAATTACGAGAAATATTGCATTTAACAAAGTGGGTGCCCCTTTCACTTACACATAAATGAACATAGATTAGCAGTTAGGCAACATAATATACTACCAATGATGTCAATGGATAGAAAAAACCATGGGGATGAATTCGATTGGTGAAAAGTCAACATATTAGGTAGGAGAAACTTCAAGAATGCCAGAGAATCTCTAGAAGCATGGGCTTCAAATCAATTATCAATAAACAGACACATCGAAATCGATCTAATCTATAAAATCATATGGAAGAAATCAGTGAGTCACTAGGCCAGAGGTCAACCAATAAAATCAGCCAAGGTGAGTACATTGACAAATAAAAACAACAAGACTTACGAAGATAGCTAATTACGGACATGGTCGTTGGAATGAAGCGATACAACACTTGTGGACTGACTGGAAAGCTCACTTCTACATAAGGTAGATGCTGAAAATATTGCTCAGAAAACTCAACACTACCAATTTCGGAAACCTTTATTTATCAGTTATGAAGTGACTTTTGACTGACGTAACGTTCAAATTTGTCATTCGCTCTTTACCACAATTAATCAAGATCGGCTCTACATGCAAGAATATTACATCAAACAAAACACTTACATATATAAACATGAGAAAATTCTGCCATCGTATTCACACACTCCATGCATCCATACGCTTTCAAGGTCACTGTCCGTATGTAGTGCTCAAGTTGATCAAAGCTGAGAGCTATTCATCAGTATTAATCAATACATGCCCCCGAATGCCCTGGTACGGCCAAGGGTGAGGAGAGTCAGCTCTCCCTCTCGAAATGCTCTCACATGGCCACGCGTATGCCGCCATTACCAAGAAAGTTCTACTCACTACCTTCTCACGGCACCGGTGTTGTTTACAGAATTGAGAGGAGTAAGAGCGAATGTCCGGCACTTTAACCGGTTTGGTGGGTACGGATGATACACCTAGGGAAGTTGGAAATCCCTGATTCCAAACCAATGGTGTACATGGACTCCAGAATCCTGAAGGAATAAATGGATTATGAACCTATTGTTGGTAACCTGCTACCACGGGACTCCATCTCCCTGCGTTGCTCCACTACCGTGTGGATTAGACCTCTAGGTCAAAGGCTCGGGGAGTGGGGCTGCCTAAGATACCTATTTGATTCGGTCTAGGCACTCGAGGAGTATTCCAGCCTTAACACAGATCGAATGATTTGTGTGGCGCATATGTATTTGTTGCCTTCCTGTACCAATATCTATGTGTTCAAATAAAATTAAAATTAAAAGTGGCGAATATATCTTTGATGCCTCGTTGTACCAATGTTTGTGTTTAAATGAATAATTCAATACATATTAAATTTTGATTGGAATCGCGCCAATTAATCAGTCTCTTGTCCACCTGTCATTAATACTGACACTGATTTCGAAGTATTTTTCTTAATGTAAGGTGATGTTTATTTGTTCGTTTGTTTCACATAGGTACATGATAACCCTGTCGCCAGTGATGATCAAGTTCCTGAAATGTTTACGGTAACCGCTATGTATGATTATGAAGCCGGTAAGCAATTCTGATCCATTTGTCTGAATATATATATATATATATAGTCATTATAAGTCGTGTTAAACGTCAGTTGTTGACAGTATAGACTCTTGTCCTCATTTATTTACATTTTCTTGTTACTCATCTATACAGAATATTTATAGAATTAAAAAGAAACTATTGTTTCCTTATCGATCATAAATCATGGATCTTTCACTAGCTTGAAATTTGTACGATTACTTATTAATAAGCTTATATGATCCGTCTATCATCCCTTTCCAGGACCCAAATTGTTAGATAGCTACATTATCTATCTTAACCAGTGACAATTTTTGTTTCATTCTAAGTGGGGGGGGGTGTTTTACTCATAAATATTATACTTGTTGATCACTGCTTAGTTGTTGAAGTTCCCGTTGATCTCCAAATCATAAATCAGTTAATTAATGAATCGTAGCTAATTTCAATATTATTCATTAGTAAAAATGAAAAAATTTCATTTGTTTAGCATGATAATGCTTCTTTTTTGCTTCAACTTTCACCGAGCAAATATCTTATCGACCAACCTAAGATATCTATATATAAGTTGGAGGGCTCTATCTGTGTGTACTAAGCGTGGTTTAATCGTACAGCTTTCACTAATTGCCTTTTTAGACAACAATATCATCAGTAGTGTACAAGATCCAGATAAAGAGAATTAACCTATGAAATCTTCTTGATAAGTAATAGACTAACACCTTGCTTTTGTTAAAAATTGAGATCCGAGATCCATTAGTTTACAGGTATAATTCCAATCACTTTGCGGCACCGCTTGACAATCTCCCATTGCCTTCAGTAGATAATTGCCTTACACACTCTGACGCGATTGAATTCTACTTGTCACAACTTCTTTCTGGAACTCTTAAAATTTCGTCCTTTGGGTACTGGTGAGCACATAGTTATTGCTCCTGTAGGGAGGCCTAGAGGTTAGGTGCTTGCTGCGAGACTTGGATTCAATCCCTGGTGCATTTTCAGTGGGTTGTCTAGTTTAAATCAGTCCATAATGTAAAACTACAAAACTCAACAACCTATACAAACCCCCTCTTTATTAATGACAATCAATGATTGGTAATTTAGGTGATAAAATCGAAAGTACCAGTCAACATTCAGCGAAAAAAACACTTCAAGTTGACTAATCCGATTTGGTCGGATAGATAGAAGTTACCTCAAATGATAAGGAAATATTGCTTAGTTTAAATTATGGACCGATCTTAGCTAGACGACTATTGGAAACCTGACAGCACTGAAAGACCATTTCTTTATAGTAAGATACTCCCCAATAATGCGTATCAAGTCAAGGATCTTCAGTCATGCTCGAGGACACTTCACGTATAGATCATAAGAATGTATTTGTCTGACAATCATCTAAGGAAATATAAGAAAGGGAGTTATTCGAAAAATGTTGGTTACTCATAAGTAGTATGGTTGAAGTTATACGACTTTCACACTTCAATTTTGATAGTTAAAATTCAAAATTTATCTAACGAGAAGTATACTACGTCCTAACCTCGTTCAATCATTTCTCATTGATACTTATTTAATAATTTACTTATAATTGTTTATCTATATTCCTTTCAAACTTCTTTCTTTCTTTCTTTGTACATGAAGCTGAAAATGATGAATTGACATTTAAAGCTGGTGAAATAATTACAGAGGTTGAAAAAATTGATGCAGGCTGGTGGAAAGGTGTTTGTCGTAATAAAGTTGGTCTATTTCCTGCTAACTATGTCAAATTAGAATGATTAACGATAAAGTTAAGGAATGACTAATGAAATTCGTTAATAATTGAATCTTAATTGTCCACGATTTCTGTTGCTGTTGTTGTTGTTGTTCTACGAGTCCAGATAAACAAACCATCAGAAAACACTCAATACATTGAATTCATTTTCAGCATTACATTTTTGATATTCTGTGCTCAATTTCCAGGAATCTGTGAAGTGAATTTTATATTCTACAAAACATTCAACATAAGTTGATATCAGCTTTGTGTATGTTAGATGTACTTGAATTGTTCTCTCTCTTTCAATTGTCATAGATACAATTCTTATTTGATTTAATGGAAGTTTTCTTCTTTTTTTTTTGAAGATTTTTTTCAGTTTTTTATGATTTGTTTTTGCTATCCATAACTTGTAATCATGAACTTTCTATAATGATTTTTATGCATGGATGATTTAATTTTTCATGTTTTGTTTCTTTGAATAGGTGTGTAACTTTTGCCTTGTGTTCTTTTTTTTCCAGAAATATATTTTGCCTACTGATAATATAAATAAGTAGTTTTCATTGTTGAGTTAGTTTTTTTTCTATCAAGAACTTTTAGCGATAGCGTATCACATTCAGCGATTCTCGAAGTAATTTTGTCAAAGTAAAACTAATTTTTAGCTATTCCGAATACATGCTTGTGTCAAGGAATAATTTATTACATGAAATCCCGAAAAAAAAACAATTAAGATTTAGGGTCAGGACGCGGGGTTAACATTAGGGAATGAAATTTAGAATTAGGGTTAGGATTAGTAAAAATATACTATAGTGATTTCTTTAGATGATTTCAATTGTCACTTTTAGAATAACCAGTCAGGAATATCTATTCAGAATGCAAATTTCATGTAGGTCCTAAAATATTTTAAGAAATGGTGAACTGTCATAGTATTAGTAGATTTATTATCAATAATGAACTGATTAGTGCTAATTAATCGATAATTAAGGCTACAAATCGTAGTAATGTAAGCCTGATAGACATTGGCTTTTAACGCTAGAGGACCTTATATATTAAGTCTGACTTCCTACACTCAAACTCCTAGATTCTAACTCCCAACACCAATACTCATGATCTTAATCCTAAAATACCAATCTTAACAGTTCAATCCTTTAGAACTGCAGAGACCTATCTGTAACAACGTTTTAGATTCGTACGTTGGTTAACTTCATTTTGATTGGTCTCTCAATGCCATCAGTGCAGTATAGTCTCATACTCAGAAGAAACAACTATCTAGTACTTCATGGTTTTCCATGGTGATGTAAACTACAAAATTTAACACAAACATCGTCCAGTAAAAATTTCAAAAATCCGGCTGGTAAACTCCTCTCTAAATCCACTTTTCCTCATATCGAAACAATATCGTCGGTAGATTTTTTGTTGGGACGGCTTCCTAGAACTACGATGTAGCCTTCAAAGGCCCTAAAGCAACCGAACAGTTCCCATCTAGTCAGAACGTGATGGAGTTTCCTAGAATACCAATTTGGTATGTTTCTACTGGACAGTAGCACAGCATTACCTCTTTGCGAATTGGCTAAATTATAATGTTTATATGACATGTTGATATTTATAAATACCCATGATTTTTTGTACATTTTGATTCCTGCCCAACAAACTATTCTTCAGCTTTCTATTTTGCAACTGTAGGGTTCTATACGTTCGACATGCATTAGTTGCATACCGTATTCTGTGTTAATCAAATAACGAATTTAAACAGTTTTCTTGGTATAGAAAACAAAACAAAATGGAATTTATAAATAAGTAAGCAATTTGTTTATAATTTTCTTTTCATCATTAATTACCAAATACTGATTAGATAGAATTTTACAATGGACTCATGTTTTTGGTGAATGAACAGAACAAAAACAAAATTCATATTCCTTGATCATGTAATCAAATCACATTGTTCACATATAGATTTATTTGGATAATTTTGTATACATATTGTTTCTAGGCAACTTTATTTTCATGTATATACAAATTGAACATAAAAAGGGGACAATTAAGAAGATATATTTTGGATTAGTTATATTATACATTTCCTAGTGAATGAAACTATGTAAATCTGTTGATCTGGTAGAGTTAAAGATCATATATAACACTTTAAGGTGTTACTTTCTGATACTACTACTAGTACTACTACTAATAATAGTAAGTAGTATATAAGCAACATTGAAATTTAACTGTATTTCTATATGCATCATTCAATAAGATGTATTAAACATGGTGGAGATATCATATCTGTATTATTATGTTTATGTTTATGAAAACATTCTAACCAATTTGTTGTATGCCATGGCCATGTTGATAGAATCCAATTGGTTGGATCAATACAATTTACCGGTTGTTTTATTGATTTCTGATGATGATGATTAGACCATTGATCAATAAAATTTTTTATCATTTTTACAATTTGATTATTCCATAAATCAATAAACCATAATTCAGAATTACTGAGATCATCATGAAATGGTAAAGATAAAAATATTAATGGATTAATCAAATGAAATTGATGCTTATCTTCTAATGTGGTTTCATGATAATGATTATGCAATTCTATTAAGAATTGATTTAAATAATTGAGAACCTGTGAGAAAAATAAAAAAAAACAACTTTTTTCATCAGTATAGAGGTTGTGGAGATTATTAATTTCTTTGATTGAGGTCATGAACCAATTGATGTTAGACTACCGTTGGAAACCTAGAAGCACTGGACGGCCGTTTCGTCCTACTGTGCGACTCCTCAGTAGTTCGCATCCACGGAGCTAATCCGTGTCGGATAGAAACAGGTGTCTTCCTCAGTACAATGGAAGTTGGTCGCTCAATTCCGTGGATGGTTGATGTTAGACACTATCATCATTGGACGCCCGCTCAGTGGTCCAGTAGGTTAAGCGTTCGTGCGCGAGACCGAAGGTCCTGGGTTCGAGTCCCTTGAGCGGGATTGTGGATGCGCACAGCTGAGCAGTCCCACAATAGGGCGAGACGGGCGTCTAGTGCTTCCAGGCATCATCAAATTCTGTTCAATGGTTACGTAATCTATTTTACCAGTTGTTGTTTTTTTAATTCCATGAATCTTATGTGAACTCTTTATTACCTCTAAGATTATTATTATTATTACATAATTTATCTTATCTGTCTTTGAACTCCACTACCAATATCAGGATTTATCACAGAAGCAGTGATGCAGAGATTAGAATCGTCGGTTTTACCAGTGATGAAGCCAAAAATTTGGATTCATTATGTGGAAGACACATTCGTTATCATCAAAAAGAAAAACACTTACAGTCTGATCAACAAAGTCTTCTCACAATGGAACAAGGATCGAACAAGAAACTACCATTCTTGGACGTACTGATTACTAGAACCAACACAGGAAAACTGGAAACTTAAGTACATCCGAAGCCGGCCAACACAGATCAAATTCTCAACTACAATAGCAACAACTAAAGAGCTCACAAAATCAAGTGAGTACAAACTTTGTTTAAAAAGACGAGAACACACAACAACACACTTCTAGCACAGAAAAATGAAGAAAAATACCTGAAAACCATCCTTCAAATGAACGGCTACACAATTAAATTTAGTATAAAATACCAGCCGCAAGCATCATCGGGAACAAAGTCACGTACAGAAACCAACAAAAGGATCACCCTGCCACACATAAAATGTATATCAGGAACGACAACGAGACTGTTGGAAACCTTTGAAAAAGATGTTGAATACAAACTGATCAAATCCCTACAATCAATCCTATAGCCAATTAATAGATGAAATGACCAAAGAAGACAAACCAGACATCTTCTACGAAGTAAATTGTGCCAACTGCAAAAAACACTACATCGGACAAAGCGGACGCCCTCTTCATCTTCGACTGAATGAACATCAATTGGCGGTTAAACGCCATGAGACATCCTCACTTATATCAATGCATGTAGACAACTGCGGACACATATTAGACTGAACAAATGTGGATGTTTCGGAGAGAGGTAGTTTCAATAACACTGGAGAATTTTTAGAAGCTTTGCACTCAGGTCAATCGGGAATCAACAAGCACATTGGAATCGATCCAATCTATCAACCAATCAGGGAAAATATGAACAAACATAGGAACGAAAATCAAACCAACCGGAGATACAACCAATTCAGAGAAGTAAACCATGACAGGTTAAAGGTCAACAAGAACCAATCGACATCGAGGTGTACAGGACAAGCTGTGAACCACATGTGGAGAAATTCGAACACTTCACTTCTACCTGAAGTTTGTGCTGATGATGTCGTTCAGATGAACGATGAACATACCATCCAGCTCAAAGAACAACCTAACTATTACATCACCTATCCTTAATGTTTTCTTGATTGTATCACGAAATAACCTCTGACCTGTTCTTGCACATATATATATATACAGTTATTATTGATAACCCTTGCCATTTCAATTCTTTATATTCACTTATGTTAATTGTTCCACACTATATCTTACCTCAATGTGAAATTCTAATACAAATTTGGTTGTGAGTAGCTCATAAGAACCTAACGAAATATTATCCTGTATCAATGTCCGTACTGGTTTTCTATTGAAATTCACTTGAATTGTCAGCCATTTTCAAATATTAAAATCATATTGAATCATTATTGGTTGTAAGTGAATGTAGATTACCGGTTTGGAATAGTTCATCATGAAACTTTGTTAATATGAGACCTAATCAATGAAACCATACTTATTCAACTTTCTAACCTAAGTCTTTTCAAGATATTGTACAATGATCATCCAGTATTATTAATAAAATCTAATGTAAATAATTTGAAACTCTAAGCAAAGATGAATGGTGGCTAACAGTGGGATCCAGAACCCGGGTTTCGTCCTATTTGAAACTCGTTAGTTGGATGTATCTGCATCGACACTTGGTTCGAGTCGCAGAGAGTGGACATCAACTCTGGGATGAAGTTATATCCAGCTGACGGGTTCCAAATATGACGAAACACGTGTCCTTGTTTCCACTGCTAACCAACATCCATCTTTGTTTTTAAAGCTTGTGACTTAGGACAATATCGAAGCAGTCCGCACAGGATGCATAAATACCAATAAGAGAGACTGATCAATTGCAAACCTAAACAACAATGGGACGATTCAAGTAAACAATACCAAATGAATTTGAAACTGCTTTCGTCAAATAGGATATTCTACTTATTAGTAGTATAAATTTATAAACCACTATCACTGTTTACGATTTCGACTGATATTCCTCTTATTGGCATATATGTATCCTGTGCAGATTGCCTCGATATTGCCTGAAGTCACACGTATTAAAAGCAAAGATGAATGGTTGCTAGCGATGGAGTTCAAGACATTCATTTCGTCCTATTTGGAACTCTTCAGTAGAGATGTACCTGCATTCCAAAGTTGATATTAACTAGACTCAGTAGCTAGGTGGATAACACGATGGCATTTGAAGCGAATAGTATTAGGTTCGAGTCCAGAAGTGAACATTAACTTTAGAATACAGGTACATCTAACTGACGAGTTCCAAGCAAGACGAAACACACAATCTGGATCCTACTGTGTTAACCATTAATCATCTTTGTTTATAAACATTTGAAAAGAAGGTTTTTTGTTTTCAATTAAAAGTACCTACCTGCTGAATCCATTTAATAAGATCTTCATAACATTTCAATTGATTATGAAATTTATCTAAATATTCTTGATCCATTTGATTCAATAATGAAGATGATGATAATTTTTCATTGAATTCATTAACTAATGAATGAACAAGTTGTTTCTTTAAATCACCTATCATATAAGATTGTTTAAATGAATAGTCTATTTGAATCCAACAAATTAATTCATTGAAACATTGTACAGATTTATATATACTATTATATTTGTTTGGATATGAGATCAATTTCACATTCATTGATGATGATGATGTTGTTGTTAGATTTTGAAGTGGACCTGGGATTGATGATAACGGCGACGATGATGATGATGATGATGATGATTCAATTGAACTGTTGCCAACTGATGTTATCCAAGTACCAATTAGATATATTGAACTAAAATATAAGTAGGATTCATTAGAGAGAAGAATGATATGTGTCATTATTGAATAGTTGATTTGAACAAATGTCTTACATTAACAATCACTGATCAGATAACTTTCATTGAATTCTTTAATAAATTTTGACTGATTATTTGAGATTGAAAAAAAGCTGAATTGATCAAATGGTTTTGAGATCATTGTTGTCAGTCAGTGGTGTTATTATCGATATGGGGTTGTGGATCATAAACTGATCAGTGTTAGACAACTATTGAAAACCAAAAAACATTGGATGGCTATTTTATCTCAGTAATGGAGTTCACTAGCAGTGTATATCCACGACCCTGTATGTGAGAATCGAACCCAGGACCATCGGTCTTACATGAATAGTAGGATAAAATAGCTGTCTAGTGTTTCAAGGTTGAACAGTTCATGATTGCAATTAAATTATGGTATTGTTTGAATCAAAAGGTTATTGGTCTGATCCTAATGAGTGAATTCGTGTTTATTGGATTTGATCTACTAATGATTTAAGGTTATAACACATTCCTCTGTGTTTTATCTAGGACTTTTATTCTTGCTATACCTCATACAACTTGAATGCTCGAACTCTAGAGCCCTCCAAGTTGCAAGTTAGAAGATAGAAGACGAGTAGTAAGGGATCTTATTCCAAACAGTATCAAATATGATACAAAGCATTCAGGTATTTATAGTTTTTAGTAAAGACGAAATCATCATTACTGTCATCCAATCAGCATACAGTGGTTTTTAGCATTTGTCCAATTGGAGAGCTACACGTCGATATTCTGGAATGATTTTTCACAAAATGACTAAATGGAGTGCCTTCAACAACTTCAGAGCTTCTTAGAGCTTCCTTGAGTCCACCGGTGGTCGTCTCTACACCCTGTGTAGCATTCTGTAAAGATTTTTCCCGTTAAAATTTTTCATATAAAATTAAGTGAAAAATTTGTTAATTAACGGAAGAAAACCTTAAAGATTTTTTTCCCGAAGACTGATAAAACCCTTGAAATATTATTGTACAATTGGGTTTTCTTAGTGGCCCAAAATCTGACTCCAATTAGATCGTATGATTGATTGTTGAAATATACATCATGACTATTCTCGTATAAAATTATCGGCTTAAATGATGGATAATGGGATTAAATAAGTCAAATACAAAATGGATTTCCCATTACATATATTTTGTACACTCATTGATCTGAGCAGGCAATCAGAAGGACTAAGGGAAGAGAAGAGAGCAAAGTGAAATGACGCGCGGTGGAGCATTAATCGATATTTATAGCCACACAAAAATAAGTTACAGATTTGAATCTACCCATTGATGGTAAGGACTGGGTCTGAGTCCCAGAGTGAACATCAACTGTTGGATGCAGGTACATCCGGCTGACGAGTCCTAAATAGGACGAAACGCGCGTCCTGGATTCCACTTCTAGTCACTATCCATATTTGCTTATAAGTTACAGACATAAGATAAATGAGATAAGAAGTGTACACATATACGTTCATGTAGGAACAGTCAAGGTTGATAAGTGAATAATAATAACAAATTTCAACAGTTGAGATCATGAATCAATTGAAGCTAGAACACCATGGAAAATCTGGAAGCACTGGACGGCCATTTTGTCCTATTATGGGACTCCTCGGCAGTTGAAACTACTACAATCTCCACAAAACCCCTTCTGATACTAATAATAACAAAGTCAAAACGTGACTCAAGATGAATGAATAAATTGACCTATTCAGAAGTTAGAATAAGTTATATAGGCTTAACATAGCAACCGACACTGCATCTTAAACATCAGTCAACACATACAAATTCAAACAAACTAAAAGAGGTTTTAGGAGTTATCAACATGTAAACTTATTCACATACCGAAAAATGTAATGCTTCTTATATTACATCAATCATTCAGTTTTCTTTCATGTTTACTCCATGTTTCCATTGTTTTCCTAAACGATTTTTTTCTTGTTTCTATCTGTTTTTACATGTATGTGTATGTGCGTTTGTGAGGACGGTCTACGGGTGAACTCGAGGAAGCTCTAAGAAGCTCAGAAAGACCTGAAGATACTCTATTCAATCAGCGTTTGGAAGAATATTTCAGAATCACTACATGTAGCTTCCCTATTGGACAAATGCTAATAACTCCCTGTATGAGGACTGAAAGACTATAATAATGATTTCGTTTTTAATAAAAAACTATAAATACCTGACAGTTTTGTATCATAATTGGCACTGTTTTGGAACAACATTCCTTTCACGTGTCTTTTGTCTTCTCATTCGCGACTTGGGTAGGTTCTAGCGTTTGAATGCTCAAGTTATACGCGGCATATTATGAATCTAAGCTCTAGTTATAGCAGTGTTCGTGCAGAAGATATTGAAACTGAATTGTATATTTATTTATTATTACAATGAATGATTGGTATTAGCTGTATTTTTAGATTGTATTCGTCAAGGATTGATTTCAATTAGGGTACCATCGAAACTCAATTGGAAAAAGATATCAATAGTGCATATCTATGATCCCGTCATAGATCTAACTTAGTCCCTTCGGTCGATTCATGATATCAGTAACATTTATCTACTTATTTGAACAAATAAATAGTGGTAGAAAGGGGCAAGGAATACATATGCGCCACTTAAGTCACTTGAGTTGTGTATGCATGTGCTATGATACAACCCGGGTGCCCAAACCGAGGCAGGTGGTTTTCTTAGAGGGCCATATCCGGAGCCTTCGACCTAAAGGTCTAATCCACAAGGCGGCGGAGCGATATTAGAGGAGATGCAGTCCCATGGTAGACAGTGACTGATAATTTGTTCACATACCATTTGTTCCCCCAGGATTCTGGAGTTCATGTGCACCATTGGTTTGAAACGAGGGATTTCCAACACGCCTAGGTGTATCCTCCATACCCACCAAACCAGTTAAAGTGCTCAACATTCTCTTTTTGTCCTCTCAATTTCACAAACAACACCGATGCCGCGAGAAGACAGTGAGTGGGACTTTCCTGACAGTGGTTATATACGCGTGACCATGTGAGAGCAGTTCGAGAGGGATAGCTGACTCTCCCCACCCTTTGCCGTACCAGGGCATTTGGATGTGATATCAGTTACATTCAATAATATCCATAAACCACTACACCGACACGAAGAGACTCTAATTTATGGACGAATCAATCAGGTATAAGATTAAAAATCTTGGATTTTGGCGTGAAAGCCTTTCATCCATTTGACTAAATAGATTTCTGGCGTTATAGCTGATGTCAATTCGTGATGAAAACCCCATATATAATTCCTAACTAAGACAAGTTATGACAATTATTGCGAACTGGATAATAAAAGCACCAGTAACACTGGCTGCAACCAGGTACTACAATATATACGGATGATTGGAGAGCGTACATACTCCTCCATAGGCTTGGTTATGTGCATTGTGTCGTTATCCACAAGTGGCGTTTTGTTTACTCAACAACTGGAGTGTACATAAACAATATTATAGGTATGTGGTCGAGGTTGAAAGAGTATTTGAGACTTTATCATGACTCCAGAAGCCGACTATTCTGTAGCCGTATGGATGATTTCCTCTACTGCGTGCATTACGATTTTAGAACCTCTGAACCTCTTTCTAACCTTGACAAGTTTTTTCAAACACGTATAAGAAGTGTATCCACTTTATTTCCTTGGTTTTGTATAACATATTTATACTCTATACTGACTGTTTACTGATTGACTAATATTTCTCAAAGTCACTGAAGATTCGTTCAAAGGTCGTCCATAAAAATATAATCTCCCCGAAACAGGGGGGGGTATTAACAATCTATTCAATATACAATTTCTCTAAAAATGATCAAAGAGGTAACTATTTTAGTTTACTTACCATGTTCTATTTGGATCATCTTTCTTTCTATTATAATAAACTTGAAAATCATTGATAATTTTCAAATAATCATCATTAGACATTTGATTCATTGATTGAATATAGAATAGAATGATTAAATTAGTGGGTAATTGTTCTGTTCTATTCATTGTATTATTCATATATTGTGATAAACATTGATATAAATCATTCATTGTAGTTTGTTCACTATCAGTTAAGTTGAAATGATGTAATTTCAATGAAGATGAACTTGAGTGATATAGAAAAAGAGAAGAAAACAAACAAACAAACAAGCATAGATGAAATGAATGATTGATTGATTCATACTTTACTTTTTATTTATTTATTTGAACACAGATATTGGTACGAGGAGGGCTGTGATACTGTACGGGTGCCCAAACCGAAGCAGGTGGTTGTTTTAGGGGCGACACCTGGAACCTTTTGACCTAAAGGTCTAACCCACAAGGCAGTGGAGCATCGTAAGGAGATGCAGTCTCATGGTAGCCGGTGACCAACGATTGGTTCATACGTCATTTACTTCCTTAGGATCCTGGAGTCAATGTGCACCATTGGTTTGGAGTCAGGGTTTTTCAACTCCCCTAGGTAGACTCTCCATGTTCACCAACCTGGTTGAAGCGCCAGACATTCGCTTTTTGTCCTTTTAATTTTGTAAACAACACCCCTGCCACGAGAAGGCAGTGAGTAGGACTTCCCTAGCAGAGGCTATATACGCGTGGCCATGTGAGAGCACTTTGGGAAGGAGAGCGGACTCTCCCCACTCTCGACCGTTCCTGGGCATTTGAGGGCCTTACTTACTTGACCTTGCTTTTTGCTAAGTATCCTTATAACTTATCGTTAGTTGTTTTGCCCAATTAATCTCTGACCATGTAATGTTGAAAGAATACTCGGGTACGGTATGCCAGTTGATTAACTCCTACTAAATCACTCAATGCTTTTGTAAAATATGAAAATTGTACATTGAATACATCATTTGCATATTTTTTCTTCACCTGTCCTTTACATACCCCGTATGTTGTTATTTTTATCGCTTTCTATTTTCCTTTTTTCTTTTTATTTCAATCTTCTGTTGGTAATCATCCCACTTTCAGTCCCACCTACATACTACTTATATCTGTCTCCATGAATAGCGTACATCACAATATGATCGACCAAATCTATCGATATAGATCAAGAGATCGGATTTCTGTGGTTATGTCAGTTGATAGTAGATTAACCTACATCACATACTTCTAGAAATACTCTAGAATTCCTGAAATCTCGATTGAGAATTTTGATATGTTCTCATTTGAAAAAATCCTGAACAGTATGTACACCTAACTACACTGAATTATACACGAATATACACTAATAGTGAAATCTACAATGTGTTTCCACTTGTAACATACAATACATTTATTACGTAACAAGGTTGATACTGGTTTTTAGAGCAATCTATAAAATATTTCATTCTTTTTTGAAACATTTCAATAGTACAAATTAATAACATGCTACAATTAACAGAATAGCTTTTATCACTTGGATACTGATCTTTGATGGTAGTTTCACAATACTACTTATATTCCCTAGTAATAAGTAGTTATTTAAAACGAGAGTTCATGTTTTCGCATACTTTACCTATTCTAATTATTTTAAGCGAAGATGAATAGTAGCTAGCAGTGGAATCCAGGACGTATGTTTCATCTTATTTAGGACTTGTCAGCTGGATATAACTGCATCCAACAGTTGATGTTCACTCTGGGGCTCGAACCCACTAGCATTAGCTTCAAACGACATCATGTTATCCACTTAACTACGGAGTCCTGATAGCCATTTACTTGTGCAATGGTGTGAAGTTTAAATTCATTTGATATTGTTTACTTGGATCTTCCCATTGATGTTTAAGACTGCAATTGCGTCCTGGATTCCACTGCTAGTTATTATCCATCTTAGTTTATAATGCATGTGAATTAAGGCAATATCGAAGCAATACGTCCAGTATGCACATATACCAATAAGAGAAACTGATCAATTGCAGTCTTAAACGTGAATAGAAACATTCAAGTAAACAATACCAAGTGAAATTATTATTATTACTATCAGTATATATGTAATTTGACAAGTATAAATAGCTGGAAAGGCGAGGCTATAATTTATGGACGAACCGATCAGATATAAGATAACAGGTCTTGGGTTTTGGTACGAAATTCATCCACTCACTTGGCTAAATGGAGTTTTGGGATTATAACTGATATCAGTTCGTGATGAAAACCCTAAATCTAATTCCTGACCTTCACCATCAACCGTGAATCATAAATCAAATTCCTCATACAGGTTTATAACCCTCATTTGGTCCTATCTATTAGGTGAACACTCTCAAGTTCACTTCAGCGTCACTGAAAGTTCGTCCATAAATTATAGTCTCATCAAAAACATAAACACAATTCTCCAGATATTATTCATTCATAGGCACCGATATGTCAATTATCATCATGCATAGATATGTGGCTCCTTATCTGATGAAGCAAAGAGAAGACAACGAAGTGAAATGACGCACGTTGGAGAAGGTGGGTGAGCCAACTCCCATTTAATCAAGCGTTAGTCAATATTTATAGCCAGACAAAAATAGGTAACAGATATTTGATGATTAGGATAAGAAGATCACACATACACACATACGCTCATATAAAAACAGTCAATATTAATAATTGGATAATCAACTAAGTCAATATGTGACTCTAGAAGAATGAATAAACTGACCTGTCCAGAAGTTAGAATACGTTATATATAGGCTTAGCATAGTAACCAACACTACAAATATACCTTACCATTTACTTTATTATCAAAAACGTTCTGTATGGATATGTGTGCGTGTGTTCTTCTTCTATTAGTTTAACTAAAGTTTCATATCCTATTGATTTTAAATGAGGTACCCTTTGATAGAAGTAAAATTGTTTCTATTGCGTAAGCAAATACCTTATAGATCCCCATTATTTAAATATAGAAAGACAGTTGTTGTTAATGACATAATCTAAACAGCTGTGTTATTGCCATAGTAATGAAATGTCAATTATAACAATTTTTTAATCTATCAACTCAACAACAAACTGAATTATTGAATAAAAGAGAAAATATATTAACAATGTACTAGATTAAATACAAACATGAAATAGTTGATAGAATGTATACTCTGTTATATAACTATTGGCTAAGACAGAATGAGAAAAAATGAAGGCCCTGGATTCGAATCCCATGAGCGGGATCGTGGATGTGCGTTGCTGAAGAGTCCTACAATAGGATGAAATCATTTATTTCAAACATAATTGATTTATATATCAACCACGTAGATCGCATCACACCATAAATTAGGAAATAACATTTATACACGATCAGGCCAAAAAAAGGCTGTGAACGTGGAAGACTGTAGTTAATAAACTGAACATAACTTAAGAACAGTAAATCGTATCACAATAATCTATAGGCTAAAATGAAGCTTATAATAAGAGGAATATGGATATACATAATCTAGTTACTGAACGGTTATACAATAGGAATATATATATATATATATATATATATATATATATATATATATATATATATATATATATATATATAATATTAGTCAATCAATAGTTCTCAGAAGTTACCCCTAATCTAATGTTTATTAGAATATAACAGGATCCACCTAGGGGAGTTGTAAAACCCTCATTCCAAACCACTTGTGCACATGGGCTGGCTCCAGGATCCTGAAGGAAAAAAAATGGCGTATGAATCAAGTATTAGTCATCGGTTACCATGAGACTGAATCTTCTCTAACGTTGTTCCATGTGCCATGTGGATTAGACCTTTAAGTCGAAGGTTCCGGGTTCGGACCGTCCCCTCCAAAGTAAGCCACCTGCTTTGATCTAGACACCCGGGCAGTATCATATCACATACACACACACACACTCAAATCAAGTGACTTTTGTGTGGCACATATGCATTAAATGCCCCTCTGTACCAATATTTATGTGTTCAAATAACAATAATAATAATAATGATAAACCTTTTTTACAACTTACTTTATACTTGAACAAATATGCTCATAGAATGCTTGTATTACTATATTCATATGAACCAAGTATTAGTCATCGGTTACCATGAGACTGAATCTTCTCTAACGTTGTTCCATGTGCCATGTGGATTAGACCTTTAAGTCGAAGGTTCCGGGTTTGGACCGCCCCCTCCAAAGTAAGCCACCTGCTTTGATCTAGACACCCGGGCAGTATCATATCACATACACACACACACACACACAAATCAAGTGACTTTTGTGTGGTACATATGTATTCAATGCCCCTCTGTACCAATATATATGTGCTCAAATAACAATAATAATAATAATGATAAACCTTTTTTACAACTTACTTTATACTGGAACAAATATGTTCATAGAATGCTTGTATCACTATATTCATATAAACATCATCTATATCATAGAATATCATTAAATGATATGTATATAATAATTCATAATAAAAATATAAAATATCACGATTTAATAAAGTTTTTATCATTAAATTATTTAATTGTTTAAATAAATTCTGTTGATAATCATTTGAATAATCCGCTAATAAATTTGCTTGTTCAATATTCAATAAATCATGATTTATAACTAATTGAATATTGAATTGTTTTGATTGAGATTGAATTAAATTAATTAAATGTTGAGGATTTTGAATTGTTCTCCCATTATTATCATCATCCTTAAATTGAATGGAATAATTTGATGTATTTTGATGAAATTCAATATACCATGTATAATTCAACGGATCAATATGTAATTGAAATTGTTTGAATTCATTCATTTGAAGGTCACGCGGGTCGTTCAAATTCAAATAGGATGTATATAAATTATATAAATTAACAAGATGATTATTTATAGATTCCCAATTATATAATTTTGTTAAATAAAGGATACCAATATTTAAAATAGAATTGGTTGATGAATTATTATTATTATTATTATTATGTTGAGGATTGTTTAAAATAAGATTGATTGTTGCAATGAATGAGTCGTTTAAATTAATAGTTCTTTCAGAAAATCCAATAAATAGATCTAAAAGGATAAAATGAAACAAAGTTAAACAATTGAATGATGATGATGATGATAATGACAATTTATAATAGTTGATAGTATGAGACAATTGAAGTTAGACCATACCATAGATAATCTGGAAGCATTGAACAGCTGTTGTGTCCTATTGTCGGAGTCCTCAACAGTACTCATACATGATTCTGCATTGCGATATTCGTTTGGCTTACTTACTTACGCCTGTTACTCCTAATGAAGCATAGACCACTGACCAGCATTCTACAACCCACTCTCTACTGGGCCTTCCTTTCTGGTTCTATCCAGTTGTTGTTTATTTTTCTCATGTTTGTCTCCATTTCTCAACATGATGTGTTCTTTGGTCTTCCGTTTTTCCTTTGGTCTTGAGGATTCCATGTGAGGGTTTGCCTTGTGACGCAGTTTGGTGCTTTTCTCAATATGTGTCCTATCCACTTCCAGTGCTTCATTCTGATTTCTTCCTCCACTGGGATCTTGTTTGTTCTCTCTCACAGTAGGTTGTTGCTGATAGTGTCAGGCGAACGGATCCGAAGTATTTTGAGTAGACAGCTGTTAATAAACACTTGTATCTTGTGGATGATGGCTTTCGTAGTTCTCCAGGTTTCCGCGCCATACAGTAGAACTGTATTGACATTTGTATTGAAAATTCTGACCTTGGTGTTGGTTGACAGTTGTTTTGAGTTCCAGATGTTCTTTAGTTGTAGATATGCTACCCTCACTTTACCGATCCGCGCCTTCACATGTGCATCAGATCCACCCTGTTCATCAATGATGCTGCCCAGATATGTAAGCGTTTTTGCATATTCCAAATCTCCGTCAAGTGTGATTCGGTTGTTGCATGCTGTGTTGTATCGGGGAATCTTGCTTTATTCGCCTCGCTTAATACAGTAAAATTAAGATTGCATTTTGCATTGATCAAATAATAATATTATTTAGGCGGGATCGTGGATGCGCACTGTTGAGGATACCCGCAATAGGACGAAACGGTCGTCCAATGTTTGCAGGTTTCCCATGGTGGTCTAGCTTCTATTGACTTATAAATTTAACTATTAAATTACTATTATATCCACAAAACCCATTTCTGATAATGACGATGTTAATGGGTTATAAGTAATTTAAGATCTGGCAAAAATATTTATCATTGCATGTCAAGGTGATATTGAATGGTAATAAGGATATATGGGAAATTGTCCCTTAATAATTGCTCATGTTGTAGAAGAATACTTCTTTTTGAGGAAACTAGAAAAGGAATCTAGACAAGAGTGGTCTTGTCTACTTGAGAGTTTGACCGAAGAGTAAAAATGACAGCTTAGTGAGACTTTGATGTTGACGCGTTTTGTTAGAAATTCTCGATGTGTTTGTTCTGTAGTTTTGAGTCCTTGCCGTAAATGAGAGAAATTCGTACCATATGGCAGGGGGTCCTCTTTTTTTCTCACTGATCATACACATGCTTGTCAAGTGGACAATGAACTCTTATGTATATGGCGTATCACGAATTACACATAGTCATCGAGACGACTATTAAGATTTCACAATATATGGTCCCTTTATTGCTTCAATTATTGTTAGAAACATAGCGTAAGCAACACTGAAGTTAGGTTTAGGGTACTAAATGAAGGTAAAAAATTGGTTGGTGAGGTAGTGAGTCTTTATCAGCTGAAGCCGATTGGGATATATCTTACATATGTCTAACAACTACCTACTTAGAAAGGTTATGTTAGCTAGTGTAAGAGTAGGTTTTAAAAAAGTTAATGACAGTCAAACCGAAACTTTTTATCAATCCATAAAGTTATTTACTTCTGTGTTTTTAGTCTTATTCATAGATATAATCCATCTGGTTAGAGTCCTGGAGTAACCGTGATCAGTGGTTGACAACGTTGGGTGACATAGCACAGATACATTGGAAATGGAGAAGATTCATCCATTCTTCATCTTACTCTAGATCTCGAGTTCCATTGTTCTTTTAAACCCAACTTCTTGATTTATTCTTCTGAAACAATATTTTGAATGATAGAACTTTATTATTATTAGTGGTGATACAATTATTTTGACTCCTTTATTATTAATCTTGTCGATTCCTTTGCGTTGTTGTGCTAATGTGGTATGGGAATTTTTAGATAACTCACACAAGTACCAGAGTATATGTTGATCGTGACTGACTAAGAAAGTAACTGTTATATCCAATGAAGACTAAATGAATGATAACTGTCAGTATTAATTGATGGACTATCATTATATATATCATGAGCTTTCGACTAACACATTAGATACTATGGTACGTTTTATTGTTCTTAATCTGATGCCAGTTTATTATACACAGTCTCCCCTGACTATACACGACTTTTATTTTTCATTTTATGGTGTGATCTGGTCACATCAGTCAGTCAGTCAGTCAGCTACAACGTAGGACCAGGCACATATGTGCATCGGTCCAGGTTGCCATACCTCATTAGCACAGCAAGATGAACAGCGGATTCATAGGAGTGGGCAACCGGGAAGTGAAAACCGCCCTCATACCTCTAACAGCACTCAAGATTTGGTCACATATGTCTATATATAAACTACATATACTTAAAATATAACATTCATATGGTGGGGGTTGATTATTGTGATCTAGACTCAGCGGGCAGGGCAACGAAAGAAGCTACCGGATCATGGACCAATAAGCCCTAAGATATGACTCAGAGTTATTAGTGCTGAAAATATTCCAATTGGTGCTTTTGTCACGTGCTATTGAAGAGCATGCATAAGTCATAACAGTGGCCAATGTTAAGTCGGAATTAATACAAAAGAAAGTGAAAAATTAGGAGATCCTGGGTTTTAATCCCATGTGAGGGATCGTGGATACACACTGCTGAGTCTCATACTAGGACTAAACGGCCATTCATTGATTTCAGGTTTTTAATGATGGTCTAACATTGATCAGTTCATGACTTCAATCTCTGTAAACGCCAAAACGAAGCGTTAAAACAACATCAGTATCTCATAATGAAGATGAGAGAACGGGGAGTGCGCAAAATGAAGAAGAACATAACAAGCTAATCTATGTATGTAATATAACAAATGTACATAGGAACAAGATGCAGATGAAGATAGCCAGTGTAGCAGCAGTCTCTGCATCAGTAGGCCTCAGTATTCACAAAGGGAAAACCAAGGTCCTCAAATACAACAACGAGAACACTAACACAATCACACTTGACGCTGGAACTCTAGAAGATATGGAAACCTTCACATACCTAGGAAGCATCATCGATGAACAAGGAGGTTCAGATGCAGACGTAAAGGCGAGGATTGGTAAAGCAAGGGCCGCATTCCTACAATTGAAGAACATATGGAACTCAAAACAACTTTCAACCAATATCAAAGTGAGAATCTTCAATACGAACGTCAAGGCAGTTCTACTGTATGGAGCTGAAACTTGGAGAACTACAACAACCACAATCAAGAAAGTACAAGTATTTATAAATAACTGTCTACGCAAGATACTCAACATCCATTGGCCGGATACCATCAGCAATAGCCTTCTGTGGGAGAGAACAAACCAGCTTCCAGTTGAAGAAGAAATTCGGAAAAGACGATGGAAATGGATAGGACATACATTACGCACATCATCAAACTGCATCACGAGGCAAGCCCTAACTTGGGATCCTGAAGGGAAGCGGAAAAGAGGAAGGCCAAAGAACACATTACGTCGGGAAATAGAAGCAGACATGAAAAGGATGAATAACAACTGGAAGGAGCTGGAAAGGATTGCCCAGGACAGGGTTGGATGGAGAATGCTGGTGAGCGGCCTATGTTCCTTCACGAGGAGTATCAGGCGTAAGTAAGTAAGAAAGTAAGTAACATAGGAACAAAACTTTCTTCGGAATTATTGGAGTACTTTATACTTGAAATAGATAGTATATGAGCTTTAAGAATTGATTGCTACTGAGTAATAAATAAAAAAAGAAATTTAATCAATTCTCTATGCTCAGGAGTCAGACAAATATACACTGAAGATACATTGAATATAATCCAACAAACAGTAGCTTCCCATTTCTGTTCATTGATTATAATCTATGATCAATACATCAAATTGAAAGTACTTTCACAGTACAAGGAAAATACAACTGCTAAGATATAAAACAATAGAATATCTAGATCCTTAAGTAAAATATATTTTATTCATCAGAACTTTGAACTGGTTTTTTATTATTTCACCAGCAAGATACTTATTTACTAAGTTGTAAAGTGTTGGAGTGATCCAGAAAACTTCTCGCAAAAGACAAGTAAGACTCAGGAAACATTAAGAAGTATTTCATCCATTCAATGTTCACTTGAAGTTTAGCCAGAAATATCAAAAAAAGTGAAAAGTCACATGTAGAGTTTCTGATTGGCTGATTACTATACTGCTTACTATGTTTAGCAGCATTCCAGAATCTTCGGGAAACCCAAGGACATCTAAAATATTCTAAACACCCTATATTTTCTGTATTAGAACAAACCTTTAGAGTAAAGTGCTTCTTGCATATTTTGCGTCTTTTCTCTCGTGTTTAGGTCGTTGTATAGTTCCAGCTTGAGGATTACGAGAATAGCTTGAGAACCGAATATAGCGTTCAATTAGCAAGACTTATCATAAAGAGTAAACTACCATTTTGAGTTACCTCAATATTTATTTTACTATGAAAAATCAATAAACGACCAAATTGTACCCAACAACAATATTGTTCAAAATAAACTCACTTGAACAAGTATCACATTCAACGGGTATTATCTCTGTATTACATAATATTGACATATTATTATTATTACTATTACTATTATTATTATTATTATTATTATTATTATTATTATTATTAGTAGTAGTAGTAGTAGTAGTAGTAGTAGTAGTAGTAGTAGTAGTAGTAGTAGTAGTAGTAGTAGTAGTAGTAGTAGTAGTAGTAGTAGTAGTAGTAGGAGGAGGAGGAGGAGGAGGAGGAGGAGGAGGAGGAGGAGGAGGAGGAGGAGGAGCAGGAGCAGGAGCAGGAGTACTGTGTTGTAGCTGATGTTGATGATGATGATGATGATGATAATGTTGTTGTTTTTGTAAATGTGTCACTAATATTTGTAATCTTTCATTATCTGTACGTAAATAATTTAATTGTGAATATAAATGTGACATTTCATCTTTTAATTGATCTAATTGATGAGCACTTGCTAAAGCTTCCAATTGTACATCAGTTAATTTAGATTCTTTTTCAGCTAATTGACATTTTAAATGATTCAATTCATCTTGACATGATTGTTTATTTAATCTATAAATCAATAATTTGAAGGTTAAAAAAGTGAGAGAGAGAGAATTATCATTATGATTGAGATCATGAATCGATTGATGTTAGACCATCATTGAAAACCTGGGAGCAGTAGACGGTTGTTTCATCCTATTGTAGGACTTCTCAGCAGTGTGCATCCACGATCCTGTTCGCGATTTTCAATGGTGATCTAACATCAATCAATTCATGAACTCAATAAAAAAACTTAATCATCTTCACAAACTCATACTGATATCATTATGAAGTTATAGCGGTAAATAAATCACCAATATAAGTAGTTCAGTAAGTCTTCAACATTTGATTATGATCTTATTAGTTTGATTGGAAATACCCTAACTGAAGGTTCTCAGTCACGCATTCGCACCAGATCACGAGTGGGTATGTCATGCTACGCATCTCTTACAACCGTTAACTAGATTAGATTAAACGCTTCCCAATATATCAATAGCCTTTCATATATATCTTTGAACCTCTTCATTTCTGACTTTTGATTTGATTGGGTTAGTATAACTTGATTATAAAGGTCTTATGTGTAAAGGCGTTGTCAAACTCCCAATACCTGTGACATATTTAAACTAATCTAAGATTAAGGGACTATTAAAAGCTAAAAATCACCGATAATTGTCTAGTTGATTACTTTGAAAACATTCTAATAGAGGACCTTCCAGTTTTGTGAAGAATGTATTAAGATTAAAATTGTTCATTCGTTTTGTATTGTTTGCTTGAATCTTCTCATTGATATTTAAGACTACAATTGATCAATCTCCCTTATTAGCATATGTACATCCTGTACGGATTGCCTTGATATTGCCTTAATTCACAAGCATTATAAGCAAAGATGGATAGTGGCTACCAGTGGAATCCAGAACGCGCTTTTCATCCTGTTTGGGGCTCGTTAACTAGATGTACCTGTATCTCATCTTCGGGATTAGTCTATGATGAAAACGTCATCGATACAATAGACTGTTTATTTGTATTTGTTGTACGAAGATATGATGAAATAATATCAGCTGTTTTATAGTAAATTCCTTAGGAATGTGATAATTCTCGGAAACAAAATATGATAACAGTCAATATCTCTTCTCTGTTTGAAATTTCATTCTGGACTACTTAGCTTTCAAATCACATCTACCTAGCGCTCCACAGGCTTTCTACTACATAATGTTGAATTCCACATACGATTATTGTATTAAAATAAGAAAAACTACTTTTAAGTTGTCAATATGATGTTGTAGAGATAGTTGAAATCATGAACCGATATAAGCTTGACAACTATTGAAAACCTGGTAACACTAGACAGCCGCTTCGTCACAGGCTCCTCAACAGAATGCATCTACAACTCACACGCAGGAATCGGACCTAGGATCTTCAGTCTCACGTCAAACCTCTAGACCACAGGGCCGGCACCCAACAGTGTTAATATCTAATTTCAATCAATCTAAAACATTTCATGACCAACTTCTTTTGTTTTTGCTTTGTAAATTACACACGTCCGACACGGTTGAACTACACTTGTCATGGCTTCTCACTAGAATTCTAGAAATTCACTTTGGAAGCTAGTCATCACTAGTAAGCACACGATAATTTCCAGTATGGAGTTGTGGAGATCATTAAAATAATTGAAATTGTCTTTTATTCTGATATAATCTCAACACCTAATATCTGAGAGGATCTCAAAGAAGCATATAACAATGTTACAATCATGAAACTTATCAGTACGACACATTCCCAACCCTATAGGAAATCGAACCTGGGACATTCCGAATCTCTTTTCATGAGTACTTAACCTTTAAATTAAAGTACAGATTTTCAAATAAAACCATAACTTGATATTAAATAACATTAAGAAATATAAACATACTCTAATTTACTATCATTCCTGTCCAGAATATTTCTATCACCTCCTTCAACATTGAATAATTTATTTTGTTTATCTGAATCATTATAGCTAACTAAGTAATTTGGGCAACTAAGTTGATTTGAATGGATTGGTCGATGGTCCTGTTGTTGTTGTTGTTGCTGTATTCGTGTGTTGTTCAAACGATCTATAGTTTAATTTAAAAAAAAATGAAGATCGTTAGTTTTCTTCTTTCATTATGTAAAAATATCATATATTACTTTTTTGATAACTCCGCCTGTAGCTCTTCTAGAGTTACTGCCAGTCCTAAGCCCGACTAAAAGAGGAGAGTTGGGCATGAGGTTGGCAACCCCATCCCATAAAAAGATCTTGTTAAAAAATGTCAACCATATTCAACAAATAAAACGATTTACACTCTGCCCTGGGAGTTCAAAGTAAAAACATGATGCTTCTGGATGAAGGCCGAGATTCTTCAGAAGTCACGAGGCCAATACTTCTTCTAACAACCAGAGCAATCACAAAAAACTATTTTGATGATGATGACGGTGGTGGTGATGATGGTAATGATTATGGTCCTGATGTTTTCTCTAACTAGTTTAACTGCTTAGTTTCCATTATCGTTCTGGACAATACCACTGATGCTTACTACCTGGAGAAGTGAAATTCTTAGCTTTTATTCAAGCGTCAAATTAGTTCACTTTAATAGTCTTCATAGGCATTGTTATCTTCATTTGTTCTTAGTATTCATGTTGAATATTTGTCTTGTCTTGTTTACCTTTGATATTGTTGTCCATTGATTTCTGTCGTATGGATATTAATAAAGTGTATCTATATGTTTATTGGTTACCAATTGATCCGAATATCATGAATAAAGCATCTAGTTCAAGAAACATAACAACATCAAGATGATCTATCGGAGCTAGGAATCTCCTTTATCATTCCACGATAAACATTTTGGTAAACATATCGTTTTTACCAAACCAGTAAGTACTATACGTTAGTAGCTAGTATGAAACAGAAGATCGGACAACTCGAGTTCAAATCCTATAGGGAGCATTGATTTTTACCCTGTTAATGAGTGCCAGTTAACCAAGACACTTAGGTTAATTATAAAAATTAAGGTTTGTGGAGGTTGTAGCAATTTAGTAGTTGAATGAGTTGAGTTATGCTAGATCACCATGGAAAACCTAGAAGCAATGGACGGTCGTTTGGTTCTAGTATGGGACTCCTCAAGCATTTACTCATTGGGAACAATGATGGACGGCCGCGCAATACCATGGATTGGTTGAAGTTACACATGCCGGCCAACTCAGTAGTTTAGAGGTTAAATGTTCGCGCGTGAAACCAAAGTTCTTGGGTTTAATTCCCACGTGCCGGATCGTGGATGCGCACTGCTGAAAAGTTCCAAACTACAAAGAAACAGCCATCCAGTGTTTTCAGGTTTTCCATGGTGGAATATTAAATTAATCACAATTTGCTTTCGACTACCTATAAGAACATTGTAGTAATTATATTATAGTTTCAATAGAAAGCAATTACATAACATAATTACTGAGATTATCATCAACCAATTCATGAATTACAAGCAATTATCATTAACTACATCATAATGACCACTTAATTGAAATGTTGTACATTTGTAAAGAAAGTCCATTTAAAAAACATGTTCACACCTACAATACACAAATCAAGGGCAAGTACACATATAGTTACAAATACATATATGAATGTGTACACAATTTTATACCTAGAGAAAAGTTGGTTGATGTAACCAGGTGAAAAGAAACATACAACGTAACACAGAAATGAAAGAGTGCTAAGTGAACTAAAAGAAACTATGAAATGAGTGAATGCATAATATATATATATTAAGTAAACATTCCAATGTAAACACGCACACACATACATGTACAAGAACACTCCATTTCCCGAATGTTTATCAATCAATAGAAGGAAGCACAAATAAGTGAGGTATTAAGTTACAAAAGATTTAATCGAGAATTGATCATCACATTAACTTGGTGAAAAGATTACAGAGATGATGAATAAACAAATGAGGTAGAAATCATAGGCCATAGAATTTAAGAGACAATTGAATGTGAAACCGGTTACATAAAGCCTTTTTACGTATAGTTCTTGTTGTGTTAACTTAGTGCTTTAAAGGCTCTATATCGGGTAATCGAAATCTATAGGGGATGATATGATGAACCGTTGTTTATAAGACTTTTTTAATTGCTTTTTCATTATGAAGAGGTAGCATTGCTTCAAATGATGATTGTTTAAGAAAAATCCTTCCTTTCATCACAGTACCATACAGTCGGAAGTGTGACTTCGTCTTCGAATCCTAAGTCTGTTGCTTTTTGTCCTATTGCTGTCTAATTGACCTGAATGACATAGTAAGACGTAAAAGAACGAGTATTTCTACCAAAACATATCTCAATAGCATCACATCATGTGCAAATTTAACCACTACAGCGAGGTAGCAGCTACGATTGTTAGTTGAAATCTAAACGTGAATAGTCGAGTTTATAAATTATCCTAAAAAATTAAGTCCTAAATTGTGTCGCGTTAATCGTTATAAATTGAAATATGCAAGACGGAGTGTTATTGTCATTAGATTTATTCGTAATGAAGATATTCACAGTGACCATTGATTATATGTAGAAAAACTAAACTTGAAGCCCCAGTTATTCATAATTTAGTAGAATATACTGAGGTTACTGTACCATGTGACCTATGACCCACGGTATATGAAAGTACAGAAAATGAGTGGATTACTAATAAACGATCATAAATGCATTAAAAACGTTCCTTGTGCATGATGGTACAGGAGGGGAATTATTTGATGAACAGCAATGAATCGTCATGTGTCTGACCTCCAGTGGGGTTGTGGGTGCTCATTGTATGGAAATAAGTCACAACAGTTAGACGTGAAGACATGATACAAATAACAACACTTTCAAACAATCAGCATTTGCGGCGATACTATATTTTTAAAGCGGAAGGAAGGTGTGAAACGGTTGGGACTTTTAAAATAGTAAATCTTATATTAACTCTGGTAGTTTCCTTTGACAGTGGTAATGCCTGAAGATTATGGAGCTAGTATACTATGAACCACAAAGAAAAATTTCTCGTCTACTCGGTCAGAATTAACTATTATTTATGCTCTACAGTCAAGCTTTCAGGTAGCCAAGATCAATGGTAATTAAATTTTCTTTCTGGTTCCTTCAAGGAGAAATATCCTTCTACAGTGTAGGCAAATAGGAACTAACAACCACCCCCATACCTTTAATGCACTCGATATCGCCTTTTTTCTATCAAATCATTTCGTCATTTTGTGATGTTTCTTTTATCCCTACTAAACAACAACCACAAGGTCAACTATCTAAGCTAAATTAACTTCAGATGATGAATTTGACCGCGTTCTGTGTATTCCGATTATTTCAGTATAATTACGAGTTATTATATGTTAGCTCAAGTTCAACTATTTTATTCAGTCAGTAATAGTATCTGTCGTACAAATCCTCTTTCAATATTAATGTAATTAAGTTGTTTTTTGAAAAACAAACTTTTCACCACGTAAATCTTATACTATGGTGTATGCTACTTATGTCGACAGATATAAGTAGTATGTATCGCTAATCGAAAGTGAAATGCCTGATAGCAGAAAGTTAAGAAAATCGGAGAGGAGAGAACGAGAATAGTGATTGGTTGGTATAGAAACAAAGGAACAACAAAATCTGAAACAATTGATGGATATTTTGCAAATGAAGCATTTACTGTATAGTCCTCAGATTTTATTAAGCGATTCCGTAAATTTGTATCAAAATACATTTGGTTGTCCCCACTGGTGTTCTTGTTCACAACAATACGTGTTTCTAATTTCTGGAAACAATGAGTCTAAGAATTCCTATAGAACTTAAACACAAATATATATCAGTATAGGGGTTGTGGAGATTGTTAAGTTTTGATTGAGATTATGAGACGATTGATGTTAGACCACCATTCGAAACCTGGAAGCAGTGGACGGGCATTTCATCCTATTGTGGGACTCCTCAACAGTGCGCATCCACGGAGCTAATCCGTGTCGGGTAGAAACAGGTGTCTACCTCAGTACAATGGAAGATGGTAGCGCAACTTCGTGGATTGGTTGAGGTTAGACATTAACACCATTTAATGCCGGCTCAGTGGTCCAGTAGGTTGAGCGTTCGTGCGCGAGACTGAAGGCCCTGGGTTCTAATCCCGCGAGCGGAATAGTAGATGTGCACAGCTGAGAAGTCCCAAAATAGGACGAAACGGCCGTCCAGTGCTTCCAGGTTTCGAATGATGGTCTAACATCAGTCGGTTCATGATCTCAATCAAAGCAAATATATATGTAGTGGACGACGAAGTCAAGTGGAGAACAATTTGTTCAATACAAAATTACAGAATGTCTTGATAAAATATGATTACCATACATTGAATACTTCATTTAGATTTCTCTTATCAGTTATCCTTTACACACTTCATAATTCTTCCAATTCTGTTATTCCTAAAATGGTTCACTGTTTCCCCCTTCTCTCCTCTTTAAATCATTCTTCTGCTGATAGGCATTTCACATTCGACTGGTGTTACATATTACTTATATTATTTGTCAATATCAGTAACATACACCAACATATATACCCAAGCTCCCAACTTTGGGGAAATTTTGGGGTTTTTGTGCCATTTCCCCAAACTTTACTATAGCGGCTTCCTCAAAATTAGGAGCTTAGGTATATACAGATCGAAATCTGTTTGTAGTCAATAGTAACTAATCTTAATTGATTTTGGCAACTGTTAAATTATTTCATTATAAAATCAACCAACTAGAATGTAATTGTTTGTTATTGTTGTCGGTCTAATGTGTTGCATGAAATTTGACCAACTGACCTTAGAATATTGTTTTGATTGATTATCGTGTATTCATGTATCGTATGTGATTAATGACAGATGTAAACAATTGGTGAATAAATCTCTTTTTTTTCTTCTAAAGAAAGAAACGATATTTTTGAACTATCTATGAACATCTAGGGGATAGTTGATAATGAAATGGATTCATCGGTCGAAGATAGTGGACAGGAAATGTTGATTGGTTTAAGTTATTTGATATATGGCACTTGAAGGAAATGATGCTTCCTGGTACATTCGATCCAATGACTTACAGGCGATTAGTTACATCTTGAATGATTCTGATGTAACGTACAAGTTTATAAGGCTGAGTGATATGGGAGTGAAACCGCTTAAGAACGTCAACTGCCTTAAGATTCCTGGTATACTTTGCTGAAGAGTGTTAAAAAGTACAAAACCCACGTAAAATAGGGTTTCTTGTTGACTATCTTCAACATAGTACACGTGATGTCGTAACCAAGACTAATGACCACATTAAAGTTTGACTGGTAAAATTTGATCGGTACTACGAAGTTTTTGACATAAACAAGATTAATCACTTATCGACAATCAGTCAATTGTAAATAAGTCCACCGCTTGACTACAATAACTTGAAGATCGCATCCTTTATTTAGGATAGTATTTTGGTGTGGTTATGTTAGAGATTTATTGATTAGTTCTAGTCACTTACCTTGTTTAGGATCAGATCATGATAAAGTTGCCAAGTTAAAAATATATTATTGTTTTAACTTCCTAATGTGATTTATGTTAAAACTAACAGACTAATTTTGTTAATTGAAGAGATCAGTGTCAGAAGGGGTCTTGTGGAGATTGTAGTAATTGCTTAAATTGAGATAATGAGTCAGTTGAAACCAGAACACCATGGAAAACCTGGAAGCACTTGATGGCCGTCTCGTCCTAGTATGGGACTCCTCAGCATTGAGCATCCACGATCCAGCCACCCGGGATTCGAACATAGGACCTATCAGTCTCGCGCGTGAGCACTTAACCTCTAGACCACTGTGCAGGCCGAAATCCAACTGTCCAAATTCAACTAATCCACGAAACTGAGCGACACATCCACCATTGTCATCAGTGAGTTACTATCACACAAGAGACCCGGTTCAATCGCAGAGATAATTAGACACATGACAAAAATCATTTTACTTAAATGTCAATCACACTGAGTTACTTTGATTTTAGGAGACTATCTCATTCATTGAAATCATGATCACCATTAAAAACCTGGAACAACTGGACGGTCAATTTATCCTAGTATGGAACTCCTCAAAAGTGCGCATCCAATACCACGCCATCAGGACTCAAACCTGACACAGGATGGACTCCAATGGTAACGATTGATAAAAGTATAATGTATAAATTTCCTAAGTTTAAAGATAAAAAAGTTAACATATCAAAATAGACGATTTGTAAAGTGTAAAACTTACTAATTTGTTCATTTGTATATGGTACAATAGTACTACTACTACTATTAGTAGTAGTAATAGTAGTAGTAGTAGCTGTAATGATATTACAATTATTTTGACCATTTCCACATATTCCTAATGTACTCCATGATGATGATGACGATGATAATGTTGATGAATTCGAAGGAGATAAACCATTTAAATGTGTATTGGATAAGACAGATAAAGCATTCATATGACTATTAGATTGTATAGAATTCATATTAGATTGATTTATAATAGTATTATGTAATCCTTTATGATCCATAGTCGGACTTTGTGGTAAGTTGGATGGATGTCCAGGAGGAAGACTATTATTATTATTGTTACTATGATAGATAGAGTTGTGTTGTATTGATGATGTAGGACAATCTATATCACTTTGTGAATGTATTGATAGTGTTGATGATGATGTGGTCTTTTTACGGAATGCTTTACCAAGTGAATTACGAAACTAATTTTGTGATAAAAGAAAGGAAATAATATTAGGTAAATAAAAGTGATAAATGTGATGAATTCAAAATCAAAGCATTACTGATACAGAGAAAGAACAGAGTAGTAGTCATAGTGAATTTGAGGGTGAAATTTATCAGTGATCCAACATAAGTCTATAGAGCAACGTAGGTTATGAAATTGAGGCTTTAATAGTATACGGTAATTTCATTGAAATCATGAACCAATCTTAGTTAGACCATTACTGAAAATCTGGAAGCACTGAATGGCTATTTGACCCCTGAATGCCGTGGTACGGCCGAGAGTGGGGAGAGTCAGCTCTCCCTTTTGAAATGCTCTCATATGGCCACGCGTATACAGCCACTACGAGGGATATCCTACCCACTACCTTCTCAATGTGGGTGTGTTGTTTACACAATTGAAAGGTCCGGCGCTTTAACCGGGTTGGTGGATGGAGGATCCACCTAGGGGGTTGGAAAACTCTGATTCCGAACCAGTCATGCATATGGGCTCCAGTATCGAATGATTAATGTGACGCATATGCATTTGAGCCTCCTTGTTCTAATGTTTATGCTTTTAAATAAATAAATAAGAATGGCTATTTCATCGTAGTGTGGGTCTACAGATTAAGTGTTAGAGCTCAAAACCGAGTGTCTTGCGTTAGATTCCCACATGAGAGGTTGTAGACGTGCACTGCTGAGGAGCACGGGTTTCCCTTTAATTGAAATATCGTTATAAACAGCCCATTTGTATTTTGTGAATTTTAGTAGGTCTTCACCCAAGTTTCACCAAGAGTTCCAATTTGTTCAATTAATGGAAAAAGTTATACATACGTTTTCTTTTACAGTCCTTTAAACGACAAACCTATCCTAGCCAAATCATTAGTAAACACCTATAAGAACAGGATGGATGTTTCGTCCTAGTATAGAACTTCTTAGCAGTATTCATCCATGGCCCGAATCCAGGAACCAAACCCAGGCACTTCGTGGTTGTACACGAACACCTAAACTCTTACTTACGCCTGTTATCCCTCGTAGAGGAGCATAAGCCGCCTACCAGAATTCACCATCCAACTATGTCCTGGAAAATCCTTTCCAGTTCTTTCAAGTTGCTATTGATCTTTTTAATGTCTGTTGCCAATTCCCAACATAGTGTGTTTTTTAGTCTTCTCATTTTTTGTTTCCCTTCAGAATTCCAAGTTAGCGCTTGTCTCGCGATGCATTTTGGTGATTTCCGTATTGTATATCCTATCCACTTCCAATGTCTTTTCCTGATTTCCTCCTCAGCTGGATGTTGGTTTGTCCTCTCCCATAGTAGGTTGTTGCTGATGGTATCAAGTCAACGGATATTGAGTATCTTGCGTAAACAAATGTTTATAAATACTTGTACCTTCTTTATGATGGTTGTAGTAGTTCTAGAAAATTCAGTTCCATACAATAGAACTGTCTTGACATTCGAATTAAAGATTTTGACTTTGATATTGGTTGACAGTTGTTTTGAGTTTTACATGTTCTTCAGTTGTAGGAATGTTTTCCTTGCTTTGTCGATCCCCATCTTTACGTCCTCATCCGATCCTCCTCGTTCATCAATGATGCTTCCCAGGTACGTGAAATTTTCCACATCTTCCAGATTTTCTCCATCAAGTGTGATTTGGTTGGTGTTTTCCGTGTAGTATTTGAGGATTTCGCATTTTCCCATATGTGTGTTGATGCCTAGTGCTGCACAGGCTTCTGCCACATTGGTTGTCTTCATCTTCATTTGTTTATGTGTATGGGATGCAAGGGCCAGGTCATCTGTGAAGTTCAAATCTTCTAATTGATTCTGAGTTGTCCATTGTATTCCGTGCTTTCCCTCAAATGTCGAGGTCTTCATAATCCAGTCGACCATAAGAAGAAAATTCTACGAACTCCACAAATCCTCCATACTAATCATATACATAACTCCGCCTGGAGCCCCTCTTGGGCTACTGCCGGTCCCAGGCCAAGATAAAGGAAGAGGGTTGGGCATGGGGTTAGCGACCACATCCCGTAGAAAACTAAATCGTTAAAGAAACGCTAACCAGAAAAAATAATTCAAACCATTTAAACTCTGACCTGGGAGTCAGAAGTTTTTCATTCAGAAGAGTTATCACGCCTCATGGTGAAAGCCGTGTTCCTTCGGAAGTCACGAGGCTGATTCCCCTTCTGACAACCAGAGCAACTATTAATTTAGGTACATGGAATGCTTGTACAATGTGGGAGACCGGGAGAGTCTTCCAAATTGCTGAAGAAATAAGGAGATACATTGGAGGCAGGTTGGACAACAACGACTAGCTTCAGGTGAGCTTTATAAGACAAACTCTTACATGGAATTCTCAAGGCCAAAGGAAAAGAAGAAGACCCCAGAACACATTACGCCGGGAAATGGAGACAGACAAGAAAAATGATCAACAATTGGATAGAACTAGAGAGGAAGGCCCAAGACAGAGTGGGTTGGAGAATGCTGGTCGGCGGCCTATACTCCATTGGGAGTAACAGGCGTAAGTATATAAGCAAGTAAGTAAATAATCATATACATATTTATATATCCGGAAATTTCAGTGTAAACAATGAAACTAAATTATTCCATTCACTCTCACTCTCTCTCTCTACAACCAACTTACCACCCACCCACACACATACACTAATATATATATAAGCACCTATTTAGAAGAATTCGTTTTCCTGCCTAAATTACAGTAATCAACTACTGAATAGCAATTTTTCTAAGGTATTAATCATTTTACCATCAAGTATGTACAATTAATAATCATACTAATGCAATAATAATAATAATAATGATAATGTATCTGTTGAAGGGAAGTCTAATGGAATACAAGAGTGTGTTTCACTTTTAGAATTCCAATGTATCTCATAATACATACAACTAAGCTACCCAATAACATTTATATACACACATATGCCTAAGCATAAATAGTTCACAATTGAAGAGAGAAATGAATGAAACAAGAAGAGAAAAAGAAAACAAGAAAAGAAAAGAAAAGAAACGAAAAGAAAAAAGCCCAAATGAAACAGGTGAAACTATGATTAGGATTATTCATAGTTGGTTGGCCTATTTATTGATTCAAAGAGATGATTAATTAATCAACAATGTTTGACCAATTAATCTAGATAAGGTCAACTAACAAATACATTTATGATAATGATAATAATAATAATAAGGGTTTAACGGAAGGTGTTTTATGAACATTTATTCAATATTCACTTGATATTGTTTTACTTGAATCTTCCCATTGATGTATTTGGACTGAAATTGATCAGTCTCTTATTGGCATATGTGCATACTGTGCGTATGCTTCGATATTGCCTTAATTTACAAGCATTATAAGCAAAGATGGATAGTGGCTAGCAGTGGAATCCAGGACGCGCGTTTCGTCCTGTTTGGGACTCGTCAGCTGGATGTACCTGTAACTCAAAATTGATGTTCATTCTGGACTCAGTAGCTAAGTGGATAACGCGATGGCGTTTGAAGCGAACGGTACTGAGTTCGGGTCCCAGAGTGAACATCAACTCTGAGATGCAGGTACATCCAGCTGACGAGTCCCAAACAGGATGAAACGCGCGTCCTGGATTCCACTGCTAGCCACTATCCATCACTGCTTACAAAATATCTAGAATATGTATACCAAAATTTCTTACCCATCCATTTTTCTTCACATTATTTCCTGAAGATTTACAACCGGATGTGGTAGATGATACTTTATCAATTGAATTATCCATTTGTAATTGTTGACTATCTACATCAGTAAGACTTGCATTTGAAATTGTTAAACGTGAATTAATATGTGCTTGTTCATTCTCACTATTACTACCAGTATTGGAAGTAGTATTAGTAGTAATAATAGTAGTGGTAGAAGTAGAAGTAGTAGTAGTAGTAGAAATGCATGAGTTTTCTTGTTGTTTCAATGTATCATTAGTAAATGATCTATTCAATTCACAAGGTCGATTAATTGGTGGTTTTTTTAATAGTCCTAATTCTGTTTGACTACGTAATGCATCAATTGTTGCTCTTAATTCATGTAGTTCTGAATCCTTTCGAAGAAAAAAAATGCAAAAACATTATATATTTATATATTACTAAATTACAGTAATTGTATAACTTGATACAATAGTGAATTAATTCAAGTTACTTTATATTACAATATCGGGATCTCATTCAAACGTCTTCCTAACGTACATATACCGTCATCGATGCTATGGCCTTGGATTACTTACTTACCTACCTACGCCTATTACTATCAATGGAATATAGGCCCCCGACCAGCATTCTCCAACTCACTCAGTCCTGGGCCTTCCTGTCCAGTCCTGTTCAATTGCCTATGATTGGCTTTCATTGATTAATTGTGTATGATAATCATATGAACTAGCGCACTTTCATTAAATGTTTACAAACTATTGAAAAATTAATTTCTTTTTGTATTGGTTGTTTGAATCTTTCCATTGATCAGTCTCTCTTATTGGCATATGTTCATCATAAGTGGATTGCGTCGATATTGCCGTAAATCACAATCGTTATAAGCGTAGAGATGGATGGTGGCTAACAGTGGAATCTATTACAGGCGTTTCGTCCTATTTCAAACTCGTCAGCTGGATGTGCCTGCATCCCAGCGTTGATGTTCAATCAAGGACTCTAACGCAGTACCGTTTACTTTAAACCCCATCACGTTATTCCGTTAGCTACTGAGTCCAGATAGCCATTAGATTGTGCCAATGGGTAAATTATAATTCATTCGTATTACTTACTTAAAGCACTGGATGGTCAGTTCGTCCTAGTGTAGTGAATGAGAACACCAATGGGGACAACCGAATGTATTTTGATACAAAATTACAGAATCTCATAGTAAAATCTGAGACTCATACAGTAAATTCTTCATTTGCAAAATATCCATCAATTGTCTAAAACTTTGTTATTCCTTCGCTTCTACACCAGTCACTCTCTTCTCGTTCTCTTTTCTCCAATCTTCTTTACTTTCTACCGCCAGACATTTTACTTTAAGTTGATGATACATACTACTTATATCTGTCGACATCAGCAGAACATACCACACTAGTATGGGACTCCTCAGCAGTGCACATCCACAATCCTACACGCGGGATCCTCATTCTGTTCAATATTTTATGTTATTATATTCCAATATCAAAGTCATTGGTAGATAAACCGTGTTGTTTTATCATAATTTTCACATTTTTAAATATGAAACTTTTCCTGAATTCCTGTTTTTTTCTTTTCTTGATCATTTGGAAGATTTTGACTATGTGGTAATTAGTTGCCGGACACTGTCGAGCATAAAGAACCTATTCCATAATCGGAAGCTGTCTTCAATATAGAACAGCTTCAAATTAGAATGGAAAAGTAGGGGTTAAATTCATTCTAATTTTGTTTTAATGAACTGACAACTGACAACAATTTCATCTTCAAGTGTAAATGATCTTTAAATTCAGATAAACATTAGTTGTTGAATAGTAGATGAATAAGGATGATGGTGATGATGTTGATATCCCTAACAATAGCTGCATGTTTAACACGGTAATCTGGCTTGCCTATTCTGATGACGGAATCAAGCTATCATGGTCAGAATATCTATTTCTTCAGGTTCTACCATATTAGGTAGGTCAGCTGAAGAATAATAAAACTGAAGGCCACAGCTTGAAGTCTTAGAGCAAAGTCATACCGCTATCTGTATGGAGGTGTAATGGTAGTAAGGTATTACTCTCAGACAATTATAATTTGCAGTCATGCTGACTTCCAACAATGAAAGGAACTGGTTATAAAGATCGAGATTAAAATTAACACACTTTACTTTATCCTATAGGCTTTTGTTTTCTGGAGTAAAGCCCTTAACGTAGAGCGTTAACATATCAAGATCTGTCCACAAAAAGTCATTCATGAGTGGCCTCAAACAAATGTTCATTGAGATATACAGTTACATTCCTAAATTGACATGACCATTTTCAATCTAGTTTCTTCTTCAGATCTCTCAAGAAGCAGCCTCCTTCCTCAGTGTGTCCAAATGGGAAGTGACAGCTCCTCTCATGCATTTTAAATTACTCGAGATGTTCATAACAATGGGATAAATGGTAAATATATAGAGTGACACTGATCGAAAAAACAACAGGTCCGCTGGATTAAATCGATTATTTATGGGAGTTTGTATTATTTATCAGTCTACCTATTGAGAACTGAAACTAACCAACCTCTGTTGTCATCTTGAGTGAATTACTTCAATATCATAGTTTGATCACATGATTATTTTTAGTTAGATTGAATTTCAGCTAACAATGCAATTCAAGAGGCCACATTTTACCGTATAAAAGACTTGTTAGGTACATCTAGATGTGACAAGTAACAATTAGGAAGAAATACATATATATTGTGTACTCTACTCTTAGTAACAATTTAATGTTACTAAACCAACTATTCACTATGTGTTATTTACTTGTATCTCTCCCATTGTTATTTAGGACTGTAATTGATCAATCTCTCCTATTGACATATGTGCATCCTGTGCAGACTGCCTCGATATAGACTTAAGTCACAAGCATTATAAACAAAGATGGATAGTGGCTAGCAGTGGAATCCAAGACGTATGTTTCTTCCTATACAACTTTGAGATGCAAGTACATCCAGCTGACGAGTTCCAAATAGGACGAAACGCGCGTCCTAGATTCCACTGCTAGCCACTACCCATCATTGCTTATAAACTAACTATGTTTAGAATCTGCTTTTTCTATAACAACTTACCGGTTCACATTCAAGTAGAGATCATATCCGGTTAATCAATCGATCAATCAATCAGTTTATTACAAACTCATTCATTCATAATCACACATAATGTTGTAATAAGATTCCAAATTAATCAGTTTACATCGTAAGGATTTATCAGTCAAAAGAATCAACATGAAATTACATCACTTACTTTCCTTGTTGTGGTATTTGATAAATTCTGTAGCCGTTGTGACATATTGTTTAAACTTTGTTCAAAAGCTGAGACAACATGAGCCTAGAATAGAATGAAATAATCATTAAAATAAATAAATTGATGTTTTAATTGAATCACACTTAGGTTGAGAGTTGTCAACGGAGTTGAAATGAAGATACACAAAGAGATGAAGGACAGTGATAGGAAGAAATATGATGTCATTGGTAATAAATTCACAATGTATGGCTGAAGTTTATTGATTGATACATATCAGTTTCATGCTTCTCTATTGGTTTTAATAATAAAAGGATGATCATTAATCGCATAAACGTTTTTCGGTCTCTATGATTGATTACATTGGCTACCCTATAAGCTCTACTCATATACACATGACTTATTCAGGAATAACGGTCGTTAATAATTAAAGCAAATTCCCATATATTTGATGTATAGCTAGCATTGAGTATAGAAACAAAAGATATTGGGTTGAAGTGTCAGTGCGAACATCAACAATGAGATGTAGCGACAGGTACATTCAGTCGATAAGTTCCGAATAGGAAGAGATGAGGATCCTGTAATATACTGCTAGACACTTACCAGCTACAAACAAAAAACTTGTAATGTAATGCGATATTGAGTCAGTGTAATCATCCCTAAACAGCAAAATTACACACCTTTACTAATGCACTTTTTTATTCTTAATTGAAAAATGAATATAGAACAGTACATGTCAAAGTTTGATCGACTTAAAATGGAATGATAAAAGTTATCAGTTAAATTGTTTATAGACAGATAGATTATTCACTTGGTGTTGTTTCACTTGTTTATTTCCATTGTTATTTAAGACTGTATTTCGATCAGTCTCTTGTTGGCATATGTAAATCCTGTGCGTATTGCCTCGATATAGCCTTAAGTCACAAGCATTATAAACAAAGATAGATAGTGTTTAGTGGTGGAATCCAGGACGCGCGTTTCATTCTATTTCGAAATCTTCAGCTGGATGTATCTGCATCCGAGAGTTGCACAAATGCCAACAAAAGACTGATCAGTTGCAGTACTAAATAACAATGGGAAGATACAAGTAAAACAACAACAAGTGAATTTAAATTTCAACCCATGACAGAAGCAGATGGTTACCAGGACTCAGTAGCTAATTGGATAACGCGATAGCGCTTGAAGCGAACGGTACTGGATTGGAGCCCTGGAGGGAACATCAACTCTAGAATGCAGGTACGTCCAGCTGACGAGTCCCACATAGGACGAAATGCGCTAGCCATTATCCACCTTTGCTTACAAATAGATAATGTTAATCCGAATGAAAAAATCAAGTAGATTGTTTTTTTTTCTTTCAAATGAGATACATATTCATTAAGTGAATTTCTTCTAACATTTCTTAAAAAAGTATGAAGATTATTTATATTTATACATCAGTTTAGGGCTATGGAGATTGTTGAGTTCCATTGAACTCATGAACCGATCAATGTTAGATCAGTATTGAAAACCTGGAATCTCTAGATAGTCGTTTCATCATATCACGCAATCTCTTCATAAAAGGGAATATAAAATCATGATCTTTAAGTCTAGCACGTGAACGCTTAACTTTTAGACAACTCATCCGGCATCTATTGATGTTTATGTCTAACTTCAATTAATGCATCATCTTGCGCAACCCTTCATCTATTGTCTGAGATGTATATCTATCTTATATCCGACACAGGTTAGCTCCATTAATCATGACTTCACATTAGAATCCCGGGAGTTACATCTCAGAGCTAGTCATCAGTGAATATATGATAATTATCAGTATAAGGTTGTAAAGATAGTTGAGTTTCACTGAAACCATGAACCCATCTCTCTCTCTCTATGTATATATATATATATATAATGTACTCTCTTGTTCTCTTGTGTTGTCTATACTTTCACTATTTCTTTCTATCCAATACACACTGAATACCTCTCTCTCATTCTCTCCTTCACTTTCATACTTCTTTCGTGTATCATTCCTTTTAGTTTACTTCAAATGTCTGCTTTTTTTAATTATGTCTTTGGAAAAATGTAGGAAAAGGAAGAACTTTTTCACGTCACTGCAAGTCTTTTTCATTGAAAAAAAAGAGAAAAGAAGAAAAGAAAAAAGAAAACTGTCACTGTATAGTTGAATGTATGTTTCAATGGTTAAATTTAATTAAATAACATTTGTTTAATACAATAAGGTTAGTGTTGTATTTTTAGGGGAGACAAATGTTCATCTTTAGCGGGATTTTTTCTTAGACACATGGAATCTTCAAGGCCAAACGAGAAGAGGATGACCAAAGAAGTACATATTACGCCGAGAAATGAAGATAGACATGAGAAAAATGAATAACAATTGGATAGAACTAGAAAAGAAGGCTCAGGACAGAGTAGGGTGGAGAATGATGGTTGGAGACCTATGCTCCATTAGGAGTAATGGGAGTAAGTAAGTAAGTAATGTTCATCTTGTATATATAAGTAAGCTATAGATTGTATTCGCCACTGATTGATCTTACTTAAGGTATCATTTTGAATGTCAGTAAGAAACGGACAGATATTTCGCACTAGAATAAGGCATTTCTCCATTGATTAGCTACCATATGACCAGAGATAAACTACAAGGCAGTAATGTCTTGTGGAGAGCACCTAATCATTATAAACAATGTGTCAGTCTCTAATGGTATAATTCCGATGTCAGTCAGTTTATGGTATAGCGCGATGACTATTCAATTCCAACGGTGACAGATATTTTACTCGAAATATATTTGAACTCCATCAGATAGGATTTCTTACTTTAACTTTAGAAACACATCAAAATATAGGTTACTAACCGGCTGACTGGTATAATTGACCAGTATAGGATTTAAAGATCTAGAGATTAACCATTCACACACGAAACCGAATGTCCTGAGTTTGTTTTTTGCGTACGAAATTATGAATGTCCATTGCAGAGAAGTTCCGTGCCAAGAGAAAGCGGTTGATTTGCAATATATTGATCTTTTTTTTTTGAGATCTCGTCAATTATTCACTGACACATAACATTGAGGCATGATTATCAAACGTACTGATTGCCAGCTATATCAGTCTCAACAACATCAAATTGACCTTAATCATTCACTTCTTAAAACAATCTACAATAAATCTGTCATTTAAGAAGAAGTAGTTTCGTAATTTTTTTGATTACCCTGAGAACATCAAACATAAGGCGAGGCTCATTGTTATTAGTCAATGTGATAATGACTTAAGGACAATCAGCCTTTTGTCATTTTAACGACTGTGCATTGTTCAAAATAATATCAGATACATACTGGGAATCATTTGAATAAATGTGTCTGCTGAATATAAACTTGGCGCTATATATGTATATCACATCTCATGTTAAGATGACCAGTAAGGCAATGATTGGAAACAAAAGTAATGAGAAATGATGGTTGAACACTTAAAGTACCGTTTATTCAACTGATTACATACCACACGGTTGGAGGAGATGAAGTCAAGGGTGGTAAAAAGTAAAAGAATGTGTTTGACATACGATTTCGCCTTTATCCTGCTCCGTTCATTTTTAACAAGTTTGAATGTCATTAAGTGAATTTATATGCGTGTATAGTTTAGTGATGTTAACATATTGGTCATTATTATTAGAATAGGGATTTGTGGAGATTGAAGTGACTTTAATAGTTAAATTCATGAGTCTATCTAAGGCCACCATTCAAAACCTGGAAGCACCGGATGGTCGTTTCATCCTGGTATGTTGAATGCTAACTCAATGTTCTACAAGTCAAGCGTTCAGGCATGAGACCGAAGGTCCAGGGTTCAAGTCACACATGTAGGATCGCAGATGCTTACCGCTGATGAGTCACATACTAGGACGAAACGGACGTCCAGTGCTTTCAGGTTGGTAGTTTCGTTCTACTGTGAGACTCCTCAGCAGTGCGCATCCACGATCCCACCTCGCCAGAATCGAACCCAGGACCTTTTTTTATACAATAATTGAACCGATCCTAACTATGACTAACAATGGCTCAAAATAATAGTCAACTAAAAGATGAAGATTATCAGAACTATGTGATAATTATTAGAGCAATACATTTCGAACAATCTGATCACACATAATATACTTGTTAAGAATATTTATATATCAAAAACAAAAGGTCAACTAGACTAGAAATGAGAGGGTGTAGGTAAGAAGAGACAAGGATAATAAAGAAAATAATAATGTAAAAACAATTTGAAACCACATCACTCTAGATAATCAACAGTATGCATCTACAACCCTGCGTGCTGAGGAATCCCATACTAAGTCGAAACGGCTGTCTAGTCCTTCCAGGTTTTAAATGGTGATCTAGTCTAAATCGGTTCATGAATTTGACTAATAAAAATTAATTACTTATTACATATTGGGGACTAGTCTTGATCAGCATAGAATCTGATACACGTTTGCCCAAATTCCCATATTCTATTGAAATGATATGATCAGATTAACTAGATAAATGATAAAAAGAGTAAAAGTATTCATAGTGGAAAGGAATGAACGTTGAGAATATATAGTTTAAGAGAAATGAATAGAAAGGTATATATGAAAGAATTCTGAAATTCAAGATCTAAAAGAAGATAAAAAATAATGAATAGATTTGTTCCATTTTAAGTAGTTCCAATCCACATCATCTAACATCTCTAATCGTTAATCAAGACTTGTCTGATGACTTCAAACAGATGGGTTAGGTTATTCAATATGGTTCAGATCAAGTGTCAATGACTTTGTGAACTAATATCACATATTAATTTGACTGTTCCCTATGTCTATTATTAAAATTAAACCCGTTTATTATCATGAAGAGAAGTCGAATGATTAGGACAATATTTGTGTTATAACTTGTTCCCCTGTGTCCTATTAATTTATAATGTAGCGTTACTGCTAATTAAAGAATAGTGAATTATCGACCGAATCAATGACGCATAAAACCTGTATGAGCAGTCTAGAGTATTTATCGGTCCTGTTTCCTGCCTAGCCCTGACTGTTGAGTCCAGAATACCAATCTCAGCCTTCATGATATCAGTCATGCATTTCAAACATACTGGGTTTATATACAAACCAAACAGACCACATTGTACCATAAAATGGAAAAGAGCATTTGTACAAGATTTAGCCAAAAAAGGCTGTGAATGTGGAAGATTGTAATTGATAGACTGGGCAATACAACTGCTAGTTAACTTAGCTGAGATGAGAAAATAACAACCGATTTCCTAATTTTCCGAAGGAGCAATAAAAAGATTAGAGTCTTATAGAACATGTTGGCCAATAAGTAACACAATAACATTAATTGTAATTGTAGAGATTTCTTCTAAATTATTTACGACAGTCAGTCATATGACTTGCTCTTTAAATTATTAAGTGTACTAAATAATTAGAAGAGGTGAAATGTTAAGGGATTCACGATATTATGTGACAATCTTCCAATGACTGTGACGGATCATTGTCTTACATACTAGACATGGTTAAACTCCCAAATACTCCGGTACGGCCAAGGGTGCGAAGAGTCAGCTCTCCCTCTCGAAATTCTCTCACATGGCCACGCGTATACAGCCACTGCCAGGAAAGTCCTACTCTTTACCTTCTCGTGGCAGGGGTGTTATTAACAAAATTGAGAGAACGAAAAGCGAATGTCCGATGATTTAACCGGTTTGGTGGATATAAAGTTGGAAAACCTTCATTCACTTGGGTTCCAGAATCCTGATGGAACAAATGGCGTGTGAACTAGTTATCGGTCACTATCTACCATGGGATCGCGTCTCCTGGCGTTCCTCTACTGCCATGTGGATTAGACCTTTAGGTCGAAGACTCCGGATGTGGCCACCTGAGAAAACCACCTGCTTTGGTCTGGGTACCTGAGCAGTATCACAGCCTACACATAGATGAAGTAAGATTGTGTGTTCGGTGTCCCTTTGTACCAATACTTATGTGTTCAAATAAAAATAAATAAATAAACTTCACTGGTCACAGCCTCTCATTAGAACTCCAGGAATTACATCTAAAAGTCAATCACAAATAAATATACTTAGTGTATTCATTTCACGTCAAAACCATCAGCAATCAAAGTGTTTCCTTACTCTATCCCGTTAGACGGGAAAGTCTTTATCCAGGAAACTTAAACGAGCCACACATTTCTCTCTTTGTGATATGTAACCGTGTTATGGATATGAATTCAACTGATGAAATCATTCTTTAATTCATCTTTTGATAGAAAGTGTTCAGTTAATTTTTTAGTAGTGGTAAGATTTACATTTCTATTCAGTTATATTACTGTATATTAATTTTCATCACGGATTAACATGAACTAGAGAAGACGAAACCCAGAGTATAGTAAGTCACTGTTTCATACTCATTTCAAATTTTTGCAACATCGTATACTACTGATAATGTTTGATAATTGAATTCAGTAATCTATAAAAAACTCTCTGTTTCGATAATGATATTATTTAGCCTACATTATTTGATGATATTGAAAGTGGATAGAATATACATTGAGGAAATCATTAAACTGAATCATGAGGCTAACCCTTAACTTGGAATCCTGAATGGAAACAGAAAAGAGGAAGGCCAAAGAACACATTACGTCGGGAAATAGAAACAGGTACGAAAAGAATGAATAACAACTTGAAAGAGCTGGTTAGGAATGTCAAGGACAGAGTTGGATGGAGAGTGCTAGTGGGCGACCTATGCTCCTCCATGAGAGGTTAATTCTTAGTACTCCTATTTAAATTCCATTAATCAGTGTTTGGCAAATCTCTCAAACTAACTGTCAAACATCAAACCGCTAGGTGTAATGTAATCGTGAATCACTTAAACTAATAGCTACATTGTAGATGAATGATAGATTATCATGTTTTACCGAACAGTAAGAGTAGTACTAAGGATACATAGTATAGTATAGTATAGTATAGTATAGATCATAAACAGACCCTTCGACTATTGACTGGTTTTTGACGCCTTATATTTGATAACATCGGTACATCCCTATTGTTATTCATATGTAGATCAGTAATTATTGATGGATATGTTGAACAAATACCATTTTGTTCATGTACATTTGAATGAGTTTTAGACAATTGAGAAGATCTTGTCAACATTTGTGGAATTGTAGTATACTGTTGTTGTTGTTGTTGCTTTAATCTGATCATTTCATTTTCTAATTCATTATTATTATTATTATTATGCTGATAAGTAATTCCATATTGAGTATAACGTCTTCTTTCTATTGGTCGGATTCTATTCTTATGTAGTGTATTCGATTGAATTGGGGAAGTTATACTATTGAATGTTACATTACCAATAGGCAATGCAGTTGTTGTTTTCGTCGGTAATAATAATGATGATGATGATGATGTTGATGTCTTTGTAAAAGAATCAGATCGTTGAAAAGCTGATGAATATTGATGTTGACATTCACTGAAAGGTACTTGATAATAACAATATTGTAATGTATTATTATTGATCTCTGTCACTGAACATTCCCTAGTAGTAACTAGATGATTCCCAATTGAATAGGTTTGATTCGATTGATTAATTGATTTAAGTTGATCTAATGATTGTAAACTGATAGCAGATTGTATACTTAAATTACTGTTTATAGAATATACAGGAGTTGAATAAGTATTTGGATGATTATTGACTAATCGATCATTCTCTATGTGTTTATGATGTTCACAAGATTGTTTATATTGTTGATGAAGAGAATAATCTTCATCTTTCATAAGATATGATCTGTCTTGAATCATTTGATCATGATTTCTATTCATTAGAATTGAAGTCATTGGATGATTGAATTTTTCATTTGTTATTGATTGTATAGGTTGATGAACTATTCTTCGACTTCTTAATGGTGACAATGTACTATTATTATTATTATTATTATTACAGGCTATAGTTGACATCTTTGAATGATCTCTTCTTTGATGTTTTATTGAATTATTAGATGAAATTGTTGACAAGTCAGATAAGATTGGTTGAGGGAATGATGTTAATGTAGAATTTCTTGTCAATAGATGGCTATCAGTAAACAATCGTGGTGAAGATGGAGGTGTTGAATTCGGTGATTGATTATTCATATTATTATTTCTATGAATGAATTGATCATTAGTATTACATAATAATAATAATGATGAATTACGATTGAATGGATTAGAACTTACACTACGTCGACGAATCATTAATCCTGTATTGTTTTTTGATTGAACATTTTGTGAACAATCATAATTTGGAATATTTGTTGGGACAATAACAATATTATCATTAAATGTTTTAGGTAATATAAACTTACTACTAATAGTACTATCATTGACACTATTATTATTATTACTAGAAGTAATAATAGTAGTATCGTTATTAGTAGTATTGATAGTGTTGATAGGAGCAGTAGTCGTTACTGTTGTTGTTGTTGTCGTTGTTATCGTTGTGTTATTCATACTCCATATAAGTGAACGACGACGTACACGTGGATCTAATGGTTCTGAGGTAACTGATGTCAGTGAATAAAAATTCGGATATAGAGCATCCATTATTCCTTTATTTATTTATTTATTTTAGAAGAGAATGGAGTAATATAATTCCAAATGGAAGAAAAAGTCATTAATTTCGGTAACATTCTTGATACCATCTAATCATGTGTAAAGTAATCATATAAGTAGTATTATTCCATAGAGTAAAATAAACTTTCAACTATGTGTTCCATCCATTGAAACTATACAAGATCATTTGAATGTTGAATATGATATTTTTTTAAAGAAGAATTTACTGTAGAATAGTCCGCAAGTATATGTACATATGTACATTAATTCGTTAATACACAATTATATACACTATTCGATACTGACGAATATCATTGTGTGTGTGTGTGTATGTGTATGTACACGTACCTATTCAGGCATCATCATCATAATGATGATGATGATGATGATGATGATCAGAAATACAATCCTAGTTGCTGACTATTCAACTGTTAAACATTATAAAACTTCAAAGAATATATAGATACACATAAAATGCACATATGTATCCGACCTAGAGACATATAAGCACATTTGAATGATTCAATTGGAAATTTTCGATACTATTCTACTAATTTAAAACCATCCCTTCGGATATGTATGTACATGTCTACGATGTTCATTTTTACAATGATAGACATAATCATATATATATATATATATAGACAATACTAACGACACATAGCCATAGGAACAAAGGAATCTTTACTATGTTTTTCAAGAAACGATTTAAGAAAACTGGGATTATGCACCATTGTATTACACTTTATAAACGTGCGCGCATACACACACACACACACCCATACACCCATACACCCCCATTCTTCTTATTGATCAGTTCTTGAGGAATGTGAAGTGTGAAGTTAAAACGGATTGGAAATATCTAGTCGACAATTTAATTTTCAAGCAAACAACCAAACAAACAAGTGTCTATAAAGCAGCAATGTATGTGTGCGTGTGTGTATATACGGGCACATTCACTACAGTTACTACAATTTACCGGTAGTGAATCGGTTTTGTTTTTCGATATATATATATAGATATATACACACACACACGTATGCCTACTTATGTAATACTGTATCGATCGAAGTAATAGGTTATTTTAATTTTTTGTTGCTATCGCAGCATTTACACTCTTAGGAAACATATTCTGATGACTGTTCATCATGATGAGTATAAAAAAAGATGTATGTATTCAGTGCAATTGTGTACTATTATTGGCTTAAAGAAAAACGTTTTATTGACTTGTAATACTTCGGTAATCACCTATTATGAAATCTAACATTTATATTATGTTCATAAGTAGAGAGGGGTTTTGTAGAAATTATAGTAATTTAATGGTTGAATTCATGAGACAAGTGATACTAGACCACCATGGAAAATCTGGAAGCACTGGACGGCGGATTCTTCCTAGTATGGGACACCTCAACAGTGCTCACCCATCCTCCCAGCGAGATTCAAACACGGGACCTATCAGTCTCGCGCGTGAGTGCTTAACTACTAAATCACTGAGACGGGATCGTGAACGTGCACTACTGAGGAGTTTCATACTAGGATGAAACGGCCATCCAGTGCTTCCAGGTTCTCCATGGTGATCTAGCTTCTATTGACTCATAATCTCAATTATTAAAATTATTACAATCTCCACAAAACCCCTTCTTATACTAATCAACAAATGCTTATTAGTGACTGGCTTCAAGATGTATTTCCTGGAGTTCTAGTAGAAAGCAGTGATCAGTGGAGTTCAACCGGGTCTGTTGTGAGATAGTAACTCACTGATGAAAGTGGTGGATTTGTCGCTAAATTTCATGGATTAATTGAAGTTAGACATAAACACCGCTGGACGCCAGCCAGCTGAGTGGTCTAGTGGTTAAGCACTCGCGCGTCAGACCAGTAGGTCCTGGGTTCGAATCCCGCGAGGCAGGGTCATGGATTCGCACTGCTGAGGATTCCCACAATAGGACGAGACAGCCGTTCAGTGCATATACATGTATTCAATGACATAAAGAAAACTAACGAATACACTTATTGAAAACTGTTCCCCCTCTCTCTCTCTCGCTTTAATCAGAGGTGTATATGGATGCGAAGGGAACACTCAAGCAGTGTATGTAAATGTTTGTGTATGTGTGTTAGGGGGGAGTTTTAAATGGGAAATTATTAAATATTCATTCTTTCCATATGAGATATGTACGCTTATTATTATTACTATTATTAATGTTGATGAAGAGATCAAGGTTATGTTGGGATGCCTTGAAAACCTCTCGAATGTATTTCTTGTTTTCTGCATTAATATCTATTTACTCTTTATATAGATATGCCAAAAATATCATGAAAATGTCAATATATGTAATATAGGAAAACATAAATGTTAAGAAAATCATTATAAGGAATAAAACCTTTTTAAAGTTTATTTATTCAAGTATGTTACTAACATGTTACTACTTGCTGTGAATAACATTAAGGATAATTAATTGATCAGTGGGTGGTGATCAATGTCATGTAGGTCAGTTCTTTCTTAGTGCAGATTGAATCCTATCGATCAAGTTGCCATGTGGCCACCAGTCTAAGTGACTCGATATTGGATGCACTATGTTGAGATAACATGGTGGTTGGAGGTACACCTTGTCGACAGGTGCTATGCAGGTCCAGAGTTTCCTGTTAACTATCTCCAACCACCATCTTATAACATTAAGCAAATATTATTTAGAATAAAATGAAAATTCATTGGAATGTTATAATTTCACTAACGCACTTATAAATGTAAATTATCATTATTGATGAAGTTTAATAGTTGAACGTATATTTGTCAGAAGGCCGCGTTAAGACCTACATTTCATCCAGCTTGATATTTAATACTTAATAAAGTCTACAATTACATTCATGAAAGAACTGATATGAACCACCCTGTGAGATTTAAACTGACCATATTCATAAATGTTAATAATCAGTTATTCATACTGTAATTGACTTTTAATTTAGGGATGAGATTTAAGCATAGTGGGTAGTAACCAATTGAATTTTTTACTTAATGATTGATTAGCTGATACTAACTAGAATGGAACTTAGGCCATCTATTCAACTGGCCTCTTATTAGTTGCCTTCAACTATCTAACACTGTACATTTGATCATGTTGTCATATATTACCATCTAATTGATAAAATTTATAGTTTACACCATTAGAGATAAGACATACTTCAAATACTTTCAGATGGTGGAGATTTGTAACTGAGGTCGGTACAGTCAGCTATAACGTAGAACCAGGCACATATGTACATCGGTCCAAGTTGCCATACCTCATTAGCACAACAAGATGAAGACCAAATTTATAGAAGTAGTTAACTCATTGGTAGTAATATATAGAAGAAAGATTGCGCCACCGTACAACATTGTCTTCAGTGAGCTGATATCTCGCAACAGACCTGCTTGAGCTCCACTGGTAACGGCTTCTCATTAGAACTCCAGGATTATTTCTTGAAGTCAGTCACTAGTGAACAGTTGATTATTACCAGTGGTCTATTGGTTAAGCGGTCGCACGTGAGAGTGATAGGTCCTGGGTTCAAATCTCACGAGCGGCGGGATCGTGGATGCGCACTGTTGAGGAGTCCCATTCTAAGACGAAACGGCCGTTTAGTGATTCCAGGTTTTCCATGGTGGTCTAGCTTCAACTGACTCATGATTTCAACCTGTGAAATTTACTAAAATCTCCACAAAACTCATTCTGTTAAATAAAATTGTTCTGTTGCAATTACGACTTCTTTGAATAACACGTTTATTCAATGAAGCCCTAATTTCTCACTTTAGTCTCTCATCAGCCGAGTGGACGTACAATTCTAGTCATAATGTAGCGAACGAGAACACAAGTTGGTACAATCGAAAGTATGTGAACACGAAATTACGGAATCTCTTAGTAAAATCAGAGAACCATACAGTGAAGACTTCATTTGCAAAATATCTATCAATCGTCTCAGATTTCATTGTTCCTGCATTACCATACCAGTTGCTTTTTGTTCATGTTCTTTTCTTCTCGATCTTCTTGACCTTCTGCTGCCAGACATTCTATTCTTGACTAGCGTTATATACTACTTATGTTGATATAAGTAGTACACATCACAATTGTAACTATCATGTATTAATTATCAGGTTTGTCTAGTTTACGTAAATCTTGTCTCATATTCATAAAGGAAACAAAATCTCTTAATCATTCCTAATTTAGAATAATCTCAAATTAGGACATTAGATTAATGTTGAAATGGTGATTGTTTCATCTGTCGATAGTCATACTGAAATCGTTGGTCGCATTTATTATTAGAAAGGAAGGAAGAAAAAAAAAAAAAAAAAAAAAAAGAAAGAAGGAAGGAAAGCAGGAAAGTAGGAAGGAAGGAGAGAATGAAAGAAGAAATTTGACAGATTCATAGAAAGAAAGAAAGAAAGAAAATTTACCATGAACTTACATTCGTTGTTAATTGTGTTGTTAATTCACTAACTTTTTTCTCAGCTTGTTCAAGTTTACGTTTAAGTTTTTGTATCTAATAACAAACAAACACACAAACAAAAATATTGACAATAATTCCTTGGAAAATGTTATAGTGAAAGAAAAAGAAAAGTGACTTGAATTAGTAACAAAGGACCAAGTGATATGTCTTACTATTGATAGACGTAAAATCTAAGCGGAATCTAAACAGAATAAACTTTACAATATGTGATCTCTTAAATTCAATGTAATCAAACATATCAGTCTTCAGTTGCTGACTAATCATGACTTACTTCCATCTGGTACACTAGTTCTCTATTCAACTTTGATGTAAGAAAAACCGTTGGATACGGAGTCAGTGGTTTAGAGGTTAAGTGTTCGAGCTCCAAACTAAAACTGCTTGATTTTGATTCCCTTTGATGAAGGGTCTTGGATGTGCACAAAGTGATATATTTTACTACCGATACGCGTAAAATGTCTTCCGAGTTAGTTCCTATAACTCTAGACTACTTCTACATGTCAACTGGAACAATAAAGTGAAGGCACAAATTATGTGTAAAAGCTTTAATTTATGGTTAGTTCATGTACAGAAAAAGCAAGGTTATGTATGGATTCCTCCATGACCTTGCGCTTCTGCAAATTTCCGGGAGCATACTAACTATATCAGTGGTATAGATAATTATCCAGTCAGAATTGTGATATGTGATTCTATCCAATGCTGATTGGATAAAACATTTCCTGGAGCTTCTAGGCTTTTAGAGAATTTAATAAGAGACATTTTGGGACTTCTCCAACACTTTGAACCACGAAGCCATTGAAAACTTGTTTCTTTCTAGTATGAGACTTTTCAGAAGTGTGCACGCACAACCCCACCACTAAGGATCAAATCAAGGACACTTGAGTTTCATTATGAGCGTTTGACTTCCAGATTATTGGCTAGGTACCTAATAGTTGATATTATCTAAAGTCACTCAGTCTGTGATATTGCTGAACCATCGTTCAATGTCATTATTAAGCAAAATTTGAACTGTACTGGTCACAACTTCTCACAAAAACTTCAAGAACTACCTCTCGAAATCAATCATTATTGACTACAAAAACATCATAACTGTGGAATGCTGATAGTCCAACTAAGATCAATGCATGCTGTAAGCCATAAAACTCAACACTTTCCATGAAATCCCTTTAAGACTAGGTCATTAAAACACTAGTTATTTTATTGGATTTGTTTGCATGACCTACTTCCATCTGGTACACTAGTTCTCTATTCAAGCTTGATGTAAGAAAAACCACTGGATGCGGAATTAGTGTTTTAGAGGTTAACCGTTTGAGCTTCAAACTAAAACTACTTGGTTTTGATTCCCTTTGGTGAAGGGTCGTGAATGTACACTGCTGAAGAGTCCAACGTCAGGACGAAATGGACATCCAATGGCTTAGCTTAGATCGGTTCATGATTTTAATAAAATTTAACAATCTCCGCAATCTAATACTGATAATGAGCAAATCAAAGTTGTTATTGCAATAAAAGCAACAATGATATAAGTATATTAATCAATAAACATAACATAAAACTGAACTCACTTCTTCAGCTTGTTTTTCCTCTACCTAGAATAGATATTTGAAAAAAGGAATACAATCAGGTTAATATATACATATCAAAAAATATATATATTCACTATGACGGTGAATTGAAATCCACTTCAATATAACTTACAAATGTATACATAAAACACTGTTTTGATATAAGATCTTCAAAATGAACTGAATTCTATGGGTCCGATTGTTAAGGTAGAGGTGTGATGTGTGCTACTTATATTGACATGAGTAGTAATATGATGTTAGTCGTGAACAGAGAGTCTGACAGTAGAGAGACAAGAGGATCGAACACTAAAGAATGAAAACAGGATACGATTTGTATGAAAATGCAAGAACAATGAAGTCTGAGTCATTTTGAGACGATTGGTGGACATTTTGTAAATTAAGCATTTACTAAACGTTTCTCAAATTTTATCGAGATGCTTTGTAATTTAGTGCTCAAATACATTCGATTGCCTCAACCGTGTTCTTGTTCACTACAGAGGATCTGGTAGAACTCATTCGATTTGAAGTTCATCTTTATTAAGAACTCGTCATTCTATAGACATATGCAAAGATATACCACAGTAGATGATACTGTACTCATGACGTTCAAGTGTTTTAGAGAAAGTGTAATACTGTAATGAACGAGAACACAAGTGGGGAATATAGATTTACAGAGTATTTTAGTAAAAGCTGATAACCATACATTAAATACTTCATCTCAGACTTGACTTTTCCTTCTGCAAATGTCAATCAATTGTCTCAGACTTCATGGTTATTGAGATTTCACACTAATCATTCTTTGATCTTGTTCACTTTTCTTTCATCTTCTTAACTTTCTACCTCCAAATATTTCACTTTAGACTGATTTTACATACTACTTATGTTTGTCGAGATCAGTAGCACACACTTATATATTTAATCAATCCATAGTTATTTGACAAAATAATCGTTTTTGGTAAAATTGAACTATATCACATATCAGAACTTTTTAATGGAATTTCGGATGATTCTTTCTGGAACCTGATCAATCTATAAATGACTCTAATAGTGGATAAAGCAGCTAACTAGATGACTTAAAAGCTGAAGAGTTAGATAAAGTCTATGAACAACCTAAATCTTGTCAATCATAATGACCTAGTTTTGATAGTAGTCAGTTGATTTTAATCTATCATTGAAAATCAGTCTCAAATGAATCATTTCTTCAATACAATATCAATAGTCAAGTAATATTGAATAGATATTCAGTAGTATAATTCATTTCCGGCAATTTATGACTGACTTCAAGAGATACTCCTGGAGTTCTAGTGAGAAGCCGTGATTAGTGGAGTCCAACCAGATCTGTTGTGAGATATCAGCTCACTGAAGACAATGGTGAACGGTGGCGCAATTTCATGGATTGATTGAAGTTAGACATTAACACCGCAGGATACCGGCAGGCTCAGTGGTGTAATGGTTAAGCGCTAGCGTTCGAGACCGATGGGTCTTGGGTTCGAATCTCGCGGGGTTTGGGGTCGTGGATGCGCACTGCTGAGGAGTCCCATTCTAGGACGAAACGGCCGTCCAGTGCTTCCAGGTTTTCCATGGTGGTCTATCTTCAATTGAACCATGATTTCAATCAGTGAAATTTACGAAACGTTTAGAAACATCATGGAAGTAGCTTAACATTTACTGGATTGGATTTGTAAGTGTATATACTTTTTCTCAATTGATAACACATTAGAGTTTTAAATGGAAGTTAACTCATCCAAGTCTAAGTGTGTAACATCAATACTGTGATTTAGGTGTGTCAAGCTAACAATTCTTAAATGAGACGAGATAAATGTGCTAAATTCCATTGTTAGTCAATTTACAAGTTTAATTAAATTAATGGGATTAGATTTTTGAAAAAAAAAACTCAGTAGACAATTACGCAATCGCCTTAATGCGATTTTTCTTTAAAAAGCGTTAAACTACTGAAATATATATATAAGTAGTAAAGTGAGATCTGAAAATTAATGTAAATTCACTTGGTATTCTTTGCTTGAATCTTCCCATTGTGGTTTAAGATTGTAATTGATCAGTCTGTTATTGACATATGTGAATACTATGCATATTGCATCGATATTAATTCACAAGCTTTATAAGCAAATATGGATGAGTCCCGAATAGGACGAAACACATGTCCTGGATTCCAGTGCTAACCACTATCCATTTTCGCTTACTAAGATAAAGTTTTTTATACTGAAATCTTCATTGCAAATCTTCATAAGCAAATAAATATATTTATGTGTATGATTTGATCAGTCTTGTCAAATAATAGTTATCAGTCACTGGTATTCAGGACTGCATTCATGCCCATTTGAAAAGTTTTAGTCTATCTGAACTCCGAGGATAATGGGTTATTTTGTGAAAATAAAGAGACTGATTTCATGTCTGATTGTAAATATCATCAGTGAGATGGAGTTTTGAACAGCTGATCAGTCTGAAATAGAACAAAGTATGCATCCTAAACTCCACTGCTGTTCATGATCCATTATCTGTATATAGCTAGTGACAGATTATTTATATCAAAGTACTTCTTTCAGAATGCACATATTTCAACTAAAGTTGACCCAAATTCAACCCTATCTATCAGCTGATCAATATTGTAGTTCACGTTATGATTAGCAATGTCAACTGAACGGTTTAATAGGGAGTTACAGTTTTTTTTTAATTGAGTTTCATTTTAGTTTGTTAGTTATCATCAATTTTTCTGTAGACTATCAATTTAAGGGATTTATGGTACAGATGAGTGTAGAGGTCGTTGAGTTTTGTCACTTTGTATCGTTTAATAACTTAAATCAGATAGTTAATGAAAGTTATAAGATATTAGACAACTGTTTGATCATATGAAAGGCTGTTTTTCAGCAGTGAACATCGACGACCGTACTGCAGGTCGAACCTAGAACTTCCAGGTCCCTAAGGTGAATGCTTGGTAATCCAAAGGAAAGCACGGAGTACTGAATAATTGTTTCTTTTGGGATGCGATTCATTACCAGTGTGTACGAACTTGTCAGCAATGTAAAAATAAGACACTTACACTGTGTAACCTGGAAATTTAAAGTTTTATCTCTAATCTTAGTCCTTAGTGCACACTTGTAAGTGGTATCATACTAGCGCCGAACAAATATCTAAATATTCCTTGACTTTTAACAGTTCATAATCGAGATTTTCCTCAAGTTTATTAAACTCCACAACAAGTTAGTCAGTTATCTTTTAAGTTCTATACAAAAAAGAAGCAAAAAGGAAAGAAATAACCTTCTTACCGTAGATACACAAGATCCATTTGAAGTAAGCGATAGCCTTGAACCATTCACTGGTAAAAATCAAACAATAATGTAATACTGAATAAAGTTTATAGATAAATGGGAAGTTAGTTTACAAAATAAAAACTCAAAAAAGTACTGACAATGACAAGTGTGTGATACCAAATGCCCCGGTACGGTTTAGGGTGTGAGGAGTCAGCCACTGTCAGGGAAGTCCTACTCATTGTCTTCTCACGACGGGGGTATTATTCACGAAATTAAGAAGATGAAAAGCGAATGTCCGGCACTTTAAGTGGTTTGGTGGATATGGAGGATCCACCCAGCGGGTTGAGAAACCTTGATTCCAATCGAGTGGTGCACATGGACTCAAGGATCCCGAAGGAACAAATGGTGTGTGAACCTATTATTGATTACCGGCTACCATGGAACTCCATTTCCTGACGTTGCTCCACTGTCTCGTGGATCAGACTTTTAGGTTGAAATCTCCGGGTGTGCCCCCCCACAAGAAAATCACCTGCTTCGATCTGGGCGCCCGGGCAGTATCACAGCTCACACACAAACCAAGTGACTTTTGTGGCCCATATGTATTCGGGGCCCCTTTGTACCAGTATTTATTTCCGTTTATCAGGAAGACAGGAACATTTTAGTGAGTTGACAACACACACACACACAAACAAACACCTCACTTGATGGTTATTTATTTCGATAGAAGATTACATCATTCAATTTCTGCTACACAAATTTTACCTGAGATAAACAAACAGATTAGATGAATAAAAGTTTTATAGTTTAACCACTCGTTAATAATATTGAAATATGGATATCAGACTTAAATATTTTTTGATATTTCAATATTACTTATATACAACATCAACAGTTTGTACATGTCATAGATCGATTTCAGTTGAGGTGTTATCGGAAACCAGGGGACACACACCAGGGGCTGCATATAAACCAAGTTCGTTTAAATAAATTATAGTAGAAGCTGGTTTCTGACTTTTTGGTCTCAAGGTAGGGGAAGAGAAGCTTGAGAATAATGAACCAATGGGAACTCAGCTATGTCGGTTCAAGATCAGTATTGCTGATCTGACGTGTAATTGGTCAAATCGGGGACTGTGGGTTACAGTGGACACAGAACAGATGAGATTAAAACCGGGATTCTGCTTAGTGCTTAAGGACTTGATATAAGTCAGCGGTCTTCAAGACAAAACAAATTTATTCTATCATTAAAGCTTCCTATGTAAATATCCCCTTTCCTACCACCATTACATAAATTGATAATTAACATTGATAACAAATATTTAGATTAAATCACCTCCTAATCCACTGATTATTTGTGAACCAGATTCTGGGCAACTAAAGCCAGATGTTGTACCAATTAGACTGGCTGGAGCAGCATATGGTAATTTTATTGGTGTTCCAGGTGGTGCACTTATAGTTCCTGGTAAATTTATCTCATTATCTTGATTAGTTCGATTACCACTGCTACTACTATTACTCATCATTCCTTTAATCATTAAACCAGTAGATGGCATAAATTGATTATATAAATAAGATGGTGATAATGGAACAATTCCATAAATTCTTTCAGCATCATCATGCTTTGCGATAGACGATGATAATGATCTACCGTCAATTTGTCGTCGTCTTGCTCTTGTCAGTAAACTTTGTTGTTGTGATATACCCGATGCGGAAACAAGTTTATCTGACTGATTTATACTAGAATCTAGATTACATAATCTTGGTGGAATAAAATAACGATTATGCAATCCATCTCCAACAGTTTCATTGTTATTCACTTTACGTAACCAATTATATGTTGAAGGTTGAATTGGATCACATCCCATGTAACCATAATTCATAGCTCTTATCGATGCTTGAATTCTATAGTCATTAGAAAGAAATTCTTCTGTATCTGAAGCTGAGTTGAATCGTGTTAATTCATTGATTTTCTTATCGTTTTCTACAACAAGAAAATACAATTAAACAAAGTTGAGTCAGCTTACTACTGAGAAACTAATTAAGTAGATCAAATGAAAAACTATAAAAAAACCCATGAGATTACATCAGTTAACTAGGTGAGTCAAGTTATCAAATGTAAATCTTTGGATACCATTTAAATGATCTAAGTGTTAAGCCCTCTTCGAAAGGTCTGAAAGTCCCGGGTCTGATCCTTAGTGAGATCTGCAATGTTAACTGCTGAGTCCTATGCAAGAAAGGATTAAATAGTAGTTCAGTGCATCATTGTTTTCGATAGCTAAGATCAGTTTGTGATTTAGATAACAAAAGATTACTTCTTAATTAATATAAAATTATACCAAACTACCAATCATGAGCAGGATCTACGGCAAAGTTCTGTCTTTTCTGTCTTTTCATTAGTGAGTTTGTGAATAGACTGACAAAAATTTCACTGAGTCCTTTTTCCTAATCCATGATTAGGTTTTTTTCACTTATGGTCGTATATTCTCGTTGAAGATATTCATTTATCAAATGGTGGATTAATTCATTTTCCGGTACCTTAGAAGGTTGTAATCAGTTTTATAAATGATGCCTGCTGCAAACTTGGAATAATGCCATTAAGAACAAACTATATTCTTACGTTATTAGTACTTGATCATAAGTGTCTTCAAATCCATTGCTTGTGTCTTTAAGGATCACTGAATAAGCAATACTTTAATTAGGAATAGAGTAATGTGTAAAGATGGAAAGTGTATTGATGAGGCCTTAAACCTTAACCAGATGAGATGGTTGGGATATGTGTTACATATAACCAACCACCACCGACCCCTCAGGTGATGTCTTCTGATACAGGAGAAGGCTGGAATATAGGTAGGGGCAGCCAAACTGATGTACGTACGTACGTACGTACCAGTTTCTACGTCGTAATCTACTGAATGACTGACAGATAGATGTACGTGTTAGATCACCTGAAGTTCAAAAAATAATGTTTTGAAACTATCATGATCTGTGGATCATATCAATAAAGTTGCTGATCTTTTCATAGGGTTTATACAACACAGTACTATATACAGCTAAATCCATCATTAATGCAATGGTTTAATTGAGAAGCGAATTTCAATTGGATTATATTCCAGAATAGAATCTGCACCATAGACAATAAACTATGAAGATATAATTTCACTTTTTTCACACTGTATCATCACAGTCAAACAATAGATGACATAAGAGAGTTTTTCTTGTCAACATTAATCGGCTAAATAAAAGTACTTTTATAGAATCCTTACATTGTCAATGACACTTTATACATTTCATACGTGAAATCTAGAAGCGATTACCTTCATCGTGATTGGTTTGTTAGTGGTAGTATTGTAGTGAACAGAACACGAATGGGGCAATCGAATGTATTTGAGCACTAAATTACAGAGCATCTCGATGAAATCTGAGAAACGTTTAGTAAATGCTTGATTTTCAAAATGTCCATCGATTGTCTTAAAATGGCTCAGACTTCGTTGTTCATACAAATTGAATCCTGCTTCCATTCTTTACTGTTCGATCCTCTTGTCTATCTGCTGCCAGACTTTCTGTTCACGACTAACATCATATACTACTCATGTCGATAGAAGTAGCATACACCACACTCGTCACCCCCTTTAAAGTAGTCGTTACTGCGGTGGTCCATGCTTGCCGTGGCACATTCTTCTTTTCTGAAGTCTGTGCTACGCCCTCCGTCAAAATGTCGAATCTGCAGTGCGCTGACCTCCGTAGCTCCGTCCACCAACATCCACCCGGCACATCGGACGTTCAACTCCTGCACTCCAGCAGCCTGCTGAGCAATCTGCATCCGATTTCCGCCCAGCATCCTCACATCCCATCGCCTCTATCTGTCCACAGCACCCACTAGGGCCAACGCCACCCCGTCAGAGCACTCCACTCGACGCTACCTCTCCGCACCAGTCTGCCCCAACCGACACCCCAGCTCCAGGCCTGCAACGGCATCCAAATGTAGTGAACAAGAACACGAGTGGGAACAATCGGATGTATTCGACACGAAATTACAGAGCATCTCACTAAAATCTGAGAACCATAAAGTAAATCGTTCATTTGCAAAATTTCAATCCATCATATCAAACTTGACTGTTTCTGTTGTCTCAGATTTCATTGATCATGCGTTTTCATACCAATTGCATTCCATTCCAGTTCTTTGTTCATCGACTTTTTACTGAAATACATTCTATGCACGACCACCGTTATACACTACTTGTGTGAATATAAGTAACCCACACCGCAGTATAATTTGATCAAAACTGTTTATTGTTTTCATCATAGAGATCAAGCATATACAAAACATTTTCCTGAATATGTTCTTGAAGTCAAAGAATAAATTGAACTTAGACACTCTATTTAAATAAATCTGCAGTGTAGTTTATAATCTACCGTCAGAAAGATCTATCTTAAAGAATCAAACTCTTGAAATTATTCAAAATGAATGATGTGACAAAATATTCCTCATAGATGTGTTCATTACTAAGATGTAGAAAGTTAAATAATCGAATAAACTAAGGGGTCATATATCTAAATAGTAAAACTCTTTAGAAACTTCTCATTTGATGTCTTTTAAAGTATTCTATCCAACAACTGTAAAGCTTTTTTAGTAGCAAACGTTTCACTATTAATCAAGTTATGACTGTCAGTTTCAATTTCTTCACGCTGTCGAGGAGTCCCATACGAAGAAGAAACGTTTGTTCAGTGCTTCCAGGTTTTCCATGGTGATATAACTTTAATTGACTCATGAGTTCAACTGCCAAATTACTGTAATATCCACGAAACCCCTCTCTGTAAATGTAATCATCAAATGTTCACTACTGACGGACTCGAAGGGGTATTTCCTGGAGTTTTAGTGAGAATCCATGACCACTGAGGTTCAACCGGGTCAGTTGTGAGATAGCAACTCACTGATGACAATAGCAGACGGTGGAGCAACTTCGTGGATTTATTGAAGTGAGATATTAACACCGTTGGATGCCGGCCAGCCCAGTTACTTACTAACTTACTTACGCCTGTTACTCCCTATCGAGTATAGGCCACCAACCACTATTCTACAGCCCACTCTCTACTGGGCCTTCTTCCTAGTTCTATCCAATTCTCATTCATTCTTCTCATGTCTGTCTCCATTTCTCAACCTAATGTGTACTTTGCTCTTCCTCTTCTCCTTTGGCCTCGAGAATTTCATGTGAGGGCTTGTCTTGTGATGCAGTTCGGTGCTCTTCTCAATGTGTGTACTATCCACTTCCAGTGCTCCATTCTGATTTCTTCCTCCGCTGGGATCTGGATTGTTCTTTCCCACAGTAGGTTGTTGCTGATAGTGTCAGGTCAATGGATCCGAAGTATTTTGCGTAAATAGTTGTTAATAAACACCTGTATCTTGTGGATGATGGCTTTCGTAGTTCTCCAAGTTTTTGCGCCATACAGTAGAACTGTGTTGACATTTGTATTGAAAATTCTGACCTTGATGTTGGTTGCCAATTGTTTTGATTTCCAGATGTTCTTCAGTTGTAGATATTTTGCTCTTACTTTGCCGATCCGCGCTTTCGCATCTGCATCAGATCCACCGTGTTTATCAATGATGCTGCCCAGATATGTAAAGGTATTTACATCCCCCATAGCTTCTCCGTCAGTTGTGATTCGATTGGTGCATTCTGTGTTGTGTCGAAAAATATTGGTTTTCCCTTTGTGTATGTTGACACCTATTGCTTCTGAGGCTGCTGCTACACTGGTCATCTTCTCTTGCATTTGTAGTTGTGTGTACAATAGAAGAGCCAGCTCAGTGGTCTAGTGATTAAGAGTTCGCGCGCAAGACTGATAGATCCTGAATTCCAATCTCGCGGGGCGGGATCTTGGATGCGCACTGTCGAGGAGTTCCATACTAAGACAAAACGGCCATACATTGCTTTCAGGTTTTATACGGTGGTCTAATTTCAATTCACTCATGAATTCAACTATTAAATTACATTAATTATGTTTACTTTTTATCAAAAGAAAATAAGAGAATTATTTAATTTCAGATGGGTTTTGTAAATATTATAGTAATTTCAACGGTTAAGATCATGAGTCGGTTGAAGCTAGATCACCATCGAAAGCCTGGAAGCACTGGAAGGCCGTTTCTTCCTACTGTGGGACTTCTCAGCAGTGTGCACCCACGACCTCGCCTCAAGAGATTCGGACCCGGGACCTAATGGTTTCTCGAGCGAGCACTTAACCACTAGACCACTGAGCCGGCATCCAACAGTGTTAATGTCTAACTTCAACTAATCTATGAAATTGAGCTACTATATACACTTGTCATCAGTGAGTTGCTATCTCATAACCGACCTGGTTGAACTCCACTAGAACTCCAGAAAATACCTCTCGAAGTCAGTCACTAGTGAGCTTCCCAGTTTTCCATGGTGGTCTAGCTTCAACTGACTCATGATCTTAACCAATGAAATTATTGAATGAATAAAGATTATTAAATATCAATTTATAACTTACCAGTTCCTGAAATGGACATTAATCGTCTTTCATGTTGATTTAATAAATCTTCCACATCTGAACATACACCATTTTTTATATCCATATTAGTATATTCATTATTATTATTATTATTGTTACTAAGGGATTGTAAATGGAAATTGTTTATGATTGGTTGATTATTATGTAATTTATGACACCAATAAAATCTTGAATTCAAAGGGGAATAACTATTCGATTGTTTATGAATAGAATAATCAGAATGATTATTATTATTGTTTATAGAGTTAATGAATGGTGATGGTGATGATGGTGATGCTGATGTTGATGTTGATGATGGTGATGGTGGTGTTGAGGATGATGGTAATAAACAGTTGTCCATGTTAGAATGTTTTTCATTGAATTGAATTGGAGGTTCTGTTTTGATGTTTTTCATGATTGTTTGTTTTTTTCTATCGATACTTGAACTGAAGAAAAAAAGGTTAATAATTACAAATTGTGAGAAAGAGAATGAATGTAATTTTTGATTGAGATTATGAATCGATTCATGTTAGATCACCATTAGAAATTTGGAAGTACTTGAAGATCGTTTGGTTCTAGTATGAGAATCCTCGTAAGTGCGTATCCACGATCCCGCTCGTGGGAATTCGAACCCAGGACCTGCGCCACCGCAAATACGTTTGAGTTATGTTATTCAAAGTCTCCAATCACGGGTTTTGATAATCATTTGAAACCCAACCAAGTGGTGTATACTTGTTAACATAGCTCAGTTCAATTGTCGCTGACTTCATAAACTGATGTGATATTTTGGTTCTGTGACCCTTAGCTCTCCTCCATTCTGCCTCTACATTAGACAACATCACCCATCAAGGTAGGTAATAGTTGAGCACATGTATTACAAGTTTTAACCATCTCAGTTGATGAAAAGTCACTACTACATCAATAGATTTTCCATCCTTATCTAGTGCTCTATTTCTAACCAAGGCATTGCCTACTTGGTGGTTATAAAATATACGAGCGATCCCTACACTACATTTATTTAAAAGCCTCTCAAAATAGCTTGCCAGTACACAAAGTTAGCATTCACAGTCACTATGTATTCAAATATTTGTATCATATTTGAAAAACAATTTAGTAGGTCGCCTAAGTTTTGCACTCGTTTTTACATATGACAATATATGTAATTAGAGTTGAGTGAATAACTGTCTAATTGATTACTCCGTCTCTTATGAAAATGTTTATTCAATGCACCAAACACCACACAAATAGAGTTAGATTAACGTCATATTATATCGCAAATTATATGATGGTGGAGGAGATTTGTAGCTCAGATGGATGATTTTGGTAGAGTTTTGTTCTCTGAGCGACACCATCAGTACAAACTTTATATAGAAGTCATTCAGAATAACGATAAAAGCTCCATAAGCAAACCATTCAGCTCAGAGAACAAAACCTCCACCAATATCGCAAACTAATTAAAGCTGGGATTATGCTATTGGACACTGAATTATTGATTCTGTAGGTAAATGTTCATTTTGAAACCTTAAGGTCTTTATTTTGACCCCTACCATGGTCATAGGTATACACTTCTGAAGAATAACATACTAGGATGAAACATCTGTTCAGTACTATTACAATTAAAACCAATCTCTGATGAATACAATCTACAAATTAAACCAACCTCCATAACATATATTATTTATCAAAAAGGGTTTGTGGAGATTTTTAGAAATTTTCACAGATTGAAATCATGAGTCAGTTGAAGCTAGACCATCATTGAAAACCTGCAAGAACTGGACGGCCGTTTCGTCCTAGTATGGGACTCCTCGGCAGTGCGCACACACGATCCCGCACCACGCAGGGCTCGAACCCAGGACCTACTGGCTTCGCGCGCCAGCACTTAACCATTAGAACACTGCGGCAGTGATTGATTTGACGGTGTTGATGATTTTAATCTGTGAAAATTTCTAAAAATCTCCACAAACCCCTTCTGATAATAATCATCTGCTCACTAGTGACTGACTTCAAGAGATACTCCTGGAGTTCTAGTGGGAAGCCGTTACCAGTGGAGTACAACCAGGTCTGTCGTGAGATATCAGCTCACCGAAGACAACTTCGTGGATTGGTTGAAGTTAGACATTAACACCGTTGGATGCCGGCTCAGTGGTCTAATGGTTAGGTGTTCGCACGCGAAGCCAGTAGGTCCTGGGTTCGAGCCCCGCGTAGTGCGGGGTCGTGGATGCGCACTGCCGAGGAGTCCCATACTAGAACGAAACGGCCGTCCAGTTCTTGCAGGTTCTCCATGGTGGTCTAGCTTCAGCTGACTCATGATTTCAATCTGTGAAAATATATCATTTATGACAAACAAAATATAAGTTTAATTCATTAAAATAAGGATTCACCTTAAATTTGTCATTCCATCAGATAATTGTGCGGTTGATGAATTACTATTACCATTATTATTCATTGATGAACTGTCACTTAATCGATTCATTTTATTTAATTCTGGTAAATCAGGCATCCATAATGATTCTTGTGCTTCTCTCATACCTTCTTGTAATCGTTCATGCATACGACGTGCATAATTGCCTAGATTCTCTTCTTCGTTTCCACCGCCACCACCACCACCACCTCCAACTCCTCCTCCCTGTTGTTGAGATTGTTGTTGTTCATGATGAACATCAATGTGATGAATAGATGATTTCATAGAATTAAAATTTAACATCTTTGATTGATATATCATAGAATAAGGATTATGTAAATTTCTTGGCAATGATCCAATTATATTCGTATGATGTAATGGATCATTCATATTTGATTGTTTTGTTTGTAATGGTAATGTAAAATTTATATTATGAATTGGTAAATTAATACATTCTATTCCACTATCTGATTGATAACCACAATAGATTCGATTCATTTGATGATTGATGATTATTATTATTATCGGATGAATTACATTTCTTATTCATCATTAAATGTTCTTTCATGAAATTAGATTGTAATGAATTACTTTTATATAGATCAACTTTCTCTGATACACATGGATTGGGTTGTAATTGCTGTTGTTGTTGAGGTTGCTGCTGTTGTTGAGGCTGTTGCCGTTGTTGTTGGTGATGTTGCTGTTCATGTTGTTGTTGTGGTGGTGGTGGAAGTTGTTGTTGTTGTTGTTGTTGCTGTTGGTGGTGGTGGTGGTGGTAGTGTTGTTGTGGATCAAGATTATTTCGATGAATCTCATTGAATTTTGATGGGATTAATTGTAAATTACTTTCTGAATAATATTGATTTATTAATTGATTATTTGTTGATAGATTATCATCAGTTAAAGTATTCGATTGTTGTAATGTTTGTATAGTTATTGGATTTGTATTAGTTTGTTCAATGGATTGAGTAATCAATGTGTTATTTCTATGTTGGTTCGTTTCATTATTCTGATTTGGTTTTAGAATAGTTTTCATATCAGATGTTTGTATTTTATCATTATCATTATCATCATCATTATTAAGATGGTGTTGTTGACGATGATGATGATGACGGCGATGTGGATTTACAGAATCATTATTTATAGTGTTATTATGACTAGTTGATGGATAACGTTGTTTTAAAGCAACATATAATTCACGAGCTTTACGACGTTGTTCTGTATTGTCTATTGATTTTTTACTTAAACTTCTATGATATGATGATGATGATTGTTGTTCTATATTGATTACTGATAGAGTTGGTGATGTTAATCCTGATGATGTGGTCTCTGTTGTAATTATTTCAGTAGATTGGATAGGATTAAGTGTACTAGATTGAGAATGACAATAATCTGAATGAGTTGTTTCTGATGAAGGTTGGATAGCTTCTTTCACTTGATTATATTTTAATAAAAGAAGAATATAAAAATGGCTATTATATATGTATATAACCAAGTTACGGTATTTATGATAATGACAACTAGTAGTTAGGTGAGTTAGGGTGATGTAGCTGACAGTTAGTTATAGTCACGAATATAAGTCATAATAAATCAGTCAGTCAGTCAGTAACAACGTAGAACTTCGTACGTACGTACATCAGTTCGAGTTGCCACACCACATTAGCACAGAGATGCAGTTGTCAATTCAAATCCCGTAGTGGTAGAGGTAATAAGAGTATAAGCAGTAATCGAGAAGATTAGGGTTTGGAGATGCTATTTAAAGAGTATAATCAGTGAATAAATACTTATCGAATAAACCCGACGGATTTGAGAAAGTAGCATTTTGCACGACATTACTTTGTACCTTGCTGAAAGTAAATTACCACCTATCAATATTTCGATACGATAACGCCTAAGATTTACTGGTGTGGTAAGGCTAAAAAAGATAGAAAGAAACTTAAGCTGTCTGAAGAGTAGTCCTGATAAATCTATTAGTTTTTCATTGAGATCTTAAACTGATTTAAGCTAGACAACTATTGAAACTTTTTAAGGACTAAATGACCGTTCCATCCTATAGTATGATACTCCTAGGTAATGCACATCCATGACCCCGCACGAAGAGATAGAACCCATGATCTTCAGTCCCATACGCAAACACTTAATCTCTAGACCCCCGTTGGATGCTATCTAAATGGTCTACAGGTTGAGCATTCGCATAACAGACTGGGGTCCTGGGTTAGATTCCCGTGAACAGGGTTGTGGTTGTGTTCTACTGAGGAGTCTCATACTTAGCCATCTAAATTTTCTAGTCTCACAGTGGTGGTCTAACATTGATGGGCTCATAATTTCAATGAAAATTCAACAATCCCAACAACCCTATAATTACTACTAGTTTTTAATGTAAAAAGTAGTCAAAAACAAATCGAGATAAATTGTATTTAACATTTAAATAATGATATATGAATTTTTCAATGTAAGTTAAATTTTCCTTAGATTTGAAATAGTAGAACCGACCATGTATTTATTTATATAAAAGGCTACAAACCAATCACTCATTGTGATCCTATTTCCCAAATCCTAAACTTAATTCTTGTTTGATTTTGCTACAATTAAATGTTTACTTATGTTGTTTATAAGCAAAGATGGATAGTGACTAGCAGTGGAATCCAAGACGCGGGTTTCGTCCTATTCGGGCCTCGTCAGCTGAATGTAATTGCATCCCTAGGACTCGAACCCAGTACCGTACAAGAGACTGATCAACTGCAGTCTTAAATAACAATGGGAAGATACAAATAAAACAATACCAAGTGAATTATGTTGTTTGTTTTTCAACTGGTTAAAAGCTGCACACAAGTCTTAAGATCAAGTATAAATCCTCTCAAGATGGTCTGTGAATTTTCGTTTCCCACCTCTGTGACATTAATATTTGTATATTGAATATTCAATGGATATATCTTCATCTTATAAAGACCAGTTGTAACTCGAACAGTACACTAATGATGACATGTTTATTTACGATATTGAATAAATCAAGCTTGAGATGTACGTGTGGGAGTGTCTATTACCTCAAGACTTCAGATACTACTTTTTAACAACAATCATCATCTAATACAAAGTGATTTCCTAAGTGTTCCTAGTAATTAATTATAGGCCAATACTGTATAAGATAGAATGAAAGTGACTATCATCAAATGAGATTATTACAGGTAATCTAATTATCAAGTGTACTTTTATTCATACCTCTGGAAATTTACACTTTTATACATACTTGAAATTCACTTACCATTTTGTGTTTGCGACGATATATTAGGCAAATATTTGTATGTCAGATTGGTTGATGTACTACTACTACTACTGCTAGTAGTAGTAGTAGCTGCATTCATTTCTTGTCTAGTTTTTGTTATCAATGATGTTTTATTAACTTGTTGTACTGAATGCATGGATTGATGATTAGATACATTTTGAGCTTGATTTGTTTCTTGAATTCTAACACGACGACTTATAACTGCATTATTCTTGTTTATAATCGTAGTTGTAGTAATACCATTGATAGTAGAAATAGTAGTAGTAGTAGTGGTGGTGGTGGTCGTCGTTATGGCAACAGTAGTAGCAGCATTTGTTACACTTGAATAATTACAGTGTGTAACTGGCATAAAATTGGAATTTGGCGCTTGAGTAGCTGGACGATATGAAATCGGTGGAACAAATGGTTGTATTATTGGTGAGTATTGTTGTATGTTTACAGTGGATGGATGATTGTGTATTTGTGTACATTGTGTGAGCGGTAGTGGTGGTGGTGGTGGTAGACCTATGGGTATTGATTGGTTAACTGTAGAACAAATAATATTAGTATCATTTGAATAAGGAATACCAGTTTTGCTAATGTGTGAACTTGATTGAAGCGGTATTGTTTGATGATGAGATTGATGAGTTTGTTGGGTAGGTTGAAAGTGTTGTTGTTGTTGTTGTTGATTAGTCCTTTGTTCAAATATACTGTTTCCTGTCATATAACGTCGTGTATCATGAAGATAATTAGACATTAATGGTTGTATTGTGCTTGTTGATATTGAATTGATTGAATAAGATCGCTCTGGTGTAATTGGATGGTGAAACTAGACAATAACAATAACAAAATAGTAAAAGGTTATCAGCTTAATATATTACTTATATTCAATTAGTAAGAAATTAGTGTTTGGTAGTTATGTATCTTATGTATAAAACTATTATATCCGAATGGAGATTAAATTACAGGTAACTTCCGAGGACTATTCATGGACTAATATTCTATAAATATTCTTATTGTATAACTATTCAACAATTACATTATGTATATTTATATCCCGTTTATGACAAGCTTTATTTTGGCCTATAATTTATTATTGTACGATTTACGGTTCTTAAGTTATGTTCAGTTTATTAACTACTGCCTCCCACATTCAAAGCCACTTTTTGGGCTTATTTGTGTACAAATATTATTTCCTATTTTTATGGTACGTTGCAGTCTGTGTGATTGATATATAAATCAAGTATGCCTGAAATAAACGATCTGCTCTGATTCGAAGCTGGTATTGTGTTCTGGACTCAAGTGGAAGGGCTCGTAGGATATAGGACTAATAAGGACGCTAAACTGCCCACACCGGTTGAACGTCATTGGTTGGCCTAGTGTGAAGATCCGTATAAGTCGTATTCGGATTAGTAGATAAGTCGTGTGATCGAAAAGTCAGACATCCAAGGTCATAACAAAAACTATTATAGCTCTCTTGATGTTTACATTAAAATGAATTTGATATAACCCTTTTCCGTTTAGATCTATCTTAATTCATCTAATTAGTATAGTACGGTCAGTCAATAATTCATACAATATGACTAGTTTTCCGGATGAATACTTTCGTTATTGACATATCCCAATGAAGAATAAATGAATGGTAACTGACTGGGATTATTTATGGATTATTATCATGATATGTATTCCTATTGGATATCTATTAAGTAACTAGATTATATATATACACCAAGGTCAGAATTTTCAATACAAATGTCAACACAATTCTACTGTATGAGATGGAAACTTGGAGAACTACAAAAGCCATCATTCACAAAATACAAGTGTTTATTAACAGCTGTCTACGCAAAATACTTTGGATCAGTTGACCAGATACTACCAGCAATAACCTACTGTGGGAGAGAACAAACCAGAACAAAGCAACTGAGGAAGAAATCAGGAAGAAGCACTGGAAGTGGATAAGACACACATTGAGAAGAGCACTGAACTGCATCACAAGACAAGCCCTCACATGAAATTCTCGAGGCCAAAGGAGAAGAGGATGAGCAAAGAACACATTAGGTCGAGAACTGGAGACAGACATGAGAAGAATGAATAAGAATTGGATAGAACTAGAATGGAATGCCCAGTAGAGATTGGGTTATAGAATAGTGGTTGTTGGCCTATGCTTGATTAGGATTAACAGGCGTAACTAAGTAATTAAGTAAGCAATATATATTCTTTTTATTATGAGCTTCCATTTGACCTATTGGCTACCATTATACGATCTACTATTCTTAAGTTATTCCCAATATATTAGTTACAATCCCTCACACAATCATTCACACTACAGTACCTCAAAATATTAATGGAATTTTTAGTCAACTTCTCAAAGTAACATTAATAGACGATTACAAGTACTTTATATAGGCCATAGAATCACTCTTCATCACTGATCTATTCAGTTTTTTTTGGGATAACATTGTAGTCTATCTATCAAGAGAATACTGGTTTCGAACTATCATGTCTGACACAACAACCAAAACATTAAAGACAACCCTTTACTTACAGTTTGATGATTATTTCAGAATGTGCCATACATCACTATGACAACTTTTAGCTAAACCAATCTAGTCATATCTATAATTTATGGACGACCTTTGAGCGGTGCTAAAGTGACCTTGAGAGGGTCCACCAGGATCAAATGAGGGTTATGAACCTGTATGAGGAATTATAATTATAATTTACAGTTGATGATTTAGGTTAGCGATAAGTCTTGCTAATTGAATGCTATATTCGATTCCTAAGCTATTCTTGTAACCCACAAGCTAGAACTACACAGCGACCTGAACACGAGAGGAAAGGCGCAAAATAGGCGAGAAGCACTTTACTCTAAAGGTTCGTTTTAGTACAAAACATACAGGGTTTTTATTGTATTTTAGATGCCTTTGGATTTCCCGAAGATTCTGGAATGCTACTAAAGATAATGGCAGTATAGTAATCAGCCAATCAGAAACTCTACATGTGACTTTTCACTCTCTTGATATTTCTGGCCAAACTTCAAGTGAACGCTGAATGAATGAAATGCTTCTTAATGTTTCCTGAGTCTTTCTTGTCTTTTGTGAGAAGGTTTCTAGATCACCTCAACAGTTAAGAATTAGATTTAGGGGGTTCTCATCACGAACTGACATAATCTATAATGACAAAATTCTATTTATCCAAATGGATGAGTGGATTTTGCGCGTCAAAATCCCAAAGACCTGTTATCTTATACTTGAATGGTTTGTCCATAACTTATAGTCTCTTCCATTCTATCATTAATTATTTTCATAATATCATGCATAACCACCATAATAATTTTTCACTTACTTCATTTGTTCCCGAGATAAATGTATTTGGATATTGGATAGAATGATGTTGATGTTGATGTTGATGATAATATGAAGGATGATGATGATGATGAGGAAGCGGCGGTGGTAGAGAAGGTGAATAATTCATTGATGATGATATTTCTTGAGATGTAGTTATTTGTTTTAAAGTTTGGTTTGTATTTTGTTGATGAATATTCATTGGTGTAGTAGTAGTAGTCGTCGTCGTAGTAGTAGTATGAGGAGCAGGAGGAGGATGAGTAGGAGTAGTAGTATTAGTAGTAGTATGTATAATATTTCCAGATAATTTATTCATACATGTTATTGATTGATTATAGTTTATTGAATATGGATATTGTTTCTGTGTAGTATTATGATAATATTGACTTAATGTTATACGTGGTTGAATATTAGTTGTTTGATATGTATTATCTATACTATTCATATTCATATGACAAGTTGTATTATTAATTGAATGATTATCTAAAGTTGATTGATTTTGAATTGGATAATTCATATATGGAATACGATCGATTTTTGTTGGGGATTCTTTAATCTTTGAAGACGATGATGATGATGATGATGACATATGATATGAATTCATATTCGATTGTTGATATAAATTTAATTGACGTGGCATTGGTATACCAGATGAAGTTGTTGTTGTTGATAATGGTAATATATTCTCTATTGTACAAGGGATAATCTCTGTTGTCTTGATTAATTTTTGTTCCAAAGATAATTTTGGTGATAAATTAGTTATATAATGAGAATTTTGTAATTTATTTCTATCGATTTCACTTGGTGATAGTTTATTGATTATTGATTTTTTTGGTGATGGAGAATTTCTTTGTTTTTGATGATAGTTGTTATGATGCTGTTGTTGTTGCTGCTGCTGCTGCTGCTGATGATGATGATTATTGGATTTTGTTTTGGATGACTTAATATTCAAATCTAAGATAAGGAAGAAAGGAGGGAAAAGCAAATAATATGATGATTATGTTTTTTTTCGTTATGAATAAATTTTAGATTAACTCCGCCTGTAGCCTCTCTGAGGCTACTGACGGTCCCAAGCCAAAATAAAGGAGGAGGTTTGGGCATGGGGTTAGTGATCCCATCGCGTAGAAAACCAACTCGCTAAACGAAACGCTGACCAGAAAAAAGATAATTCAAACCATTTAAATTCTGCCCTGGGAGTTAGAAGGTTTTCATTAAGAAGAGTTATCACGCCTCATGGTGAAAGCCGTGTTTCTTTGGAGATGCCCTTTCTGACAACCAGAACGACCATCAATTTATGTACATGGAATACTGGTACAATGTAGAAGACCGGGAGAATCTTCTAAATTTCTGTAAGTTTTAGATTAAATAATCAATGAGAGCCAGGACAATTGTTTTATTCTGGTATTGAATATTTAAGCCATACACAGCTTACTAAATATTTAACTTAAGAGCTTGAGATCACTTGATAAAAGCTTGACAATCAGACTATTAATTTAGCATCTAATGATCTGTGTACTGAATTACCTCTTGGATAAGGAAGAATTAGAGGATAAGTTTGAACAATTGTATTCAACTGAATTCAAAGACCCATTTAGTCGTACTTCATCTATGTCTGTGGAAGATCGTATAGCATTACCAGAATCGTACAAACCACTGGCTAGTCAGATTCATTGCTCTGCCGATGCTTCAGAATCTGCATATGATGTTGCGGAATATGCTCGTTCCGAAAATGTCTCTCGTCAAGTTCATTTTTTCTTTTTGTTAACTAAGTCCAAAGTTTTTAAGCCAAAAACTGAAGTACCATCTGCTAATAAACCTAAATCAACTCTAAGAAAGCTTAAGGAAAAGAAGGACATCAAAATGAAAGTCAAGAATACGAAAAAGCCTAAGGCCACTGCAACAAAGAAACCGGTAACTCAGACCCAGAAGAAGCAGGCAGCACATATTCGCCGTGTTATCGAGGATGGTGTTGAGAAAAGCGCCCTTGTACGAGTTGTGAATAAAACTAAGAGTGCACCTGGTAACTTTACAGGAGCCAATGCCATTCTTAGACAGATCATGTGTAGTTGGAACCAGAATAAGATGGCAAATGCCCTATTAGATATAGGATGTGAATGGCGCTTTAACCTTCCAAGAGCTAGTCAACGAGGCAGTGTATGAGGACGCATCATAAAGTCAATAAGAAGAATTCTGCGATCACTATTGTTTCAGAAGGTATTGACGGATGAGTCTTTGGGGACGTTTTTAATAGAAGCTGAAAGAATACTGAACAATCGACAACCCGTAAAGCTAGTTAGTGACTGTGATAATGTGTCTGTACTTACGCCAAATAAGTTATTGTTAGTTTACAGAGATGTATCATTCGACGAAGCACAGATGAGCAAGACGTGCTTATATAACCTATTCTGGAACAGTTGGTTATGGGAGTACCTACCAACCCTTCAGGTGAGATTCAAGTGGTTGGACATGAGAAGGAACCTACAATCGTGAGATTTAATGTTAGTAAACAATATTTGCTCACTGAGAAATCTATGGCCTAAAGCCATTGTCGAACAGGTAAGCTATGGCCCTGATGGACGAGTTCGTACAGCAAAGTTGAGAACTGCAAACGAAGAAGTCGTTCGGGACGTACGAAACCTATGCCTACTGGAAGAAGCCGGCTATCTGACGGCGACGACGACCCAGGACAATGGACGTGGTACGCGTTTCGGAGGGAGTGTAAAGTGTGATCGATAAACGAACTTACCATTGATAAAGTGAAACGCCCACCACCACATTAACCTTCTTTGACCTTGTATGACTATGTCTTGTTTATTCACCAATCACAATTTTATGTTCATTATAAAACATTATAAACTCATTTTTCTTATCCTCTGGTTATTGTTTCAAACACATAAAGTTTATCAAGCCAAATAGCTTACTTGTTCTGACTTTGGCTAAACCAAGACTCTGTGCTCGACAGTCTAGAGAATAGCTTAGAGTTACACTTGTAGGAAATTGCTTCCTACAATTGGTTATCACATCACATAGAACAATAGACACATTCTGATGAACAATATTCAAATGATCATATTGTTGTAAAACTGAATAATTATAAGATTTCTATAGTCCCCTGAGTTAAAATATCACTCTGTGCTTATTAAGGAACTAGTTTCTAGAGGTAATACCTAGAGTTCTGTTAGGAAGCCGTGACTACTGGAATTCAATCATGTCAGGAGTGAGACAAACACCATTCATTGCAATGGATAATAGTCATGTTATAAGGTGAATTGACTGAATTCAAAAATGAAAGGTCAATGGAAACTAAGATAGAGCTGAGTCTCCTGACTTCAAATCCTGTTGGAGTCGTAATTGTACATATTTGGAGAGTCCCATGGTAAGATAAAACATTTGCACAATCCATACTGGTTTTCAATGATTGTCTAAATGAATTCAGTTTGTGGAGAAAATCACAAGTCCAACAATCCATAAAACTCTTTATACTAAGAAGGTTAACATCTGATTAATCAATTACATTCGTGACGTGTAACTACTATTTGCCAAACTTGCAGAAGATGACACATGAAAGATTCGAGTATGTTAATTTTCTAGAATGTTATCTGAAAGGGTATCATAATTTGTTGCAATTTGGGTGTGTGCGAGTGTGTAGAGAGGAATAGAATCCCTTCTTTTGAATATCAGTTGGTCAGTGGATAAACAATATAATATGAAGCACATGTATACATTCATGAGTTATTTGAAACTAAACCACTATGGAAAACCTGAAAGCACTGGACGGACTCCTCAGCAGTGCACATCCACGACCTCGCCCCCTGCGAGATTCGAATCCAGGACCTACTGGTTTCGCGCACGAACATTTAACCACTGGACCACAATAGAACGGAACGGCCGTCCACTGCTTCCAGGTTTTCCATGGTGGTCTAGCTTCAACTGAATCATGATCTTAACCGTTGAAATTATTATAATATCCACAAAACCCATCTGAGAATGATCATGAGTTACTTCTTGTGCTGTACGAAATTCACCTTCAAACTACTTATAAGTAGCTTAGAAAAATAAACAGAAAATTAAAAAAACTACATTTCGTAGCCAATAATAAATGTAACTCAAGTTTTCATTTTTGTTGTCTATTCATAGATTTTCTAAGAAAAACACTATAAAATACATGAATGAGAAAAAAACGTCTATCGATAATAACAAAGCACTTGAGTACATGTTGCTCTGAAGTGTATATGTACATGTGTACGTGTGTCACAATAGTTCATACATTATTCTCACAGTTTAAATTCATTCCATATGGCGCCTATTGTCAATTCAGCTAACTTACAGTCCAATAGTGTTACATTAGAAAGATTAGTTTCTTATGTGAATTTACTGATAATGAATTCAAAGATGGAAAAGCGTGAGAGGTTTTTTTGAATTTAACTTCGTTTATCATTTATCATTGGGTTTGTTTGTTTGTTTTTCTGATATCATGAAAAGTATACCAGTGTTATTCAGTACAACTTCGAGTTACGATGAGAGATTTATAAGTTTTTTTTAGTTTTACAAAAGTTAATTGTGAGTTTTTTGTTGTTGCTTTTTTACTTGGAAACAAATTTAGAATATATGCCTGTCACTCACAATGGAACAGCATTCTCTAATCCACTCTCTACTAGGCTTTGTTTTCTAGTTCCATCCAATACCTTGTTCATTCTTCTCATGTCTGTCTCCATTTCTCAACCTAATGTGTTCTTTCGTCTTCCTCTTCTCCTTTGGCCTCGAGAATTTCATGTGAGGGCTTGTCTTGTGACGCAGTTCGGTGCTCTCCTCAATGTGTGTCCTATCCACTTCCAGTGCTTCATTCTGATTTCTTCCTCAGTTGGTTTGTTCTAATTTGTTCTCTTCCACAGTAGGTTATTGCTGGTAGTATCTGGTCAACGGATCCAAAGTATTTTGCGTAGACAGCTGTTAATAAACACTTGTATCTTGTGGATGATGGCTTTCGTAGTTCTCCAAGTTTCCACTCCATACAGTAGAACTGTGTTGACACTTGTATTGGATATTGTGACCTTGATGTTTGTTGCCAATTGTTTTAATTTATAGATGTTCTTCAGTTGTAAATATGCTGCTCTTGCTTTGCCGATCCACGCACTCACATCTGCATCACATCCACCGTGTTCATCAATGATGCTGCCCAAATATGTAAATGTTTTAACATCTTCCAAATCTTCTCCGTCAATTGTGATTTGATTGGTGCATGTTGTGTTGTATCGGAAACATCGGGTGATAGAATTTCTTTTCTACCATCTTCTTTTGATGGTATATTGAAAATAGTCGACAGACTGAATATACATTGTGTTGTATAAGTTCCGTGCATATTATTACAGTTTATGAAATCCATTCAATCCATTCAAGTATGCTTTCGAACTAAATAAGAATTGAAGAAGCAACTTTGAGATTGTAGAATATAAGAAAATTAATCAAGAATAGTGTTTAACGAATTGTATTCAATCAGGATATTTATAGTTGATTATTAAATGACCATTTTGGATAGAGAAGCATCATTAGGTACTTACAACATGTTGGAGTGTTGAGGACAATACTTACTTATGAATGATTTTAAAGGTAGATTTAGCGTATGCTACATGAATTCAATAGTCATTTTTATCCCCGTTAAAACTGTTCTGTCTATTGTATATTGATGCTTATAAAAAACATTTATTCTATGCTGAGTATAGTTTTTCTTCATGAACAATTGTTCACTGAAAAACCATTGGAAATGGAAGAACATCAAACTGTTATTCAATACTTGTTACAAACTCTGTAATGGTACCAACCCCCATTATTTTGAATAGGGGTTGGGAGACATTGGCATTGCTCATTGATAATGATACTATTTATTTGTTAACAAAGCATACAATAATCTACATTTTCAACGACAATTAATTTTAATCAGAGAGACGGGGGTTTTG